TGGGGGGAAACTAGGACTCATACAATTCGGCTTGGACATAGAATCAAAGAGCCTTCATCAGACCCTCGGCCTTCACATCTCCGGCATAGGAGATAGTCATCCCGCGCGGATGCTGCCCCATTTCTATGAAGAGCGAAGGACCATCGTGAGATGAAGATTGAGCGGTGTGCAACTACTGTGGAGTTGGATGGGAAGGAGAGTTACGGATACAGATGGCAAACCACCACGCCCAAGAAAGAAAAAAGGGTAAGAAAAGCGTGGGGGTTGGCTAGTAGACGACAAAGCTCCCGCCAAACCTTTCCACGGAAAACAACACAAAGACGTGGGGTGGGCGCCGGACCGACCGAGTAGTACGGGGTGCATCAAAGACGGCCCAAGGGGGGTGGGTGGAAAGAATCTGTTGCACGAATACAAAAGTATACATTATGAATGATGAACGGGGGTGTCGAAGGAAGTCGGTAGGCGCTGGTGGGAGAAAAGGGGGTAAAAATCCGTACCTTAGGATACGAAGAATTTGTCGAGGACAGTGCGGAACAGGGGAAAAAAATGCTTGAGTGTATCCGTACGGATGCGTACGTTGTGTGACCCATAATTAGTGATGGAAACGATCGAGGAAAAATCCTCGATCCTCTTTTCTCTGACCACCACCGCTTGAAAGAACCACAAAAAAAGGGTTCTATCGATGTCTGACCCTGAACCTCTACCACCCCACTGCCCGCTGAGATACAGTACACGTGTACACGTACACCGTAACGGACTGATCCTGCGATCCGGCGATACAGCGGGGTGAGCTGACGGGCGATGTTCTTTTCTGAACATTCTAACGTCGGGTTTTGTATTTTATTTTTTTCTCTTTAATTCAGGTTTATTATAGTCCGTATGCAACCCTAAAGTTATGACAGACTGTTCGGAGGTACCAAAAGGTACAAACTAGGTACAAGACACGCTACAACCATCGGACTATGATACGCCAGATCGTGTTTTTCACGGCTTGTTTAGTTTGGCCTTTTTTTCGCATGGGCCGATGTCATCCATCAGAGATATGTGAGAGCATACACGTTATAGGTACGAATGGAAGTTCAGCGGAAACGGTGTGTGGGCAGCAAACGGAAGACCAAGTGGGATATCCGATGATATAGATGCATCGCTGGGATACGGTGCGAGACGGTAGGAAAAGTCTGAATAAAGAGAGTCGAAGTTTGGGACGGTGTGGGCTGTCATGTCATCGCGACACTGAACCCTTGGAGTTGAAAACCCAAAGAGCCCCCCTTCCCCCCCCCCAACTCCCTCCTCTTGACTGCTCGGGGACCAGAACACCATTGGGCGAGGTTGTATGTACATAAGTCCGGGTTCCACGGAGGCGTTCTGGGCTGAGTTCTCCTCACGTTCCAAAACATTGATAGGCGTCCAAGCTCGCTAACAGAGTTGGCAGAGTCTCCATTAACGGGGACATGCATGCAGCAGTCCGGGGCTGGAACGGTCCCGTCCTCTGGAATTTTGTGGGGAAGAGGTCACGGCGGTCAGCCGACGGTCAGGACAGCGGCAGAACAAGCAGGAAAAGCGATCCGTTATTCTTAACATCGGGCTTTCTTTGGGAAGGGGATGGGGAATGCCAACGCAATCGAGTATTTTGTATGTTTCCATGTTTCCATGTTTCCATGTTTCCGTCGGTCTAATCCATCCATCCACCCCACACCACACCACATGCATCCCCGTCCCTTCCCACCGTATCCGAACCCCCGTTCGCGGGGTCGAGTCCGTCGCAGCCACAACAACCACACGCCGTGTTGGCCGACATCTCGGTCTAGTAATCCCACTCCCCGGGGCCATCGTATATAGGTATACCGTGGGCCGAAGAGTGAACAAAGACGAGTGGCACGGCATGCATGGGAGAAAGATCGTCGAGGGGTTGTGGCCAAGACGGGGTTTGTCCGAACACGACGAGTCGGTGAAGGACGACTGGGGAACGAGGGAGAGAGACGCACCACAGACCCAATGGCCGACCGGTCCTACCTATGCTGGATGAATTGTTGGTTTTGAAGTTTTGAAGTTTTGAAGTTTTGAAGTAAAGGGGACCTCCGAAATCATCACCAAGTTAATACCCAGGGGCCAGATCTCTATTCCACGTATCTATCAGGTGACGCGTGCAAGGCGATACACATTGCTCTTCGGCTCCGCGAATTGGGAGCAGGACCGCCGTGTGCACTGCAGAGGCCCTACAACGTAAAAGCTCTGACTGCCGAGAAGCCTGGAATGCAAAGTGGATGGAGTGTGGAGTGTGGAGTGTGGAGTGTGGAGTAGGGAGTGTGGAGTGTGAGAAGACCGAGTAGAGGGGAGGGGTCTAAACGGGTCGATTTGTTGACCTGGCATGCATGGAATTGGGGGTTCTGGAGCTCGGGACTCCCGCACGCGGTCCCTGAACGCCATCTTTGGAGCTTCTGAACGAATAGGAGTGTATGTAGAGTGTACGGATGGTACATAGCATTGTAGTAATCAGGTAAGGTACTCCTCCGCTCTATCCGTACCTTTTCCTCGTCCGAAGTCGCTGCTCGTACTTTACGCACCCACACACAGCTTCCACTTGTACCCCACCCCACCTCACGATCTTCACCTCTGACAGCACCCAGCTCCCCACCTTACCTTAGCTTACCTAGGTACCTTAGGTACCTTGGACTTATTTACCAAGTGTCCTCCCCTCCCTCACTGGCTCTGGCTGTCCTTTTCCTTCTCGTCTCTTCTCTATACTGATCGCATCGACAATTCGTTTATTCTCTCTTATCCTCTCATCCGTTTATTTGTACGATTTTGGCTTCATCAAACAGTTGGTGATCTATTGCAAGCACAAGCAAGCAAATAGAAGGGTCAAATCTGCGTAGCTCCAGCTTTCTATTCTCATCCGGTTGCTCGTTTGGTCCCTTGAATCCTTCGCGAGATCATGGACGCCATCCTAAAGTGAGTCATTACGACACTCAAAGGCCAATGGGTTTCCGACCGTTGGCTTGAATGCCTCCTTGCTGACCAGACCCTAGTCCCCCTCCAGCCTACGTGCGTTGCCTCCGATCTACAGCTCCCCCCCCGGCCAGCTACACGCGAAAGAGAAAGCTTACAGGATACAACAGAACCACTTCATCGGTATTGATGTCGGCACCGGTTCGGCCCGGGCTTGTATCATCGACGAAACTGGCGACATCAAGGCTTTGGCCTCGGAGCCGATCCAGCTATGGCAACCCGAAACGGGCTACTATGTATGACCTCTGTGTCTAGAGCCGGGTATCAGGGGACAAGGTCACCGCCCGAGCATCTCGGCTAGCAACCCCCTTATATAGACAGGGAACTCCGACTGACTTGCCACTTTGCCACTTTTCTTCAACAGGAACAATCGACCACCGATATCTGGAACTGCATCTGTGTCTGCGTACAACGCGTTGTCCAAGAATCCAATGTCGATGTCAACTCGATCAAGGGCATTGGCTTCGACGCTACGTGCTCGCTAGCCGTCTTTAGCCACGACACTGACGAGCCCGTCGGCGTCACCGGCCCCAAATTCGACAACGCCGATGGCAACGACCGCAATGTCGTCCTTTGGCTGGACCACCGCCCAGTCGAGGAGACCAAGAAAATCAACGCCACCAACCACAACCTGCTCAAGTACGTCGGCGGCCGTATGAGCATCGAGATGGAGATCCCCAAGGTCCTCTGGCTCAAGAACAACATGCCCTCGGAGCTGTTTGACCGCTGCAAATTTTACGATCTGACCGACGCCCTGACCCATATGGCCACCGGCACCGAGACCAGGAGCTTCTGCAGCGTCGTCTGCAAGCAGGGGTTCGTACCCGTCGGGGTCGACGGGAGTGTCAAGGGGTGGCAGGAAGATTTCCTGACCACCATCGGCCTGGGTGATCTCGTGAAGGACAACTTTAAGCGCCTTGGAGGCGTCAACGGGGTGGTGAGCCTTTTCTTTGTTAAGCTTTCGTTTCTTCTTTTGATTGAGGTTAAAAAGGAGAAGAAGCTTTTGCTAACCATTTCTTGCGACAGAACGGAGACTACCTCAGCGCTGGCGAACTGGTCGGCCATCTGAGCAAGAAGGCGGCGAGGCAGCTCGGTCTGCCCGAAGGCATCGCCATTGGCAGCGGCGTGATTGATGCCTACGCCGGCTGGATCGGCACTGTCGGCGCTAAGATTGACCCCGAGCAGGAGTCAGACCACCTTGACGACGGCATGTCGCACAACGACCTGGAACAGGCCTACACCCGACTGGCGGCCGTGGCCGGCACATCTACATGCCACATTGCCATGTCGAAGGAGCCTGTCTTTGTGCCTGGCGTGTGGGGCCCGTACAGGGACGTTCTCCTACCGGGCCGCTGGTTAGCCGAGGGAGGGCAATCTGCGACGGGTGAGCTGTTGCGGCATGTGGTGGAGATCCACCCGGCCTACACGGAGACGTTGGCGTTGGCGGAGGCAGAGAAGAGGAACATCTACGAATTTCTCAACTGCCACCTGGCGCGGCTGCAGGGGAGACAGGGTGCGCCGACCATCTCGTATCTGGGACGGCATTTCTTCCTGTACGGCGACCTATGGGGCAACCGGTCACCGGTCTCGGATGCGAACATGAAGGGCGCCGTGATCGGACTGAGCAGCGACAGGAGCACGGACAACCTGGCGCTGTGGTACTACGGAGTGATGGAGTTCATCGCGATGCAGACGCGGCAGATCATCCAGGAGATGAACAAGGCCGGACACTCCATCACCAGTATCTTCATGTCGGGCAGCCAGTGCCAGAATCCGGTGCTGATGGGCCTGCTGGCGACGGTGTGCGAGATGCCGGTGCTGATCCCGCGGTACATCAACGCTGCGGTGGTGCACGGCGCCGCCATGTTGGGTGCCAAGGCGGGAAGCGCGGACGCCGAGGGCAAGACGGAGGACCTGTGGTCGATCATGGACCGGATGAGCAAGCCCGGGCGCGTCGTACGGCCGAGGACGGAACGCGGCGAGCGGAAGCTTCTGGAAGCCAAGTACACGGTGTTCCTGGAGCAAATGCGAACGCAGCAGGAGTACCGGAAGCTGGTGGATGAGGCTCTCGAATCATGGCCCGAGGCAGCGGCAGCGGCGGCCAAGAAGACTGACGCCTGACGAATGAATTTTGGGATGGTGGGACAGGCGTGGGCCGGGACGGACTAGATGGCTGGACAATGGCTGATAACGAATGACGAACCTAGGGCGACAGGGACAGCGGGGACATGGTATATATAGCCATGCATCTATAATTAATAATGCACCTCTTTTCCTTTTTTTTTTGCAAAGCCTTACTATGGGTGGTGATGTGGGTGATGATAGTTTCGGTGCCTACGAGGCTTCGACAAGACAATGTGGGCACCCAGGTGGTCGAACTGGTGCAAATTCCTGTCGTCTGGGATCCGACGAGAGTACTGATACAGAGATTCGGTCAGATGGTATGTCAATCAATGTACTACTGGCCTGCTGGTGTCCTTGTGACGTCAGAACTTTCTTTTCCGTTCTTTTGTGTAATGGAAAACAAGCCGAAAAAGTAAAATCGCGTCGTGATTTTGGAAACAGCCTTCCTTGAACTTGCCTTGTCGGCGATTGTGTTTCTCGACTTTTGCAGACGCCTGAAGAAAAGAAACGAAGCAGTTCTAGCAGTACGACACAACCAACATACGTGTTTCAGGTACTTCCTATTCTGTACTTTTGCAGCCCCACTGCGGTTAATGACTCACCTCGGGACAGTCCAGCTCGGGTCGCTCTTTCTTTTCTAAGGTAGCTGTCCATGTCCATAGCAACCTGCACGGGGAGCACATTCCAACGGAGTACCAATCATGTCTACCTACCTTACCTAGGTACCTTAGGTAAGGTACGGATACCTCATACGATACAAATGTACTTTGTACCTTCTGACCTCAGCTTAAACCTCCCTCATTCCAATCGTCTCCTCCTTCACGGACAATTTAATTCTCATCCTCCGCCTCATCCTTCATCAACTTCAGCTCCCGGCATTAATACATTTCTCCCTGCTACTTCTAACGCCGGGCCAGTCCCAACAAAAACACCGTACCCGCCAACCAGCGATACGATACTGCGGCTTGTCTTGCCCTCTACAGCTACAGCAGCAAAAGACCCTGCCAGATTCAGATCCAGAAATAGCTGCAGCTGCAGATGCAGCCTGCACAGGATTTCATTTCCAGCCTTCTCACCATAATTTTCTCGCATATGATCACCTTCTGCCTGACTATAAGTTTTTCCGACGCTCATTCGTCCCGCAAGCTTTAATTGGCAAGCCACAACGACTGGAGAATCCCCGGTATCCTCACATCGAATAATACAACTTCGTCCTGATCATCCCGTCTGTCCGGGTGCCTGCCTCTTGGTTTCCGCTTGTTAGCTCCAGGGGCCTTTTTTTTTTTTTTTTCTTACACTTCTTTCCCTACTTTTTTCTTTTCTTTTTCACATTATTTGCTTGGTTACTCCCATTTCTCCCTTGTTTATTATTCATTCCAGTATTTTAGATTCGTATTGATGCTCAAACCACCAGTTCTTCCTTCCCAGCCCCTTCATAGCCACCAATCTTACCGCCAATCACAGTCACTCTCTCGCGCCTGCAACTCCATTCTCATAATACCTCTTCTTATTCAACTCCTGCAATCATTTTCCTTCCCCCTGGTGTCCCGCTGCTACCGTTCGCAATGAATTATGGCCGACCGCGACGATAGAGAGAAGAAGGGATTTTGGGGGAGTTTATTACGCCACACGAGTCTGGCCCGAAAATCTCCTAAACCGGTACGCCAGATCATATCCCCTTGCCAACGGGCTTTCTGAACGTAGAAGCAGAACTGATGTACTGACACGAACTCCAGGACGAGGCGAAGAATTTCAGGAGGACAGGCGATGGCCCGTCCCCGCCACGTAGAGCTCGCTTTTCGTCCCCCGACAACGATGTCTTATCACCCGGAACTGGTGCCGGCGGCGGACGTCGACCGCGCCGCCCAGCCAACAAGGACGGCGGGAGGGACAAGCACTTGTACCGGAACGACGGGCGCCACCACAACGCCAACGGTAACGGTGACGCCCCCCAACGCCCTCCACTTACCTCTTGGCCTCCCTCCAACATGAGCAGCCAGGAGGTCCTCACTCTGGGCCAAGCCATGGATCTCATATCCAGCGGCGTTCCCGCACACAAGGGCCACAAGCGGGCTATTCCTCATGCTCCAGACCACTATTATGCTCTCTACACCACATCCGCCGGCACACCGGGCGACGAATCGGACGCCGTGAACCTGCATGATTCCATGACCCAGTTCATGACTATGCGCATCCAGGGCTCTGGGTCCGGCCGTTCCTCTGACATGGCCACGTACCCATGGGATACTTTGGAACAACCCTCCTACGCTTTTTACTTTGGTCGTACTCCTGGCACTGTTACTCTGAACCAGTGGGCATCCTGCGCCAGCCGCATACCCCCGACCATTGCCCTCCGTGACTCTGGTGCTGTCCCTCGCGACGTCGATCTCCCCCGCATCTTTGAGCGCCTGAAGGAACTCGAATCCGCCCACGCCATCGAGGACGAGTCCGAAGAACGAATGTACCGCAGCCTCTACAAGCGCTTCCTTCGCGACCCGGATCGTGCAGCGGGAAACCCGCACCGGACCCTGGATCGCCAGATCACCGACCTCATCTTGGTTCTCTCGCGGCCTGGCTACTGGGTTGATTTTTCCGATCTACGGAATCAAGTCGCTACCCGCTTCCTTTTCGACCGTGGTCGCGAAGCCGCCGAACGATACCTGCGTTTCTGCCACCAGCTGCTCCTGAGTCTAGAACTGGAGATCCGTATCCAGGCGCGGGCCCACGGCGAGGCGGCCAAAGAGAAGCTCCTTAATCAGCTGCCGCCAACCATCCGTTGGGATCTGGCCCTCGCTAAGCGCTGGCGCCAGAACATCCGTGTCGAACGTTGGGGGAGGATGCCCGAGGATGTGCGGCTGCGATACAAGTTGCGGAAGCGACAGATGCGCATGCTGAAACGGTTCGCTCAGGTGATGAAGTGGCCCAACTTGGAACAGTTGGTGGATGCAATGAATGAGCACGACGCCGAGGATACTCTTGATCTCGTCAGCTCGGACGCGTTCGCCTTTTTCAGCGGGCTCATTCTGCCAGGGGTAGGTTTCGACTTCTTACTTTCCCTGTTACTGTCCGAACTAGCTTGACCTTCCTATCTGGCGATTGTGTTACTGACGCTTCATATCAGACGACCTTTCCCTTTCTCATCATGAACACTCTGATCGACCTCGATCCTGACGAGGCGACTGACGCTCTGGCCCTCATGACCCACTTGAACCCGAACAGCGGCTTTCAACACCGATCTTACACCTACTGGTCCGCGTCCTGCATCGTGGGCAAGGTCCTCGCGCCTACCTGTCATGCCCTTGCCGGTTGGATCGGCCCGGCTCGCCCTTCACCGGATTTGGGACGGTCCCAGATTGTTCGTGTGCGTTGCCGTCGCGCCACGAAGCAACTTTTGACCCCCGAAGACGTTACGTCCATGAGCGAGCGCAGCGATCCACTGGGCCCTCCGTCGGAAAACTTCCCCGTGCAGGAGTATAAGCTGGTAGAGCCTAAGCATGCGGACAGCCTTCTCGCTGATGGTGTGCGCATCGAGGTGTTGAGCTTCAAACCGTCGGCAGGTTCTGGGGGACAAGAACGAAATGTAGGCGGCGATGCGATTCGCGTCAACGAGCCACAGTGGTACGAAGCCTCCGTTCAATTTGCCATCGATGGCGTTTCATGGCCTCTGCGTCTCGCCTACGACGTATCGTTCATCTCCGCCTGGCCGTGCAAGGGCGGACCGCACCCGTTATTTTTCGACTACGTTTTCGAGACGATACGGGCTGACAACATCGTTGCGGTCCGGAACTGGGGCGGCTTGTACTACGGCGGGAGCAGAAGGGCCAGTGTGCAGGCACCGGAAAGCGCGACTGGGCGGGGAGGAGGGAGCGCTTCTGGGACCGGCGTCAGTGGCCACGACGCTGAGAACGAGCCAGAAAAAGTTCTCGTCGTTGAGGCGTTCGGAGTGCCGGATCATGACGTTCTGGCGAGGGCGTGGTGCAGTCATTGGGGGTTGTCTGCGGTCGTGGCGGACGTGTCCAAGACGTGCATGGGATGCGCTATTCGAGAGGCGTACGCAGCTACCTTGACGGTGGTGATACTCATTGATTCCTCTGCCGGAAAGGGAACTTCTGAGTGAAGAGACGGGGTGCTTATTTAATGTTTCAGGCGGGCAAGCATTGGGAAGGAGCTTTTGACGAGAGACGACGACTTTACGAAGGCAGATCCAGAACGCTACGAGCTTATGAGTTTACGACAGGGATTCTCCGCAATTTGTACGGCGTTGAAGTGGAAATATTATTCGGAACAGGCTGAGCTTGATTCCCCTCATCGAAACTAGAAAGGGGAGAAAGATGGATACCCGGGAGATGAGTGGTGACAGCAGCTACTTATCGAAGCACGGAGCGCGCGGGAGCTCGAGGGGACCTGGCGTTTTACGTCTGACATGCGTCGTTCTTCTACTCCGTGATCTTGAAATTAATAGGAATAATTAATGTCCTTGCACATCGCGTCAGTTATTCAGGCAAACATCGCCTTTCGCGCAGCTACCACTCTAGCCTCCTCACATTACAAATACAGTCCGGTCAAAACATGTCATCAATGATGCCGCGGAAAGCCGCCAAGTGCTCGCGCCACGGTGCTCGCCCTTCCTCGGTCGCAGACCAGGCAGCTACCGAGCGCAATCCGTCGAGGTCGGCGCGCATATGGTCGCGTCTAGAAGTGCCGTCCAGGACGCAGTTGTGGCCCAGGGCGAGGACGAAGGCGTACAGGGCGACCTCGACGGGGACGGCGGCTGCGCTGGCGACGCAGTCGACGGGGGCAGAGCGGAGCAGGCGCGCGTTGGCGGTGAGGGTCCAGAAGGACTGGTAGATGATCCCGTGGTGGCGGCAGAGGGCACGGATGCCGCGGTCGTGGCTCGTGTCCGGGTAGAAGCGGTTCTGGACGAAGGAGGGCTTGATGGTTGCGTTGGTGACAAGGTGGTCTATGTCTTCTAGGCGGAAGACGTTTGAGATGCCGAGGCGGCGGACGGGGTGGGGGGCGAACTGTTCCATCACGCGCCAGGCCCGGAGGGTTTCGGCGTGGGTGGCAAGGGGGGTGTGGAGGATCAGGGCGTCGAGGTACGGAGCGTCCTGTGCTCCTTCCCCGGCGCCGTGTGCCCCTTGAGGTTGTTGGTTTGCGTGTTCTGTACTGGGGAGATGGGAGAGGTGGGCAAGTGAAGAAAACAGGGACGAGCGGATCTGGGCCTCAATAGGAGCCGAAGGGTCGTAGGGAAGGGGGGTGGGGAGATTGGGCGACCAGAGCTGAGTTGGAGTGAACTTGGTTTGGATGTAGAGGGAGGAGCGGGTCACGGGGCAACCGGGGGAGGAGAGGTAGGCGCGGAGGCCGGCGCCGACGAGGTCTTCGCGGTAGTGGCTGGGCTGGGCGGCCGTGTCGATGGCGCGGAAGCCGGCGGATAGGGCGTCGGTGACTAGTCGGGCTGTGCGGTCGGCTTTCCATGCGGTGCCGTAGATGAGGCGAGGGATGGAGGTGACGCCAGGTATATCGACGCTCTGGGCTGGGAGCGGGAGAGGCGCGTCAACGGCGAGGTCGGTACTAGGAATGCCGTTCGTGGTCATTGGCGATAACTCGGCGGGTATTGATCTGGATGAGAGTGTGTGTGCTCCGGGCCGATATCTTATTTCGTTATTTGATTGTTTCCTTATTCCTTGGTTGATTGTGTAGCAGGGTCTGCGTCGAATTGGATACCCAGTGATTGTCGGAGGTTTATTATGCATGAAGGACCATCATAAGAAGTCGGAAGACGAAGATGGAGGACATCGTTGTCGACTTGACGGAGCTTACAATGCAGATATCTTAGTGGAGGTATACTTTCATCTATCTATCATGTATCCTGAACCTAGGTACCTACCCGGGAGGGGGGGTTTCTAGGTCAGAGCTCGGACAGAGACTTTTGCTCTGACCAGAGCCAGGACAGAGAAATTTCTGTCGACATGATGTTCTAAGACTGTTGACAGATTGACCAGTTATCGGGCTCTGTCCTATACCCCCCCAAACCCGGGTAGGTAGGTATGGTAAGAAATGGTGGAATCGGTCCTGTAGCTGTTACCGACAACTACAAATAGCTGGATAAGGCATTGAGGTAGTCACAGATGCATCTTTATTACTTTGCGGTTTGATTTCTTGAGGAGAGCACGACCGAGGAGAGTCTCAAAATAGAAAGGATGCCCCGCGGTGACATTCAGGTGATTACGTCATTTGACCCCTCATTACTCATGACTTCAAATGACTAATAATTAAGGTAAGGCAGGGCAGCGACTTCCGTAATAGGTACTCCGCATTTCCAGGGGGCAGGCATATTTTACCGAGTAATTTCTGAGAACCGTCCGACTTCCGTCAAAAGACATTTCGGTGCATTGATGCGACTGTTCTTGCACAAGACAAACAAGTGCTATATATATATAAAAATCCCACTGCATATATCTTCGCCATGCGGAGTATCGGAAGCTCCATCCTCGGGCATCCCCGCCGTTGTCCGCTGTCGGTTCTTTCTTTTGATTGGGGGCCGTTCCAGAAGTGAGAAACCTTGTCAGATGTCCGCCCCCGAGTTCTCGCGGCAAAGAACCCCACAGTCGACGGGGGGTTTGGTGATTCCAGTGACAATTCTTGGAGAGGAATGGCGACAATCAATTGATCCCAATTCCAGACTCCCCTCGGGACCAATGTGGGCTCTCCGACCACTAACCTTTTGTCAAGCCGTCTCCCGATGGCAATCCCTCCGTCCAACATTTCGCAGCCTCGTTTCCTTCCCTATGGACCTATGGACCTAACGACATAATCCAGCTCCGCCGCCGTTAGACCACGGAGCATCGCCCCCCGGCTGCAGGGTCCTGTGGTCCCTTTTTCTACCCCTCCTTCCCCCCTCCTTCAGGTCGTTTCAGAGAGCAGAGAGCATCGACAAGCGCGCCTTTTTTTTCTTTCTCCTTGTTCTTTATCAATTGTCCAATTGTCCAATTGCCCAACGCCAATTTCAAGAAAGAAAACATCCTGCGATCGAGTCCAATACATACATGAAAAGGAACCAACCATACATTCTTCGAAATCGAAATCTGCTTCAAGGAAACCGCAAATATGGCTACCGAGTCGTTCACGCTGCGCTGGGGAATCCTGGCCACCGGCTTTATCGCCGAAAGTGAGTCCCGCCTACTCTTTCTTGTTGCACCTTTCTTGTCATCTGTCATCCATCATCCGTCACACGTCTTATTCAAAGATTTCCCGCTGACAAGTGTGTTTTCATCCTTTTACAGTGTTCACCAGGGACCTCCTCACCAACACCGCCTCTCGCGAGGTCACCGACGTGACCCATAAGCTCGTTGCCGTCGCCTCGTCCAAGGAGGCTCAAAAGGCCAGCGACTTCATCAAAAAGGTCGATGGCCCGGCTGAGGCCAAGGCGTACGGTTCCTATGCCGAGCTTGTCAATGACCCGGACGTCGACATCATCTACGTCGCCACGCCGCACTCCCACCACTTCCAGAACACTATGCTCGCCCTCCACGCCGGCAAGCACGTCCTCTGCGAGAAGGCCCTGACTGTCACCGCCGACCAGGCCCGCCGCCTTGTCGAGACGGCTCGGGAGAAGAACCTCTTTCTCATGGAGGCCGTATGGACTCGCCACCAGCCTTTGAGCAAGAAGGTCCGCGAGCTCGTCGCCGCCGGCGAGATTGGCCCCGTCTCTCGTGTCTTCGCGGACATTTCCTTCAATAACCTCGCTGGCGAGGATGGCAAGCTCTACCACGCCGACTCCTCCCGCAGTGTCAACCTTGACCTCGCTGGTGGCGCCCTCCTCGACCTCGGCGTCTACGCCCTCACCTGGGTCTTCCAGGTGCTCTACCACATCCAGCCCGAGGCGGACAAGGAGAAGCCCGAGGTGGTGGCCGCGCTCAACAAGTACCACACCGGCTCGGACGACTCGACCGCCATCATCCTCCGCTTCCCCAAACATAACACCCTCGCCGTGGCCACCACGTCGATGCGGACCGCCACCGACCCCTCTGACAAGGGCCTCGTCCCCGCCGTGCGCATCCAGGGCGCCAAGGGCGAGATCCAAGTGGGCAACCCGGCCTTCCGCCCCGATGACTATCGCATCATCCGCAAGGACGGCGGCGGCGAAGTAGAGACGGTCAAGTACTCCCCTCCCGTCGACGATGCCCGCGGCGGCTGGGGCCAGGGCTTCTACTGGCAGGCCGACGAGGCCGCCCGTTGCATCCGCGACGGCAAGATCGAGAGCTCCGTCATGCCCCTCGACGAATCCATCGCCATCATGGAAGTCGTTGACGCCGCCCTCCAGCAGGGCGGCGTCGCCTACCCGGACCACATCACCAGCACCGAATACGACCCCCAGAACCCCCTCAACACGGGCAAGGCTTGAAGGGACGCAGCGAGACAAAAAAGCCCTCGAAGCGTGATGTGAACTTTTTTTTTGTGTGTGTGTGTGTATTACAGGCATAGCGTGAATGATTGATCTGTCATGCCCCTTTTTTATATATATTATTTCTTTTCTGGGAATCAGGGTATGGCGGGTTAGAGAATAAGTATACAAGCAGGGTAGAATAATACTGATAGATTCTACAGCAATGCAGACGTGTCGCACATCTAGATGCACGCCACTGTTGATATTGATGTGCAGGCCTGTGCATTATATCCAACATAATTTCGCTTATGCCCCCACAATGTGAGATGGTGTCGACTCCCACACCCCCCTATAGATTTAATGCGTTATAATTCAAACTCCTAACCAGGAACTACTTGATGCAGCGCAGTTCGTCTGAAATGCGGTCCGAATCTTCTGACACTTGCTCGGGAGTGGGCCCTCCCTCCCCCCTTTTTTTCTCTGCGGACGGACGTCTGTCATGCGGGATATCCGGGGTCGGATGCGAACCGTTGCAACACCAGGGGAGTAGGTAAGACGAGACAGCGGGGGCCTGAGCCCAGACTTGGCATTCATTTATTATCGTGGCTAACGTGACAAAAGCAAGTTTGTACGAAGCGAGCAGGTAGGTTTACCGGGTGAGATGAGTAACAGGTAGCAAGCCAACTACGTATTGCGTTCCTAATTCGTAGTCTTGTGGCTTTCCCACTTACCGCTTCCGGCCGTTGTGACGGTGAGAAGCCCATGAACCGGAGGGCGAAACCATTATGGCATCGCACTGAGACCTAATATATCGATTGGCTTATGCAGGCATCCGCATCCAGTGTCAGCCTGGTCAGCCTGGCCGACCCGAGAAGGAGAAGGAAGGCGAGTGCCGTTTGGAGATGCCAGACGGACCCGGAACCAGCTGATTTAGTCGGCCGATCAAACTGGCGTAGCGGGTACGGGGGACGTTGTACGTTGTACGTTGTACGTTGTACGGTGCCGGGGGTGCCGGGGATAAGCGGAACACCATCGGATCCAGTGGGGTTGAAGGAAGAGGAACTGGAGGCGTTCGTGGTTTAGTTCCAGGTTCCCGCGGATACAAATGTACCTTCATATTTATACGAAGTATCCGTACGCAATGACCTCTCTTCACCTACCATGTTCTCGACGAGGAGATTCTGTTGAATTCACGGGAGCGTGCGTGTAGGGAGCGTTGATTTAGGAAATATATAATTGTATTATGTATAAAAGAGAAAGAAAAAGGGGGCGGGTATACGTGTCCTAAATATATCTACTACCTTCTACGCGAGGATAGTAGGGCACCTCTAACTAATAGAAGGTTATTATACCGTGGCTTACGTAATAGAATATAATATACCCCCTAATTATTACGCCGTGATTAGCGGAACGATTACTTAGCCTAACCTTAACCTAGCCTTATTTTTAACCTTAAAATAGCCTTAAAGAGTCGTGTAATACCTTTAATATCGAGTTAAAAGGCAGGAATAAAAGCTATAAAATAGTAAAGAATAATAATAATAATAGTAAATAATAAAGGAAAAGTGCTATTAATAGTAATAGTAAATAAGTAATAGTAAGGCCTTCTGTAGATAAATTAAAGGCGTTATACCGGCGTTTTAGAGCTTTTAGATCCTCCCTCTTATAACCTCTTATGCCGTTGTTTTTCGAGGAACTTTTAACGATTTTTGAACTAATTTTTCCGATTTTCCTATGAATAGTAATAAAAATAATAATAATAGTGATATAGTGAGTATCGGAGCTTTGTTTTTAGTGGCGCGTGCTAATTAGTAGCGTTATTTAGGCTCCTCCTACTCTCTTAGCGGTTATTTATACGGCGGCGGCGAAGAAGGCTTCGTCTAATAGCGTTAAGAAGAATAAGGGTAAGGGTACTAGTAAAAAGGGTACTACTATAAATTATTTTAGCGCGTTTATTTTAGATCTAATTACTCTAGACCTTAGCTAATTCCTAATAGACTGCTAAGGGTAGTAGTAATAATAATAATGATACCGATAACGATTTTATTCTAGTCCTATTCGAACCGCCCTGCCTCGAATACGTAAAGGGTATTTATTCTAGAAGATAGCGCTCCTTTAATTACTATATTTCTATTCCTAGGCGCTCTAATAAATACTAAAAGTATAAGAATAAAAACTTTATATACTACCCTCTATAAGTTCTTACCCCCTATTTAAGGCGCTTTACGATTATAATTATATACTCTATTTTATATTAGCTCGAAAATATATATGCTATTAAGCTTTACGACTGCTAACCTATACTTATAGTTTTTCTGGCCTTATATCCTTAGTTAAAATTCTTTTTAACTATATTATAGTTTGTAAAATTAATAAGGACTCCAATAACGATAATAAAAAGGTGCGTTTATCGCTTTATTTCTAAATTAGAATACTTTAACTAACTATTTCGCGTAGTTCTTTACTAAACTTAAGTAAACGGTAAAGTTTATAATTAAGTTAATAGAGGATAAGGAAAACGAGAAGTTCTTCCGTAAGGAAGAACTTAAGGGAGTATTAAACTAGCTTCCTGCTATTACATTAAGCAGTAATTCTACCTCCTAGCTCGCGGGGGTTATAATAGAGATTTTACGGGAAAATAGCTTTATTATTACTCCTCCGGCTAAAGGAAATAATATGGTGGCTAGCGTATCTAATACGTAAGATAGTGCTCCGGATAAAGCCGATAAAGCTTAGTAACTTAGCTAGTATACTTTTTTAGTATTTTAGGATTTACTTTTAGGTTTTAGTATAGTGTTTTAGTATAGTGTTTTAGTATTAAGATAACTATACCCTCTTACTTTTTACTAAATTAACTAAACCGCCGGCGCGCGGTACGCCTAGGGCGTGGGAATTTCGACTTTAACTACTTCTTTCCACCCCTTTTATACACTAATTATATTAAGATATACTCGGAAGTTCTCGAATTTTTATTGTGGAAATACTTTTATTAATCTATCTGCTAATATTAAATTCGTAGTAAGATATACGACTCTAAATAATCTCTTTATATTCTCTTGTCTTACCTAAAAGCGCTATATATCTATATAGCGAAGCCTAGTCTTAATCCTAAAGCTATTATCGACTACTAGACATATCGTTTACGTGTTATCGTAATAGATATCCTAAGGAGATTCTGGATTAAAGCGTATTTCGACGAAAAGACGCTTTAAACCTATTATTTCCTTCGCTATTTACTTTAAAGCTAGTAGCTTTACTTCGGTTATAGACGTTATTACCGTTACTTACCTTATTACTTCTTATATAATTAATCCACTAAATAGACTAATAAAGTAACCCTATAAAGATCTTCGTGTATCTAAATTATTTATAAAAAAGGCGTCGCTTACGATAACTATCGCCTATAAACTAATACTTAATCCGTACTAAATTAAGAGGTCCTTTATTATAAATAAATAGCGGATAGCTTAGTCTACCGCCTTATAGTGCTTAGGAGAGGGGTTTCTAAGAAAGCGAGAGAGGATAAAGGCGGTGAATACTATATTAGGACGTATTATAACTACTATATAAAGTATTAATCCGATCTTTTCTTAATACGATTTAATCTCTTAAGCGGTGGTTTCGTCTTCTCTTTTCCGGTATTCTATAATAGGAATAGAGATTACTAGGTAGGTGTTTAGAGCGTCTAATTTAAACCTAGTTACGATCTTTTCGATATATAAGTTATAGGAGAGGAAAACCTTATATCGAGGGCGATCTCGAGTAATCTTAATACTTAAAAACTAATTGGCTTCCCCCTTTTCTAATACCTTAAACCTTATTTTAATCCCTTCGATAATCCTAAGGCCGTTTATAGTATTATCTCCATAAAATAACACGAGAATATCGTTTATAAAGAAGATAACGAATACGTTTTAAGCCTTAGTATAGAATAAGCACGGTTCTTCCTTACTAGCCTTTATCCCTAAGTCTATTAGAGTGGCCGCGAAGGTCTAGAACTATAGTCTAGGCAAGTCGTATAGTCTATATAGTGTTTTATCGAGCTTTAAGCGCTTATCGGGATACTTAAATCTATCGGGAAGTTTATATATAATAGACGTTCCTGTTTTACTCCTCTAGGCGTTAATAAAGACGTTATCGATATTAAGTTACTTAATCTTTAGATTAAACTAAGTAGCTAGGGCTATAATAATACGAAAAGATTATATAGCGAGCGTTACTACGTAGGTTCCCTTAATTATTAAGCTCTCCTATAAGTCCCCTTAAATATATAAGCGTGCCTTATATCGTTTAAGATATCTGTCTTAGTTAAACTTATAAGTAAAAACCCACTTTAACGGAAAAGGCTTTAACTTCGTCTCTAAACGCTTAATTTCCCTCTATATACGCTTTTTAATTAGCTTATTTACCTCCTTCTACACGGCTTCCTTAAACCGTTTATATATCGGGTAGTTAGTAAGCTCCCGCTAATACCTTAGTATAGCCTTTAGGTAGTCGTGATAAACCCTGCTATCGATTAAGGGCTTTAATAATATTATAGCCTCTTTTTTAGTATTCGAACGGGTATTTATTTTAGCATCGGCTACTCTAAGGATTATTGAATTAAAGATTAGAAGCCTTTTTAGCCTATCCTAGCGCTCTTCTTATTAATTAGATAAGAAAAAGATATAAGTTAAAGGTATATCTAGCTTTACCTAATATATCCGTGGATTAATCCGAATAGTCTTTCCTTAAGCACGGCGATCGGTAATTCTTATACTAGCGCGCGTTACTTCCTTTACTAATATACTCTTTTTCCTTTAATAGGCGGTCACCTTAGGAGTCGGTTAGATAGGTAGTCTAGATTCGGACGCTATAGTACGGCTAATGCTATAGTACGGATTAAGGGTAGTTAGTTCTTATACTATCGCCTACGTACTCCATTCTATAATTAAAATCGTTAAAGTATCCGTATTAAGCTTTAGTATATATAATCCTAGCATATCGGTTATGGTATCTTTTTAGGTGGCCGCTCTATTATCTTATTAGTTAGAAGAATTATTAATTAAGAGTTCCTCCGAAGACTATAGCTCTACGCTTATAACCTAAAGATTCCTACTCTAAGGATTAGGTGTTACGCGTAGGGTTTAAAGTCCTATCGTGGGCGGTTCGGGTATATTAGGTGTATCTAGTAATAACGATAAAGCGTCTAATTTAGCCTTTACTACTCTTACCCCTAAGTTTAAACCCGTGGACTATACTTATTCTTTAGAAGGTACGCTATCTATTAATCTACCTGGAGGGTAGGCCTATAAGATAAAGTCGTTATCTTTATCTTCTTATATTTTATAAGTTATAAGCTAGTTTCTCGCCTTAGGCTTTAGAATCTATTTTGCTTCTGTAAGCTATAGTTTATAAAATAACTACTCGTTAAACTATATATTACGCGTTATAATAACATTTTAAAGCTATAGAATCTATACTCGGTAAATATTATAGGTAATATAACCTATAAAATACCTAATATATCCCCTTAGTTAAACCTTATATAGTTTCCTATTCCTCCTAGCCTCCCTATCCCTTACTATTAGATAGGAGCGGTAGCCGTAGGTATAAATACTACTCTAATTAGGGTATAGGTCGGCTATATACTCTTTTACCGGAATTGGCGTATTATCTCTAAACTATAAGTTAAGGATTTCTACTAGGGATTTCTATCCGTGTTATTATAAGGGACTTATATTATATAATAACGCTACCGTTTTAATACTTTCTAGCTATTTATCTAGTGGAATTCCTACTCCGTTAAGTATAGCGTTAGGCTTTATAATAATTAGTTAACCGGCTCTTTCGCTACCTCTATTCGGTTTATAGGTATAGGGCAGTATAATTTCTATATCGATTCTTTAACTACTCGCCTATAGCTGAGTTATTAAATTCCTTGCTAGATTAACGATCAAGGGCTTATTATTACTACGTATCTTATAGATATATAATATAAACTACCGGTTAACCTATCGTTCGAAGGCTTATAACGCATTATAGACTATAACGCTATTTTTTAAAGCTAAAGGCAGTATATAGATCTAGCCGCTACTTTTATCCTTTATTATAAGAAGATATCGTATACCGTTATAGCTCTTAGATAGCTTTTAAAGATCCTAATAAATACGCTAAAACGGTGGTGGGGAGCGGTATTCTAACGTGTATCGAGATATAACTTAATATACCTAGGTTCGGGAGTATATCTTATAGTTTATCTGCTTAGTTCCCTTAATTAACACGTTCCTAGCGTTACGAACTAATACTTATAGAGCGCTTAGTCTAAGATAGCCTACTCTTAAGTGCTATAACTATTCTTCGTCGACTTATAGATAAGGAGGGTCGCGGGAAGGTTAGTAATATCGGTAAGCTCTTATTAATCGATCGACTACTATAACTAATATATATTAATAGTTATAATTAATCGGAATAATACTATATAGTATTAGTTAGAATAACGAATAAGAAGAAAAAGATAAAATTAGCTTATACTAAAGGATAGTTATATTAAAGCGTCGAAGCAGCTTTAATAAGACTACGCTCTTCTCCGCTATTCTAAAGCATAATAAGCAGTTATATCCCGAATACTAGATCCTAACCTTATATAATAGAGCTTCCGATATCATATTTATATAAAATCCCTCTATAATAACTATATCGTTAAGCTCTAAGTTAGCTTTTAGAGTATCTAGAGGTCTATTAAGGATTCCCTTTAGAATCCGTTTACCTTTACTAATAATCGGAAAGTCGGTTATACCGGATTCGATAGATCCCTTTATAGAAATAAAGGAACCTAGAATAAATAAGTTAATTAAGTTAATAAGGTAAGTTACGCCGTAATTATTAAGAAGAGTGCTTTATAAGAGCGGGTAAGGGCTTAGTCGGAGCGCGGTATAAATCCTAAGGACTTTTTCTATAGTATAGATAAGGGCGGGATTTAGGATAGTTATAATTACCTTCCTAGGATACCTATCTCCCTTACTACTACCGCTCTCCGAGCTTTTTTATCTCTTTTTCGATAGTTTTTCGCGTAAGCTTTTCTACTTTAGGAGCTTAATCTCCTTCCGTATCTCCTTATACCACTTATTATTGATATAGGTATTAGATCTCTACTTATATTTTCCGGTTAAAGCGTACTCTAACTTATTATAATACTCTGGTTTCTAAGTGTGTTCGCGTTAATAAGGGTAATTAGTACTCTTTTTCTTAGGCTTCTTTCCGTCTTTATTATTATCTAAGCGGTCTCCTAAGGTCGCGTAAACGCCGTAACGCGTTCTAACTATAGTTAGAGCGCTTATAATAGCGTTAAACTCGCGGCCGTATATTAGAAGATCGGAAATCTTATTACCGCGGACCTTTTTTATTATTAGCTCCTAAAGCTTAGTTTCTACCTAAATAAGCGTAAACTTCTATATAACTACTATAAAGAAGTTCCGAATAGTAATAGGTCCTTTAATCTCAGCTATCTTTTACTAACGTGCGCGTCTAATAAGGGTATTCTACTCCGTATACTATATAGCTATTTTAGTATTAGCTTAATAAGTATTTTATAGATACTTTTCATATACTCGTCTTATCTCTTCCTTCGTATAAATACTACTTAGAGTAAAGCTACTCTTAAGTTCCTTTATTATATAGCGTAACGTAAAGTATCGGTTTTATTTTTTCTTATTATAGCCGGGATATTTCTTAATAGCCTTTTTAATAGCCTATTAATAGGTAAAGGTCTCCACGGTGGTTTTAAGTAGTTAATTAGCTTTATTAAGCGCCTTAATAAGGCGACTAAGCTTTTAATTCTAGGCTATAATCTACTAGTTCTCGATTTTGGTAAAGCGTATAAGCTTTTACGTTAAGGGTATAACAGTATTATCGCCCTCGCCTTAGGAATACTATTCGCGTAGTTAATCTAGGGATTCAGGTATAATATACTTAGGACAGTTATCTAGCTAATCCTTTTAGTTAGGATCGAGTAATACCTAGACCTTTATCCTTTATATATACGACTAGATATAGAAGATTTAATCGGCCTATTACTATATAGATTTAAGGCGCGGGATACTAAGCGCTTTAGCCGTGATCTTAAGCTTATTTAATATAGTATCGAGTAAGAGTTTAGCGAATAAAAGCTTATTATTAGTAAAGAGAGCGTAGGAGGGCTCCGTAATACTATAAAAGTATATAAAAATAAACGTAGATAATAGATTAGCAGGAAGTTACTAGTTATTACTATTACCCGGGCTTATAACTATTAAATTTATAGGAGCGTGCTTATAGGGAGCGTTAATTCGGGAAATATATAATTATATTATATATAAAAGAGAAAGAAAAAGGGGACGGGTATATATATCCTATATATATCTGCCACCTTCTAAGCGAGGATAGTAGGGCACCTCTAACTAATAGAAGGTCACTATACCGTGGCTCACGTGATAGAATGTGATAGATTCCGATATGGTTCCCCAAGTTGATGATATCAGCAGAAGTCGTACTTTTAGGTTAGGTACCTTAGGTACGTTATACATCTCTTAGACCCACTTCCTCCTCCGCCGATTTCGCAGAATAAGTTGGGCCCAATAATAAATTCTTCGTCGCTCACAACCGCAAATACCAAGCTTGTCTTGTACTTTAATTCCGATTCCTCTCTTTGCGTGGGACAACTTGCTGCGACCTGCGGGGGCGGCAGATTGCGGTTGCTCGCGCCGTTGTACTAAACCTTATCTGGACTTATCTGGAACAGCAAGAAGACAAGATAGGTACTGGACGACTGAGGCTATTACCGGCCCCTGCAATAGGTAAACCCACATATCAGCTCGACTCCATTTGGATATTCTCGTCATCGTTCTTTGACCTCTTTCCCCTTTTCCCTTTGCACTTTCCCTCCCTTTCCTTTCATGTCGATTTTCTTACTTCATTACGCACACTCCCTTCTCTGCCCCCCTCTCTGCATCGACCGTCTCAGATCGCGCTTCGCATAAGAGTCACCTGTCTAGACGCCTGTCAGTTGTCCATTCACATTCACCTGCCTCCCCCAGCCTGTCCCCCCCCCGGTATCTTCTCTTCCCGGTCTTCGTCCAGTGGTCCCGAAATTGTGGTTGAGGGTGTCGATCAAGCGGCCTTGGTACGACGCTACCAGGGGGCTCAAGGACAAAGCGTACGGGCAAGCAAGGGACAAGGACAAGGGGTCAGAGGGAGCAAGGTTTCCCTACTTGCGGGCAGACCAGGACCAGAACGACGGGCATTGGCCTCGGGTGAGAATTGGGAGACTTTCCCACGGCATTTCCCGAGAGACAACCCCAGGTAAAGTACAGAGTACGTACACCGACTTCCAAAAACGTTCTAGAAAGTCCATTGCGTGTACACCTTACCTGAAGCCCAACCCAGCCAGCTGGGGAGGGGTTTAAAACTTCCCGTATCTTGGGAGAAAGGTACGAAGTAAAACTACGAAGTACCTTGTGTGCGACGAGCACAGACAGCGTTGAGGGATATTGACAACACATCACCCATGACTGACGGCCATATCCCTCCGGAGCCTGCCCTATCCGCTCCAATGACCTCGCTGTCGGAGCCCGCCGAGACATCAGGAGCCATGGCGACGACTATGACGGCAGGGACCGCAGAGACGTCCTCGTCCTCATCCTTCGACCCAGAGACGTACGAATCCACCCACGTCCACTCCGTCTACGAGGCCATCGCCCCGCACTTCTCCTCCACCCGCCACAAGCCCTGGCCCCTCGTCGCTGACTTCCTCGCCTCCCTCCCGCCCGGCTCCGTGGGCCTCGACGTCGGCTGCGGCAACGGCAAGTACCTCGCCGTCAACCCTTCCCTCTGGCTCATGGGCTCCGATAGGAGCGCCAACCTCGTCTCCCTCGCCCGGGAAAACGACGGCAGTGCTGCTGCTGCTGCTGCTGCTGCTGCTGCTGCTGCTGCTGCTGCTGCTACTGCTACCGCTGCCGTTGCCGCAGACAAGAAGGAAAAGGGAAAAGGAAAGGGGAAGGGGAAGCAGAGGAAAGCGAAAGATGCTTCGGCCACAGGGCATGGCAACGACGAAACAGCCGAGCAGAACGGGACCGGAGCGGAAGCGGCACAGGTGGGGGCAAAGCAAGGAGAACGAGAAGGAGGAGGGCGACGACGACAACGTCTCAACGAGGTCACCGTCGCTGACTCCCTCGCCCTACCTTACCGTGCCTCTTCCGCCGACTTCGCCATCAGCATCGCCGTTCTCCACCACCTCTCTACCCGCTCCCGTCGTCGAGCCGCCGTCCGCGCCATTCTCGACTGCCTCCGTCCCGGGTCAGGCGAGGATGGTCGTAACGGCGAGGGAAAGGCGATGCTGTACGTATGGGCCTTGGAGCAAGGATCTAGCCGGCGAGGGTGGGACGAGGACGCCTCACAGGATCAGCTTGTACCTTGGGTAACCAAGGCGGGCACCGGGAAGACCCACAAGGAGTCGGACTCTAGGAAGCCAGAAAACGACACCACATGGCATCGTTATTATCATCTTTACAGGAAAGGGGAGTTGGAGGAGGACGTGCAAGCCGTGGGCGGTGTGGTGCTGCACAGCGGATATGAAAAGGACAACTGGTGGGCGATATGCACAAGAGGGCTTGAGATGTAGCAATCGCTGATATACATCCCAGTACTTTGCATACAAAAAGGGGGGGGAAGAAATAGAAAGGGGTGAATGTCCAAGAAAACTCCGCATGTCTCACCAACCATCCCCCGTATGATACCCGATGATATTTCCGCCATAACGCTATGCTACCAGTGCCTGTCCCTTCTTCTTTAGCATCCTTCCATACTCCATGTGCGGCGATCCGACCTGACCCGATCGCCAACACTACCTTACCTACGCCTTGATGTTGTCTTTTTGTATTCCCTGCCAGACCACTTGCCAACAGAAATCCAAATAACCAATCACAACTTTTGTAGCTTCTAGTTACTCTCTTGTAGCAACCCCTTTCCCTTCTTCCCTCCCAATTTCCCTTCCCTTTAAACAGACATGCAAGAAGAAAAAGTAACTCAAAACAAACCATAAATAAATAAATAAAAGAAGCCAGGTGGTTCTCTTGAAGACCCTAGTATGTCATTCAAAACGCCGTCTCTGCAGTTGTGGAAGGTCAACTGGCAATTAAGCGAATAAACCCCAGATTAAAGCGGCTTGATGAAGTCGAGTCGTGATCGCGGTGAAAAAGGCTAATCGAGACGGTATGCGATGCGCGTAACAAAAATGCTGGTCATGATGTATATGTTGTCTGGTTTGATAGCGTGTGTCCATTCCCATCATGCAATCGTGGCGTCGTCTCTTCATTTTGGTGCCTTCGCCTTGCCCATTTCTTTCTGGTTGGCTCTCTAGTACTCAGTGTCTTCGCCGGCTCGTCTCTCGATGTCCCATGTCGGTTCCGGGACTTGCTCGTCGCTTATATCTCGTCGGTTCGTGTGGTTGCTGGTACTGGACCGGTGGAAGAAAAGACCCCGGACTGGCTTTTGTCGGGGGGCCGGGGCTCATGCCAGGTGGTGCCATCGAATAGGCAGGCGTGTTGTAAGGACTTACACCCGTCGTTAACTCCGCCAGACCAGGGAGCGAATCCTGTCCACGCGGCGGTGGGTGACTATGTATCGGTGGAAGTCCAGATCCCGCGGCACCCATCGGGAGTCCCTCGTTTGGGTCGGCAACTATGGGAGGGGGAGTCGGTGGTGGAGGAAGAGAGAGAGGAGGAAGAAGGCTTTCTCGTCTTGAGGTCAGTGTTCGGCCGCCTGTTAGAGGCGAGATTCCCGCTGCCCGACCGTAACGTGGTGTTGCCCCGGAAAGCTCTCGAGGGACACTGCCTTGTGATTGCGAGTGCGCGTGTCTGCGGGAAGGGGTATTGCGAGCACCCCCTTGACCCTGGTCGACGCTGGCAGATGCCAATGAGAAAGGAACAACGCCCGCCCGACGCGCCATATCAGCTTCTCCCAACTGCCAGTGCATTGCCTCGGCAGCCCGCCACGGAACGGCCATCTCCTCTGCTATTTTCGCCCACATTTCTGGTTTGAACCTGCCATGTGCCCAACTAGTCAGCTTTTCGTTGTCTTGCCCAGTTGTCGCCCAGACGCGGCGAAACGGATAGAAGGCCACGTTGGATGGCGAAGGGAGCTCTTCACCTTTCATACAGTCTAGCAAGCTTGTTTTTCCGTTCCTCATCCCACTCACTCCGCCTCTCTAGATAATTCTGATAGTGAAGCCGACAGCTTATGGCACTACGTCCTGGCAGACGCTTTGAGATGTCCTCCCATTTCATACCGCTTCCTCGGAGCTCGATGATCAGAGCATCCTCCTCAGGTGACCACTTGCTCTGCTTCTTGGCAGGGGAATCCGCCACGTGGGGAGGCATCGCGCGCCTAGCCCTCCCAGCCGACCCCGGTGCTACCGGGGATGGCCCATACGGATATGAACCCGGGAGGGGTTCCGTGGTCGCCGTGGTTGTGGTCGTGCGAGGGAAATAGGAGGACCCGGTGTACTTGGATGGAGGGGCTGAGGACTCATCCGAGTCGGGCGCTTTCAGCAATGACGCGATATCCACGGTGATGGTTGTTCAGCCTAGGGAGGTAAGATACGGCTTTGGGTCATGGGCGCGTGGTGGATTGGCGCCCGGTTCTCTTTTCGCGCCGTGTTTCTCGTGGCCAAAGGTTGCCTTCCCGGAAATCCCTCTAGATCTATGGCTATATCCAGGCCTGGTGTTGGAATAAATAAATAAATAAATAAAAGGACACAAAATAGAATAGTAAGGGGAGATCGATAGGCGTCCCGAGAGACTTGCTCGCGTAAACGAGGGCGTTGTCGGTGCTTTTAAAGATGGTCGTTCAACTGATTGGGCGTCTGGGTAGCTTTGGTAGCCAATGATAGGGAGTGCGCCAGATAGGTTGGCCAAAAGAATGGCGGAGTGCGCCAGCGGGAATATACGTCAGTCACAACAGGACGATAGTAGATGTCGACAAGGAGCGGGTTTTCCTCCAGTAGCAAGGTCCGTCTGTGAAAAGTCGGTAGAGGTTGGCGAACAAGGGCACGATGCGGTCTACGTCGGGAGCTTGCGGCACTGCAGATCGTGTAAATAAGACGAGAGAGAGAAAACTTGGGAAGAGGGCAGTCAAGCAGTATGTAACTGAATAAGAGCAACGGTGCGGAAAGAGGATACAAGCAGCGGGAGCAGCGACAGGGTGTCTCTTTAACGAGCGTGACAGGGCGAAGAAGAAGGTCAGTTCTCAAAGCCCTCAAACAACCGGGCAAGAGGAATCATCAAAGAAGGAACTGGAGGAGCCGAAGAGGGAGCTAGGGGGGAGGCGGGGGTTTAGGGGCGTGGGAGAAGAAAAGACGTCAAGCGAGTGAGCTGGTGGAGCAAAGGGGGTGGTGGTGGAAGAAGACGGACTGTAGCAAAAGAAAGAAAATACAAGTCGGGTAGTCCTGGTTGTAGGGGCGGCAAATATTCCTTGAGGTCATAAAGGCACTTTGCTGAATATCTGTCTGGGTTGAAGAGACTGACGGGTGATGGAGCGACAACTCGTCGCTGCCGAGACAGCGGAACGGGACTCGAGGGGAAAAGAGATGTACGGAGGCCGGATACTTGACAATTTCGCTCAATACGTAGCGACCATTGAAACGAGGGCTCGGGAGTGATGGACGAGGGCGTAGACAATGCATGTGTGAATGAATGACACGCACCCCAGGCGCGCACAGGTCTCTTTCCTGAGTCTCAGAGACCATTTACTGGATGCACCCCACCCGTGGGTTTCTGAGCCGGCTGGTTCAATACAGGACCAGGTGTAGCATATAGCAGGCCACCACCAGCGAGGCGGCTCCTGTCAATCCGGAGAAAATTGCAGGCCATGTGTTAGCGACCCAACATCCCACTGGGGAGGAGGGGGGGGGGGGAGGGGGGAACACTACCGGCCATGGCCACGAATTCTTGCAGACGCCTTGCGCCTTGTCCCTTGCCGACGCTCGAACCCCTTCATCCGCCTGTGATCTGGTCTACTGCCTGACGGATACTCTGCTTTCGTAACGCGCTGCCACACCCGAAATGAAGGGGTGGGGGGCCCGGTGGATGACGCACCGCTAGGCCTGCCTGAGTCTAGGGGTTAGAATTTCATGTTCAGTGATATGGCGCTCTGGCCCTAAGACGATCTGACACCATGCTTTAGATGGTTCGCAAGAATTTTTTAGAATGTCTAAGAGAAAGCACATAATTAATAAGATACGACTTAAGAGGCTGAAAAGTGCCCATCAGCCTAAGAACCGTCACTAGGACTGGGGGGTTAGTCGACAACGTGAGACTTGGGATATGAGATTGGAGCCCTCTTTTCGAGAGCGCTGTGACGCAGGAGCCCGATCATGGGCAAAGACCGCATTGAGTACGGAGGGCTCATTGTCCCAGACTGCAGAGCCCGGAAATAGGGCATTGGCTCATCGAGAATCAAACCAGGAGGGCCCAAAGGACCTAGATGATCGAGAAGCCCTGGTCCTCTAGCAACCCTAGAAAGAGCTCTGCCCTAGCTGCTCCCTCGAACCTGCCCAGTCAGTGAAGTGAAATGAAAGAGATGGAAAGGTAAGAACCGAGCCAAACATGAACCAGATTTGATACAGCACCATCCCCAGTTCATCGGGAGTCTCGACAGTTCCGCTTGTTGGCTGGTACTTGGAGATGCTTGGATGCGTGCATGATGTGACCAGACTCTGCAGACGATCTGGTCTTGCCAGTTTGGGGAACTTTCCGGCATGTCGTTCGCCGATCGTAAAGGGAAGCCAGAGAGAAGAACTGGACCAGGGTAATTTTGCCCGACTAAGCAGGATGGAAAGCAAGAGCGGAAGAACTAGGTAATGGTTGCAGTTCCAGTTCCACTCCCAGGCTGGTTCCAGCCAACACTTCCAACAGTAGGTAAGGTCATGAGGGGTGGTCGTTGACTGTAGCATCCGCTGCATTCAACACAATGCACGTAAGGGTGAGGCGCGTCTCCACCACGATGGGCCCAATGCGACATTAGAACGGGAGTCCCTCTTAATGCCTACCCTAGGCGGGCCAGGAGAGGACTGTTATAGCTTGCTTGACTGCCGAACATTTCTTTTCGCCAGGCAGGAGCTCGACAACCCGACAAATGCTTTTTCAGGTCGCGCTTCGGCTTCCCCTCCAACCCCTTCAGTGCTCGAGGACATCTCGTCAGCGGTGATGCCTGGACTGGACTTGAACTGGCGGTCAGCCCTGCAGCTCTCCCCAGCAGCAGCATGCGAGACTTCTCACTTCTCACCAGGACCGGGGCGGGAATAAGGACTTGTCCCAAATTTGGGTCCGTCTTTTGTTGAGGAAACCCGACGCCTAGCAGCAGCCAACCATTTGGCAGTCTCGCACAGAAACTCGAATCTTGGACATCTTCGTCGCCCAATTCCGGGCTGCTCCCACCAAAGAAAACGGACACAACGGCATTGTAGGTAGGATTGCGTCCTCGAGGCGGTCGGCTTGTCTCGGCCGCTGGCTCTCTTTTGTCTCAATGCATCCTGGCACCGATGGCCGAGAACTGGCGATACCATCTTCCTTTCTCCCTCAATCTCCCTCCTCGTCGAGCAGGATCTTTAACGTAAGACCCTAAGTGCAGGTAACTTCATAAGGTAATGCTACCTGAATAAGGTACCTTACCTATATAATATCTGGTACCTTAGCGAGGCACCTGACCGAGTGCCCAGGGAGGCAAGAGCTATCAACGAGGTCTTTCCATGACGTCTTGGTCCAAGACTTCCTTCCGGGACTGAAATTACCTAGGCAGTGGGATGCCCTTCCCTTCATCAACCAGAGTGCCCGAGGAAGTAGCCACGGCGGACAGCTCCACGGTTCGTCCGCCAGTCGATCCCGCCCACCGAAATCAGACGAACCTCCCTGGTTCTTGCAACTCAGGTGCCGTTCCCGCTTTCCGGGAGTTTGGGATTGGGCTCATAATGGCCATTTAACCCGCCCTGCTTCGATTGTCAAGCCACTTTCGGCTGTCGCTACCTGAAACTGTAGGCCCTGTGTCTGTACTCCGTAGTTCTTTAGACGTGTGCTGTACCTCATTTCCTTGTTCCGGGTTAGATTAATGAGGTAGACCAGCTGTCTTAGCTCCTGCCGGGAATAAGTATCAGATACTGGAAATTGCAGTTCCGAATTCACACTAAGGACTCCTTAAATACAAACCCTGGTAAATGTAATAACGAGAAGGGCATTCTCAACTCTACTCCGTAGGCGTGGGCCGGCCTTATTCCATCCTCATACGTAAACTACTGCGGACAGCTCCGTACGGATACCTGCATGATTACCAAGTACATAGGTACATCACTTCCAGGTCGTATAACGGGTTCCGGTCAGTCTCCTCATTCCTACCTACCTAGGGGGGTGATCTTACAGGACAACGTAATATCGCTCGCTCCCTTGCCCTTGCGCATAGACAAACGCGTCCCTTCGCAGATCATGCCGGGGCGAGCCTTCCCTGGCTGATTGGCCGCGGTGCCCTGATCCTGGGGCACGCATCGTCTGAAATAACGATTCTGCATCAGATCGCATGACGACGAAAGCCTTCCCAAATGACAAATTGGCAGTCCTGCTTCACATTTATCAGCCGCGATGGATGCGTTGGATCGGTTTCGTGCTTGTCGGCTGGCCACCATGTCGGCGGGTTGGGTCAAGTGAGCCCAGGCGTATGTGTGTGGTACCGGCAATGAATCGGGTTCCAGAGACCAGGAGCCTATCAGTTGGTCGTCGCAGCACTGCCTTATGGCGAATGCCCAGGATAATGCTCATCAGCGCGGCCCAACCATAAGCTGGGCGGCGTCAGGTTCGCAGTAGGCAACGATCAGCCCTTCAAAACCCAGTTTCTATCCCGGGGACCAAAAGGTGGCTGTGCTCTGGGACGTCGATTGCTTTGCTGGCGTTCGCAGCGTGGCTGGAGAAGACATCGGGGATCAGCAACCGCAGACCGTGACAGCCTCACTTCATTACTCCACACTGAGCGCGAGAATCCGTATACTCATCCCACTCCCAAGTTTATGATGCTCGCTAGACTGGAAACCACACCATAGTCAAGGTCCGACCTAAAATTGCCTAGGAAAGGGAAGTAGAAATACAAAAGGAGGAGAAAAAAGAAAGAAGAAAAAAAAGTGATGTGCCTAAATAACCGGAGACATTCGGGCTATCCTCGTTAATACCTACCTAATTGCGCTATGGTGTCCGATCGTCCATGTGCTCCATCCACCTTATCGGCCGGGTTTTCGAAATCGTCGCCTTGGCCCTTCAACTTCCCCTGGCCACATTATCATCACTTCCCCGCCTTGCTATATTTGGGAACCGACGTCATTTACAACAAAGTGACCTTTGGTCGTCTCTGTTGAGTTTCACGAAAATGGTATTGTTGTCTTCGGCTGACACGGTAAAGTCAGACAGGAAGGAACCGCATGAGACCTGGACTCGACCCCACGGGCCCGGAGACGGGAGGAGCCACGAGGAACGATTTATCGGTTTATTACCCACATCGGAACAGGTACCTACTCCCCAAAGAACGGTAAGTGGGTCTTCAGAACATTGATACGGAGAAGACCACCAAAATAAAATGAAAATTAAATGATAAAGTATAAAAAAGGAAAAAGAAAAAAGACACAAAACAATCAAATAAGATACAACGTAACATAGATGCTCGGGGGTATACATACGGATATACCAAGTAGAAATATTCGAGGTGCTGTTGTGCGGGAGGGTAAGGGTATGTGACAGACGATAAAACCACACCCCTCATCTTCTTCCAGGGAGATGCATTAACAAGATTGACACAGGGCAAGGCGGAGACATTTGAGGGCGCAAGTCGTCTCTTCCCTTAACCACTACTCCATACACACGTCGGTTTTCCGCATCGATTCTTTCCCCCTCCCTTCCACCCACATGGAGTGTCGGTGACACAAAGCCAACCTAAGATGGCGGTGAGCAAGAGTCCTTTTCTCCCAGAGATCCCCATCCGGGCCTTGGGCATTATTACGAGCAGCCAAACGCAATACGACGTACATACGCAATATTCGGAGATCGGGTAGTAAGGCAAAACAAAATGTTGGGTCCCCAGATGTCACAACCAGGCCAGGAGCGAAGCCTGAAGTTTGCGAAAACCTGGAATGGCCTCATGCTCAAGTTCCTGTTCTCGTTCTCGTTCCTGATCCGGATGCTTATGCTTATGCTGATCGAGTCCCTGTTCCTGTTCCGGTTCCTGATCTGTTCCTGGTGCTGCTGTTCTACCACATAGCACTAAATGGCATTGTTTTCGCCTCGTCGGGGCTGTCCAATGGCTCGGGTCAGATGCCTGCCCAGTCCCGTGCTTCGAATTGAATCACCGAGTCGCAAGTGAACTGTGACGTCGTTGGGGTGGTGCGCCAGCGCTTCCGAAAAGGGCTAACCCCCCACATGCGGCGGATACTCGGTCTCACAACCCTTTTCTTGAGCTTTTAGTCTGACTTGTCGCATAGAAACGAGACACGTGGTCTCGTCACGTAGATATAAGAGCGGTCTGCCAACAGCCGCGAGGAGAACAAGGAGGGCGGATTCCCGGGGGGGAGAAGAACACGATAAGATTGCGTTGTCATGAAACCCTGGCGAGCAAGGACGAGGGGAGTTTGTCACTTCATCCCATCTTCGTTTGCCCAGCCCTCACCGGTCTTCCGGGTGCGCCATCCCAGGTATATGCCCGGGAGTTCCCGCCACAATGCGTTGTGATTATGATACGGGATGTTCCCTTCGTGGTTGGTTTGGAACCATGCCTGCCTGTATCCTTCCCCAGCCTTCACAGCTTCTAGGCTCTAAGGCTCTAGGCTCATCTTTTCCTGGGTCTCCTCTGGCGGACCTATTCACCCGCAGTTCTTCCGTTTGTCGTGGCATCGGTGGATCGGGGTCGCGCTAGCCGCTGCTTCTGGCCGCCAACCGCTGCAGCGTGGCCCCTCTGTCGGGTCCCTAAGGTACGTTGTAAGGTAGATACATATTTCCATGGAGCGCGTTTGAGGGATACAACGTACTGTCACGATATTAAAAGTAAGATAGCGATATGCGCTAAATCTGATGTTTGACTGCATATTCGATGTCGCCGCTCCCATGTCGTGTTCCCTGTCAAGTGGTTCCCTACAAGATCCAGTCTAGGTACTCTTTACAAACGGAGACGCGCCAATGAATGCTCGTGGCTCAACATCTCGTGGTCCTCAAACACTAGCTCGGGGGCGTCAACTCGCGCGATTAGGAACTTCCCGTGACACAATGGGATAGTGCCATCTCGAACTGCATTCAAATTGGGTGAAGTCTAGATGCCACAGGCCATCTCGCCTAGTACGACACACTACGCTGGTAGCCGAACAGCCAACCCCGCTGCTCCAACGTACAATGTACAGGCGGTCGATTTAGATCAATATATTGTTGTGGGATTCGAGAAGATGCGGCTATTATCCGATAGGACCCATCCAATGGTTCTGTTTGCAGAGTTGGGAACAAAGTGGGCGGTGAGGAATGCCGAGTTCAGACATGCTTTGGCTGTCCAACGAGAAGCACGCAACGGTGTGATGGTCACCTGCAAGCAAGCACAAGCAGGCAAGCAAGCAAGAAAGCAAGCAAGCAATGCAAGTCAGTATTTGACCTGACTCGAGCAAATACTCCCTGGTCACCGTACAACGTACAAATGGTGATTTTGGCCAATACTTGGAGGTTTCACTGCTTGAAGTGCAGGTGGGAACCCCGCTGCCCAATGGCGCTGTAAACCTGGAAGGTACATACCTACCTTATGTACAATAACTTAATTATTTTAGGTAACTTATTGAGTCTTCCCCTTCCCTATGGCTTTTGCCCGATACTTCCTAGCTACTCAACGGGTCTAATGTTTTGTTCAGGAGCTCTGGTACCGAACAAGTCCAATCAAGCGAGCTGCAACCACGTTCCAAGAACACCCACACACCACTTGCACACAAATTAGGTACCTTGGGTACTTCTTTCCCAGCCCGGTCCCCCAGCACGGCTTACCAATCCAGCCCAACATCACTCACTACCTAGGTATCTGTAACTGCATCTGCAACCTGACCTCGTTCGCATCACGGATAGAGATCGCTAGACATTAGCATCTTTCACGTCATCCCTTGCATCTCAGGCTTCATCGCTGTCTTGGTGCGGCCCCGCCAAACAGATTTGCTGCTCATTCGTTCCGGACCTCTTTCTGTCCAGCCACCCAGCCTCCCAGCCTCCCAGCCTAACCGGGCCAAACCAGAACCATCGTCAGCCTTTGCAGGAGCCCAGACCTAAGTTGTCCTCCAGTTCATCGACGCTGCGGCAGTTTGTCGATCGCCCGAGCAAGCACGTTGCTTAGTGTGTTTCTTTCAATCCCCAACCCTAAACCCCAGGACCCCTGGACCCCTGGACAGTTTGCCCTCCAGGTGGCTTGCTGTCTTGGACTAGCCGCTGAACCCCCCCCACCACCAGGCTATCCTCGGCGACATAGTCGCTTCGCAGTGCAAGCAATCCGCGTCAGGAGGCAAACCCAGGGCTACCTTTAGGCATCATGGCGGACGTTCCCTTGTACGTCATATCGGAGCACACTTCATCAGAGCGGCGAATCACCCCTGCGTGGACCATCGCCACCCTCAGGTCTAAGCTCGAGCACATCACCGGAGTGCCGCCATCAGCTCAAAAGCTCTCTCTCAAAACTGCCGGAGGAAACGTACCCATCCAGGCCGCCAATGAGGATGCCACTTACTTGACCAACTTCCCATTGGCACCTTACGCCGAATTGCACGTAAGTGATGCCAACTCATTTTGACCCCGGTGATCTGAAGAGTTGGGTCAATGGTCCTTGCACACCCACCCAATTCAGTCATATCAACATGGACTCAGTTGCAATCCGCACGCGCTCCCCGTGTAATCTACTCTGCCCTCTTACATTCCCAAGTTCCTATTCAGAGGCCATTCTTGGCCCCAAAGGCCCCATGGCCCTCGGACAATAGTGAAATCAGTGATCATATAATTCTCAATATCGAACAAGAGTGGCTTAAACCTGACACGCTAACGAGGACTCCTGTGCTAGGTTGTCGACACCCGGCCCCCGGCGGCCCGGGTCAACTTCAATGATGCTACGGGCGTCGAGAAGTTCGTGCTGCCGGAGGAGGAGTACGAGAAGAAGACAGACTCGGTTTTAGCCTGGAAGAAGGCACAGAAGCTCGGCCGTTTTGACCCCAGCGCGCCAAGCCATGAGGAAGCAAAGATTGCTGCCCACGAGCAGGATATCCAAAGGCGAGGCATCGAGGTCGGTAAGCGCTGCCGCGTCGGCGGTGAGGATACCCGGCGGGGCGTGATCCGGTATGTCGGCGAGGTGAAGGAGATCCCCAACGGGCTGGGACCTTGGGTCGGCGTGCACCTGGACGAGCCAGTGGGCAAGAATGACGGCAGCGTCGGTGGCACGCGATATTGGGGCGAAGAATCGCAGCTGAAGCACGGTGTCTTTGTCAGGCCTGAGCGTGTTGAAGTGGGCGATTGGCCTGTGCTAAACGACCTGGAAGATTTGGAGGAGATTTAGAGCCCATAAAAACCAAAGGGGTTGTCTATCCTCTCTGTCTTCATCCTTCATGTCCTTTGAGGGCTGGTGTCGTTCGTGATGGGTATGCTCGCTCGACAGCACAGTGGCCCTAAAACGCAGCCCCATGCGAGTTTGTGTTTTGGCTTCTTCACTTGGCATGCTGCTACGTCGCAGGATCTATACTCAGGCTGCTCTCTAGCGTCATGGAGCACAGAACACGACCGGGGCACTATTCTAGGATACAGCACGACGCATAGCACGCTGGCTACTCGGTGATAGCCGCCTTCTCTGGGACTGTGCCTACAGACGGATGGTTCGATTTTATCGCAATCTGACTGCTTGACCATGGGGTATCCAATCTTTCGCGGATGGAGAGATCGTTTCCGTTTCCTGCTCTTTTGGGTTCTATTCTGCTCCAGCTTCCACTCTCTAGCACCTCGCGCTGCCCCTTCCTCGCATTTTGGTAGTTCGAGGAGTCAGATACCTATCGCTCGAACGGTGTATAGGCTAACAGAAGTTCTCACGTCCCTTACAGGTAGGTTCTATTTCCCGGAGTTGGCTCGCTGCGGAAGACAAGCTCGGATACAGGACCTCCTGGGCATGGGAAGTGTGTTCTGTTAGGGCTGTTGGAGTTGGGGTGTCGAGTTGACCTGATGAAGGAACACGACGACAGCGGAGAAGAGAGCAATGGTGCTTCGGAAAGCCGGACGAAGACCACAGCCAGGAATGATCGCGTTGTAATACTTCGCGTCCAGTGCCGTCCGAACCGGGCGAAGAACCCCTCAGGGAGCGCCCGATATTTGACATATGAAGAGACCGAAGTGAAGGGGTCAATTTTTTTATTGTTTTATTGTTTTTTCTTTCTTTTTTTGCGATGGAGGCATGGGCGTGGAATTCATAAGTCACGGGTGCGCACCAAGTGCAGGTGTCAGCGGGCATACATAGGCGTCGGACGTCAAGGAAAGGGGCGCTATACGTTTCTCGGAAACTTCATCGGCAACGGCCGCAAAAAAAGTTCCGAGTCGTGTAGGTTGGGACGTGGAGTTGCGGAGTAGCGGAGTAGCAAGCGGAGGGGAGGAGCAGATACAACCGGATCACTGTCATGTCGCGTTTGGAGTGTCGGAACTTCGGCTCTGGACATGATCGACGCCGATTAGGATGGCATTCGATTCGGGTCGGCAATGACAATTGAGCCTCAAACATGGTTTGTGTCAGGAACGCGTCCTGACCTACAAGCATGCCGAAGCTGGGCCATTGTTTTCGGATCCGATATGGTAATGGATGCGAAAGGACAACAAGAATCACTTCAGGTTTCATAACCCTTTCCCCTTTTCGTATCGTGTACCCCATTTCCGGTCACGTTGGCATTTGAGCAAGACAGAGGCGAAAGGATGTGAGTATGCCAAGGAGCACTGCTTCTTTGTCCTGGTGAAATCGGTGAGCTCGACAGGTCAAGGCGACTACAACGCCGATGAACATATTCTCTGTGGATTTTTGCGGAACGGGACGCTTCATCTGAGTCTGGGAAGCCACAACAGAGCCGAAGCAAGGGCGTCCGATTTACATACAGACATGATAGGTTGGTGGTTTCTCGCGGAATGGCGAATATCTTGAGGTACCTAGCAAACGCGGGGTGCAGCTCCCGACAATGAGCCAAGCGGTACGGAGATTAAGATGGACCTGTCTAACAAGACAGCCGAAGCCTCGACCGAAGCGACCAAGCGTTGGCGGTTATTTGTGCTTCGTACCTAACTAAGGTAAGGTAAGGTACCGTAGATTAGTTACGAGTAGGTGGCACGAGCCGATGGGAAGACAAAGAGGTAATCAGGATCTCGAATTATCACGAGGACAGCTTCCAAGGTCTTGGGAAGAGTCGCACCAGGCTCGGCGGGCAAGAAAAAGGACAACGAATGTTGCAGCAAAGACCGAGACCGTGATGTCCACAGTCAGGGTGCCGACTGCCGAATACCTAGAATTGAGGAGGATCTTCCGACAGATTACTGAAACAAGGTAATACCTGTAAGAAGGGGACTCCTCAATAGGTATATGTACTTTTCAGGCACCTTGGAAGCTGACTTATTCACTGCCAATTTCCGCTATTGGTTTACTCGCTGACCGGTACCTCTTGTGTACTCTGACGTATCTCCGAGAAGTATCTTTAGGAAGGGACTATGCGTCGCACCAGACTGTGTCTGGGTGAGGTTCTGGGCGAATAGTATAACGGGCCGGTGTCGCTCCGAGGACGATTGATGATTGGACTGATATAATGCCAAGACGAAGTCCTAGTACTGCCAAGAGGGTTCCGAAGAGAACCAAGAAAGACCAAGAACAACACTCAGCGGCGCTTTCCTTCTGTTTTCCGCCCTCTGACTTGGGGACATTGGATTTTATGACTTCGTACAGAGTACGTACTGTCATCAACTGTCATTGGCACTTTTCTCGCTCCAGCTTGGCGTTAGGTATTGGCGTTGGCGTTGGCATTGGCGTTGGCATTGGCGTTGGCATTGGCGTTGGCATTGGCGTTGGCATTGGCGTTGGCATTGGCGTTGGCATTGTCATTGGGGGATTGGCGTTGCCAATGTCTTAACTCCTCCTCACCTTCCCAAGTTCTCCCATAGTCTCGCTCTCCCTTCTCCATCCCTCCCCACTCAAGCAATGGGCAGGCCCAAGTCAGATGTGTCAGGGTCTTCTCCCATCAGTCTTCCCTACCTTATTAGGAACATTACACCTGATTGATATTCACCCACCAACCCACAAACCCACGAACCTTTTTTTGTTCATTCAGCTCTACGTTCTCCCGTCACGTTTCATGTACATAATGCACATTTTCTGTCCCTTTCTTTCTTAAAGCGCTACCGTGCCTCTGCGTACCCGCCATGCGCTCAGGTATCTTCCCTCCTGTCAATTCTCTTAACATCGACCAGGATCCAATCCCGACGACCGCGACTGGAGATCAAGCTTCCGACGTCTGTCTTCAAAGCTGCTATTCGTCACCTGAAACAGACATCGAAAACACAATCAAATAACCATCCTTTGCCGAAGCCTGACTCCCATCAACAAACCCATCGACGATTTGACGCACCCGCACCCATACGTACGTACCGATTAACTGCCGATAGCGGGCCAAGAACGCAAGGACACAGACAAACAAGACGTGGGACAAAAAGAAACAACAGGACAGCCAGATTCGTCACAACAGTTGTGACTGCACCGGCATTTTCAGCCTGGTCTTTGTGTGTTTAGCCGCCTGGCTCGCATTATCCCACGGCTGTCGATCAAGTTGAGCCAAGCTTCCGTGCGTAGTGTGTGGAGGTTTCACACCACCGATACCTAGACACCTGTCTATCCGTGGCCGTGAGATGCGAGGCTCAGAAAGACAAACCTGCCCCTGCCGCTTGAGTTTCCCCGCCGTTTCCGATACATTCCTACCCTTAGCTCTCGACTCTGACAACAAAAATACCTTTTTCGTCCTGCCAACCTAAACGACCTGAAGCTAGTAGTCTACACCAACCACGACACACTCCACCGCTTCTCGTTCCTCTCAATCCTCTATTTCAGTCCTCCGGGATACCGCAGTTCTCTAGTCGCCATCTTTGCCATCGCGACGTCGATCGTTGCTGGCGTTACCTCGTTCCCGGGGGGAAACAATGACACTCCGACGCCTTTTAGTGGCTGCCAACGCCGCGGTCGTTGCAGCCCAGGTCCCTTCCATCAGCCCCGAGAATGAAGTACCGCCATGGGCCGCCGATTCAACCATGCAGCTGTCCCTCTCTTCAACAGGAGGCGACGTCTTGCCCCTTGACTACACAGTCATACCATCTACTGAAAACCTCGGCTTGAACCAGTCAGAAGTCGTTCGCGGGGTACAGTCCACCTTCCCACTGTCCTCGACGCCTGTTCTGTAGATCCACCCAGTTGTGCTAACTTGTTCAAACCTCGGTACCTAGGCCATAAGAATCGAGGGCGTCATGGTTGTCGCCAATCCGAGTAATTACTATCTCATCAACGGCTCGTCTCAGATCGCCTACCTGTCGTGCGACGTGGACGAGTCCATGGGCGCAACGACGCCCGATATAATGCTCATCGACTTGATGGAGAATCGACCAAAGGCGATTGTTCTGTATAGTACTGTAGAAAACTGGTGTCACCTGTCGGGCTCGGATCTTCCCTATCGGAGCATCTTCACCATGGCCGATGCCGGAGATGCTTCCCAAGCTTTTGAGATCCTCAATAATACGAACGAGGCCGATTCTATTCAGGTTACCATCACCGGGAATGCCACTTCTAATGGCTCAAAAAGGAGAGAGTCTAACGGCAATGACTCGGCAATCGCCATGAGCATTCTCTACAGCATCACGGGTCTTATCACCCTGCTCTTCTTGGTCATCATAGCGGCCGGTGCCATCCGCGCCCACCGATACCCCGAACGGTACGGCCCACGCAGCGGCCACGGCGGCCGACCGCGGCAAAGTCGCGCAAAGGGCCTCGCTCGTGCCGTGCTCGAGACCCTTCCCATCGTCAAATTCGGCGCTCCCGAACCAGCCAAACCCGACCCCAATCTGGAATTGGAAAGTGCCTCGATCGATCATCCAATGCGGAATCGAGCGACGGATGCTGGTGCCACCGGGGCGGAGGAAAGGGACGAGGAAGACAGACGGGAAGCAGTCGCTCAGGGGCGTGCGATCGACGGCGAGCCTGGTGCCGCGATGGCTAGGCATGATTCGGCAGCTGGCCGCCCTGGTGGCAATACGGCCGACAGTCAGACCATTGGGTGTTCGATCTGCACCGACGACTTCAAACTGGGAGAAGACGTCAGGGTACTACCTTGCAGTCACAAATTCCACCCTCCGTGCATCGATCCTTGGCTGATTAATGTGTCGGGGACATGTCCCCTCTGGTACGCTTTACCCTCTTTCGCGGTCCAATTTTCTTTTTCTTCCTTTTCCTTTTCTGTGTGACCCTTCCTTCCCTTTACTGACGGCCCCCCTCAGTCGGCTCGACCTTCGGCCAAGAAACAAAGATGGATCCGGGGACGAGGCACGAGACGACACGGCATTGCCACCCCCGTTAGAGCTGAGCAACCAGGATCACGAGACGACCCACGGACGCCAGAGGACGTCGCGTTTCCTCGACCTTCACAGGCTAAGGCATGCCTCTGTCGAGGAGCGAATCCAGGTGCTCAGGCAGTACCGGACCGAGCAACAAGCCCAGGGCGTCGTTCACGAAGCCGAGTCGGAACGTGACGCCGATACCCGAAGGCACCGTTCCAAGCTCGCAGACAAGCTACGGGACAAATTTCGGATCCGAACTGGACCCCAGGGTCAAGAGGACGGGCCGTAATTATCCTACCATACGAGAAAAGCGTAGGGGGGGCGTGGGGGTTGGAGAGCGGGCTTTATTAACGAGCCAGGGGTTGGTCAATGTCAATGCGACGGGGACTACGGCGTTTGGGACAGGGTGGACAGGGAAACCATGAAACTATTTCGGTCCGGAGACACATCTGATACGATACGGTCACACATTCTGGGCAGCAGTGCAATGGCGTTTATTTTTCTTTGGTGGCGGGGAAATATTGGTCTCCAGTCACGGCCGTCTTATTTGGGTCCGCGATGTAATTATCTACTCACCCAGTCGATAAGGTAGTCAGGAACACTCGAAAGGAAGCTTCTGATATTATATTGAAAGGCAACGCTATGAGAACCCGAAAAGGACGCTGAGGTATCTAACATACTGCGCTCGTTGACGATGGCCAAGTATGGTTCCCTGCCATCATCTATGGGGAGACTGAGAGCATCGCCATTGCTGCTGCTACTGCTGCTACTCGCAGCGGATTCTCATCCACCCCCTCGCCCATGACATACCGAACCACATCTGGCATGTTCGGATACTCGAAATTCTCCTCGCCTGGGAATGGGAAAGCTGCAAAATTCCACATTGGTCCAAACTCGCCGCCATAGAGATGTGAAAGTCTAACCCTGATATACTTGGTTTTGCTCCGAGACGCAATTTTGTCCCGTAGTATGTCTAGGGCCTTAGACCAACTGCCGCTCAATAGCTCTACTCTCGCTAGACTCAGATGCTCCAGGTGAATGCCGAGATTACTGCAGAGGGATTCGAGTTGTCTCTCTGACAGGGCGATGTGGGTGATGTTAACAGCCTGGAGGCCAGGCCAAGGCGGCGGGGCCTGCAGGACGTTGTTGCCTAGGGGGTAGCCCCCGATGGGCTTATTGTTCAAATCACGCGGACAGTAATCTTTCATGTCGAGGTCGATGACTTTGAGGTGCTGGCTGGAGAGCGCGGCACCGATGTAGTTATCAAGATAAAATCGATCCTCGGCCGAGATGCCCTCAGGCCTAAAAGCAAAGTGGGTGACCTTCTCTCTGGATCCGAAGCGAAACACTCGCAATGACTGGCACGCTTCCCTGAGGTCCTCCAATGTTCTGTCCGACGATCCACGGAAGCTGGGTGGACATATCTGAGAGTAACTTGTCCGTATCGGGAAGCAGCCAATTGATAGCGCCTGCAACTTAGCACCAGCCTCGTAGATGGCAATGGGGAGCTCGGTGAGAATACGGGCTGGCATGAGCAGGGGTACTCCCGACAAGGCCTCGGCGGCTTCCCAGGATTGCGGCAGCGTCATTGTGTGGAACAGCGTCTGCTTGTTCAGTAGGACGGCGCCAGGATCGGGAAGGTCCCAGCGGTCGAAACTGTATACGTGGTCGAGAAGAGATAGAGCAATGGGTCGTTTCAAGAGAGAAACGATGCGGACGATAGCGCGCACAAACGTCTTGTTCGTGATCAATTGGCGCTGTTCCTTGTGCTCCCGGCTGTACTCTTGATAACTTTGGCGTAGAATTCGCTGATACTCGTTGACCTCCTCGTCCGGGGTCGGGAAATCAGACGGGGTTTCCCAGGCCACGCGAAGCAGCGCGTATTTCCTGATGCACTCACGAAATCGAAGGGCTTCCGGGCCATCTTCGTCGCATATATGATCGGCACGAAACTGTCTGAAAGCATCACAGGCGTGTTGGTATGTATTACGCAATTGGCCCATCCAGTATGCGGCAAAGCGCGAATCCTTATTAGCAAGCCTCCATGGCCGGTGGTCCAGCACAATGACCAAGCCGCGGACATTTCTTCGAATGTCCTTGTTCTGACAGAGCACACGTGCCTTGTCTAGAGACAGCTGGCTAAGCCCTATATGCAGGATAGGGCATAGAAGATGAGAAGAGCACTGGTTAAAGAGCCGACAGACGAGCCGTACGTTTCGGACTGTGTGCCAATTGGTTGGGAAGATCGTATCACCATCGCGCTCCGGGGACGACTAATTCCAGTTCACTTCTCCGTGAATCTCGGTGTGCATTCGAAGTTGATTGAAAATGAGCGCTAGGATCTCCACAGGGAGGGAGAGAATGTGGTGACGAGACATTGCTGAGAGTAGAAACGAAAGGATACCGATACCAATCTAGAGATAGAATGCAGACGTGTTGAAGACGTCTTGATGTTGTTGTGATCACTCCTAGGATTAGCGGTATGTTTACATGTACGTGTATAGAGTAAGGTATAGGTAAGGTAGGCAGAGAACAGAGGACAGAGTAGGTGTACATAAGGTACCTAGTAATCACATGATGTCCGTCCAGGACGGTGAAGGTCTGGCCTGCCTGTTCAGGTAGTTGGACCTGATCGCAATTACTGGTGTTATGCACTTTCCGTGAATCCAAACTCTAAGGTACCTAAGGTACTTAACACATTCCTGCCATTAACTCGAAACTTAAAAAACAACGAGTCCGGAAAGAAGGCCTATCACTTACTTCATCGCTCTTACCCCCATCACTCATGCCTTGATTCGCATCAAGCAGCAGGAGGGCATTCCTCTTCTCCTGCTGGCCCCTTGCTACACCAAGTACCAGGAGCATTATTCTCATTCAGACAGATCCCAGGCCACGGGACCAAACATCCTTGGAACAGGTCAAGGTACTAGTAGTGGGTCCAGTTTTCTCACCTTCGGGGACCATGAACACGACCGTCGTCGGGCTCTCTCTCCCCCATGCCAAACACCACTTCAACCGAATGGCTCCCCACCCGGTCGGAGGCCTTTAGCCCGATGCCGAATCTCGGCAAAAATACAATACCGAGACGCGTTGGAAGATGAACTCGACGCTTCACCACTACGAAAGTACCACCTTTAACCAACCCACCACACGATTCCAAGCCAACCAATATAAGGTAATGATGACTTGTCGCCTATTCGAATTAGCGAAAATATTTTCGTAGTCCGCTCTCGAGACTCGCTCGGCCGTCTTTCTCATTTGGCCGCCATTTCTCTGTGCTGTGAGAGCCATCGATTCTTCACTTCCAGCTACGTTGTACTAGTATTCCCCCTCGGCACAAGTCAACCTACAAGACGAGGTCGAGGACCGCTCTCTGGACCAATTCTACGACCGCCACCCACAGAAAGAGACTGCAGAGAATTGGCTGGACGGCCATCCTTACCCAGAAACCTTGCCGGATGAGGCATATCAGATGTGGGAGGCTACGGTATGTTGCGGCATGATGATTGATGCGGTGCTTGCCAAGAAAGCTTGACGGTCAACTTGCTCTCTGCAAAGGGGACCCGAAACACGCAACGTTGGTATATTCCCTTCAATGTGGACGCACACCTCGTTTCTGTCCCTTCGTCTTTTTGGACAAGTCAGCAAGCCGAAGCACGTGTGGATGGATCCCATGCATCCCAAGCCAAAGTTGGCGGAGCTCATAGCAGCAATGGATCTCAGGAAGTCAGCTCGAAGGGCCGTCTCGACCTCTCGTTTGAAAGAAGAAAACAACCCCTAGGAGGAGCGCCTTGGCAGTGGAGAACGAACGAGAGCATCAGACCATGCCAAACGAGACTTTCCTTGATCACTTTGCATCGCAGCGCAGGTATTTCGTCTACAGTGCTTTTGAGCTACAGAAATAAGCGCCCAGATATTCTCAATCTAGTTAGTCCCTGATCAACTTGGCCCGTCACATCAACCTCCCCTCAAAGATCACCATCATGGATCTTGACCCCGGCGCCTTGGATATCTGCGGGGAGCGTCTCCCAGAACCGAGACAGCCGCCCAAGGTAACATTGCGTTTCATGCTGCTTCCATCTCGGCGTCTCGCCCGAAATGAGAGTGGATCGTGTCGAAAAATATATATGTACGTTGTACCCTGACACCAGTGATTAGGGAAAGCCTGCAGAGCAATTTCGGAGCGACCCGTGAAATTAGCTTCTGGATACGACGTCGATAACCGAAATCGCAAGGCCCGTGTCCTGCAGCTTCGCAGACGCAGATCGTCATCTCCCCTACCTACAGCTTAAGGCGGAACGATGCCTGTCAACCCCGGATGTGTCTGCCGATACTGCAGGATGTGGATCACGATACCACTTCGTGATGATTCGACATATTCTCCGATGTAATTGTTGATCACACAGCGCCTTCGGTAGCAGGGCTAAGAGTAAAATGGGTTCTTAGCACCCACCGAGCACAGCTATAGACAAACAAGCACCGTATCACAAGGCAGCGGACAGGAAGATCTCATTGTGTTCCACGTGCGTTACCTTGATACAGTCACATACGCCCGGTTCGTAAGTATCCACTTCGGATTGTCTTCATATCTCTCATATCATGGGAGCGTGTATCCCTGTCGTTTTCCGAAACCCCAGCCTGGACACACCGTACCCGAGCCGTTTGTTTCCTATCCCTCTGTACCGGTCCGTCTATGTTCGTCGTGAGAAAAAGTTACCCCAAACCTGGAACGGAAGACGACATCAAGCCTCCGTTCCGCCGTCCCCTTAAATCATCTGGGTGGGGGAAAGAACAAAAAAAGCGAACGAAGTCCCTCCCATAGCAACATCGAAGCTAAATCAAGAAAAATAATATATGTACAAAGAAGTGAATAAAATCGTTGGTATATGGGAGCTGTGTTGTGCCCGCAAAATCTATGCCGAGGCATAGGCCTCACCAGCACTGGTGAGATGGTCGCCGTTGATGAGCTTTCCGTTGCTGACCATAAAGTACGAGTAGCGCTCCAGCTCCGCGAGGTCGTCCAGCCGGGGAAGAGTCTCCTCCAACCAGGCGGACACAGCGACATCGTCATTGCTTAGGGGAGCAAACTCGGTCAACCAGACGGGCTTGCCACAGATACGGGCCGCCTCCTTGATGTGGTCGAAGAGGGTTTCGGTGGCCTCGATAGGAGAGTACCAGTGGACGTTGCAGAAGTCAAAGACGCAACCTTTCGACTCGCAGGAGTCAACCCAAGCCTGGAGCCAATCGAGGCCCTGGCCACCGATATTGCTGTTCGAGACCGAAGGGGAACCAATCTTGACCCGACCGGCGTAAGGGTTCATCCACTTGACGTGGGCATCGGCGGCAGAGGCGGCATCCATGTTGCACTGGGACGCGATATCGCACTCGTTGAAGGAAAAGACGTGGGTAGACCCGCTTTCGATCATGCTCTCGACGTTGTCCTTCCAGCGGCTGGTATGGATGTCGATGGGGCCCCAGAGAGTGGGGACGAATTCGAGAGACTGGGAGAGGCCGTTATCGTTCGAGTCCCAGTTCCAGGCCCATCCAAACTTGGAGCCGCTGCTTCTTCCGTGGTAAAAGTTGTCGACGAGATGGGCGTCGTTATAGGCGAAACCACGCTTGGGACCGGAATAGCCGCCATTGGAGCCGCTGCCGGCATCAGTGTGAGAGCCGTCGAAAGACGGAGGGGGCTGGTTCGCCGAGTTGGACGAGCCGTCCTGCGCAGAATTCTCGTGAACCGGGGGGGCAGGAGCCGGAGCCGGATGGGGCGCGGGGCTGTGGTTGTATTGCCCCTCGTCCGCCTGATGCTCGTCGGGGGACGGGGCAGGAGGAGCAGGGGCAATGTGGGTGATGAGAGTGGTCGCAGCAGCAGCGTTGGGCGTAGGTTGGGGGTTCTGGCCGGCGGCGACGGTCACAGTGACCCATTCAGTGACTACATGAGTCCTCGTATGAGCGTAGACGATGTCTCGCTCGACATGGTGCAGGTGACGGTGAGCGTTGAAAGCGCCAGCCTCCTTCGCGAGGGCGAGGCAGGCCAGGACCGCGGCGGCTTGCTTGGCAAACATGGTGGGCAAGAGCGATGATCTCGAGGAGCCACGAGCGTTGCGTTTGGGGTGTGTAACCGAAGTGGCACCAAGGTTGGGAGTCGAGTGCCTGATATCCAAGGTAGAGAAGGTAGAGTCTCCAAGGAAAGAAAGATTGTGCGAGGTTGAAAGACGGAAGTCCCAAGGAAGCAACAAGGCGAGGGGGGTTTGTTGGTCTGCAAAATAGGGTTCAAGTAAGCAAGGAATGACTTGCTGGCAGTTCCGGTTTGGTTTAGGATGCTGGCTCCTTTGTTATGTTGCGACGTCTCTCAAAGACGGAAAGGAATGTAGTGTGCAGGGAAGGACGCAGTTGCCGAGACAAGCTGGACAAACAGGCAGGCTAGCTGCGAAGGGTCGAGACTCGCGACCGTGATATGAAGTGAAAAAGGAATGGAAGGGAGCAGCAAGCCGGTGGTGGTGAAAAAGAAGCAACCAGTCGAGGAGGATGAGAAGACGGCTGGGGCCCAGGGGAGATTTAAAGAAGTAACCGCAGTGCGTGGCTCCATGTGTGACTTTGCCTCTATGTACCTAACTTATAACCTGGGCTGGAAGGAATGTGCCCCCATAACCCCTGACCTTCCCAGCTTTGCTCTGGCACTTGCCGCCCCTGGTCCCCTGGTCCCCTGGTCCGATGCGTTGTTTACTTAGCGCGATGGGATCGGAAGGAACGCCCCCAGGAACAGAGGATAAACATGGACACTGGCGCCAATGGAAGGGGACTAGGTGGGGCTTCCGGTGGGCCTGACCAGGCACAGAACTGTTGCCCCTGCAGTGGTCAGGAGCCCAGACCACAAAGCCCTAAACGCCGGAGCACAGTGAAGCCATCATGACAGCAGAAAGGATAAAGACGAAGTACAACATACATCGTGCAATGGGCAGGAGACACCGAGGAAACATGTTCCTTGCTGGGTCAGTTGGTTTGCTGAACACGATCCACACACCTCTGCGTGTACCTTATCTGCGCACGTTGTACATATGTACCTGACTTACCGCCGACCTTGAGCGTGTGAGGAATTTCGCATGACCCGCCTTCCTAGGTTCCTTGAGAAGCAATATGTACTTTCGTACGGTGTACATCGTAGTCTTTCGAATGCTTTCTGGTCCCTGGTTATCTGAATCCACTTGGGGCGTAGCCATTACGCCATTGCCTAAGTATGTTGTGAACCATCTGTCTGTCCTGCTCCGAAGTCCTTTCTGTTCCTTGTTCTCTTCTGACTCTAGAACGGGCCTGTGGGTAATATGTAAGATAATAAGGTACACGTGTAGTTACGCGGTCTGCTTCCTCTTCGGAAGACCAACGATGGGACCCCTCCCCCTCTGGTCAGCCAGCCAAGAGCTCTGAGTTGTCTGGTGCCCCGTAACCTGACAGAACGCCAACGAAGTACGTGTGTACGTGTAAGCCGTTCTGAGCCGTGCTGGCTCTGCTGGCAATCAATGGTAGGCGCATCGGGCACTGATGATTTGTTTGAAACGGCGCCGTGTCGCGCAGTCGTCTCCGACTCGCTGACGACACAGCGAGGGATTCGACGTAAAAGTACCTCGAGCATGAGGGGAAGGCGTGCATCTTCAGGTCGCGGTAGGGTATAACCGGCTAGGCTTGGGCTCGTCCAAATCCCGGGCCCAAATCTGTAGTTGGTCGGCGTCAAAAGAAACCCAGCGCCTTGGGCCGCCTGCTCTTTCGCATCCCCTCCCCGCTGTCTGTTCTAGACCGTAATATAATTACCTGGGTGGGCATCTCTTTGACGCCGGGGCCTCGGCACCGTCAGACGAATTCCTGGACAGACGGAGGGAGAATTTTTAGGGCTCCCCCATCCGAACAGGGGGGGTTTGATGTAGTCTCACTGTGGGACGGGGGGTGGAATGCTGTCAAGTCGAAAGCCAGTAAGGAGGGATTTGTTTGGGGCCGTTTTGGTGGGCGGCGTGGGCTGGTGGAAACTCGAGGCGTTGGTGAAACGGCGGGCGGATTTAAGCGAAATTAACACCCCTTCAAGACGAGAGGAGAGCCGGATTCTCCATTTATTACAACGTACCAAAAGCCGAATTGTTCAGCTTACTAAGATGTGCGAGAGAGAAGAAGATGTGAACGATGGTCCTCTTCTGGGTCAACAACGGCCCATGGCGAAAAAAAAAAAAAAATTGCCTTCCCCTCTTGGCCGTTCAAGTTGTTGGCGTTTATTCTCGCTTCTTTTTCATCTACTTTGCCGTGAGCCCGAGCTCTGGTACTCGGTACTCTGACACCTTGGCAGCATAGTGTCGACATCGTCGATCCTCTTCTGTGCCATGCCGCGGGGGCATGGCACACCAAGCTAAGGAAAGGGACCTGCAGAAATATTACCTAGCCACCTTCAACTACAGCATTTCTCCGCTCGCCATCATTTGCTGTCGAACGAGATGGCACTGAACTGCGTCAACGAATCGGTGACATTGGGAGCACCAGGATCTCCGCGGGTTCGTGTCAGTGTCAGGTAAAGTATCTGACCGACAACGAAATGCCGCGTGCCAGCTTCTTCTCCATTAGTCGAGGCGCGGAGTAATAACGGGCGGTTGTTGGTCGTTCCGCCGCAGGCGCAGAACGACGCTGGCTCTCAAATTCATCATGGAAGTTGTACCATACAAAAAGCACTGATGTACACTACGGTGGGAGACGTGGACTTGCTTGACTTGCCCAGGTTACATCTCTACATCGTAATAAATCAATCGAGACAAAGTTTTACAACATCTATGGGCGGTACGTAGACTATCGCTACAGGTACCTTATTTACGGAGGGGAACTGACATGCACTCCGTAATTATTAAGGAATATAATTGTTTTCGGGGACTTCCCCGCCGTTTTCGTGAACGTGGGATGAACGACAGCAGGCATCGGAAAGCTGCGTCGGGTGGTTGCCGCAGACGAGACAAACAGCGAACAAACATTGACCAGGCATCGCCGATGGGGGGACACTGCTGCTGACTTCAATGTCCCGGGACCCGTTATGTAATTACCCCGCGTCTCAGATAAACAGTGGGGTGAGCTACCATACAACGTACACGACAGGCAGCGGAGGTTGGACGAGCAGGCCTTCCCTTGTCCAAGTGAGAGGCGGAAGAAGAGGAACGAGAGAAAAAGCAAGAAGAAAAGAAGAATAAGAAGAAAAGAGAGAGCAGGAACAAGGAACCAGTGCAATGGACTTAAGACAATACTGCATTTCCCCAAATAAGGCCAATTACGACTGCAATCAACTGCAAGACGCTTGTCGACAGTCATCGAGGAGACTCTGGGTAGAAAAAATAACGACGCTGTCTCACTGACTCTCTCGCTGACCGACCGATACTGAGTCTGTGAGTCTCGCCTCCCTGGACCATAAAATCGGACCGGCGCTCCCCGCACGGCACATTCCAGTGGCGCTACGCCAACCGCGCGCCGAGCGGAAGCACTTCAACGCAGCAACCTCCGTCCTCGTCCTAGACCGCCTCTTCGCCGTCTCCGAATCCTCCTACCCCTTCTCCTCCACCGGGCCATCTTCGCGGAAGAAGGCGAGGAAAAGAGATGGGAGAGATTACGGCGAGGGTTGCGTCACCGTCGGCGGCTCCTTTGTCCGCAGTGACGAGTTTCGTACCCCGGGGACGAGCAGCAGCACCGCCGGCAACGGGGGCCGCTTGATGCTCGATCTGCGCTCGTGGGTTGACCATGATGTTGTTATAAAAGCCGGACAGGACGAAAAGGGGGGAACCGTCTCTTCAGTATCTGTGGCGGCTACGGAGATTGAGAAGATTACCGTGGTGACTTGTCTCATCATGCTAAAAAAGGGAGGTTGACCGGCGAAGACCGTGTCAGACTATGAGTATTGGCGGCGCTGCTGCTGGTGGTCCTTGAGCCGACACATCTCGAAGTTCGGTGCCCAAGGAGGAGGGAGTTGATAGTTCCATCTTCTTGTAAGAGTTGCATGATGGTATGGTCGATATACGATGCTGGTCTGTATAATATGCTGGAAAAGCCCCGTTTCATTTGAGGCTCGGGATTCCCAAGAATACATTGTCTTATTCGATTCGCATCCTGCTTGACCATCTGACCATCTGAATTTGTGGCCACTCTTTGACCTACTCATATACAATTCAGTCGAATCAATGCCAAAACAGTTCATATAATCCACACTCCCAGGCCGGTACGCCACTATTCCGAACGCCTCTGCCCCGTTGACGTTATAAAGAGCACTTCGTCTCGTCACAGTTCTTCGCCAATCGCTCCTTGTTCCATCGTGAAGTTGGAGAATTGATGATTATCCTCTCGCCACTTTTTAGATACCCGGCGGTACTAGAGTAACAACATGATTAGCATGCATGCGAAAGATCCCAGCATATGTAGGAGGTGGATGTGTGAGGACACAGAAGAAGGGGGGGGGGGGGAAAGAACATACCGCAAACACCAAGTTAAAAATAAGGGCAAGCAACAGGGCAACGCCGACGATGATAGGTCCAAACATGTTGTCGAAATCCTTCCCGCTGCGCTCGATGATCATCCGCCGGCGCCGCCGCTGCATGGCATAGCCCCACACCCCAGCGAAGACGGCAATGAGAAGGTACGTGACGCCCATGGCCGTCGCCACGGTGTTGCTGCCGGCCGCCGAGTACAGCCCCACGGCGAGCGAGCCGAGGAGGACGCTGATGTGCTGCCACTTGACAAAGGTGCGCTCGTTGGCCAGCCATACCTTGGGCTCGATCTTGAGCTCGCCCATGTTCTTGATCCACACCGCCGGCTCGACCACCCCCTCCGGCAACGGCGGGCCGCGATCGTGCCTGGCACGCGAGTACCGCGACAGCGAGAAGTTGGGCACCAACGACGACAGCGTGCTGCTGTAGCCCTTGGGCCGTCGCCGCCCCGACCCATCTTCCTCCTCTTCCTCTTCCTCTTCCTCTTCCTCTTCCTCTTCCTCTTCCTCTTCCTCTCCCTCGTCCCCCCTCTCCACTCGACGTGCCGACTCGCCGTTCTCTTCTACCGTCGCCGTCTGGGGCATGCTGCGCCTTGCGCTCGACTCGGCGGCCATGCGGTCGGCGAGATACGATTGACTGACCGGCGAGCTGCGCGACGGTCCCCGCGGAGGCATGACGCGCTTGCCCAGGAAACTGCCGACGGCGAACTCGTCCTCGGCCCGCTGGCAACGGCGGCGCTCCTCCTCCTCGAAAGCCTGGTGCGGGTCCTTGCGGATATCGCCTTCGAGATCGCTCAGCCAGAACGGGAGGTTGTTGACGTAGTCTTCGAACAGCGACGCCACGCCGTGCACAAACTTGGAGAACCGCGGGACCGGGTGGACCAGGTGGGACGACATGAGGTCCTGGACCCAGACCGGCCGCTTGCGGTGGACGCCCTCCTTGAGCTTGATCTCCAGGATGGCGTAGGGGAAGCGGGATACCTCGCTCTGATTGATGTCCTTGAAGGGATACGTCAGGTTACGGTTGTCGATGTCAGTGCGGTGCCATGAATGAGGATCGCGACACGGCCGATCGCGGTCCAGAGTGTCCTCGCGGACGAAAGCGACCTCGGTGTCAATGGAGACACGGACCCGATCGTCCGCAGGCTTCTGGAAGGCGCTGCGGAAGTAGTTGGCTCGGAGGACCGGCTGCAGCTTCTTGCTACGGACAAAGTCCTGCAGTGCGTCGACCGTCTTCTTGTAGGCTGCGATGTCCTCGTCTGAGCGGGCGCTCTGGCGCTTCAGCTTCTGGATGGCCTTATCCATCTGGTACTCTCCGTCGAGGAAAGGCTGGACGTATTTCTCCTTGAGCGTCAGCTTTCGCTCCTCGCTCATGCCTTGATCGCCGATGGTCTTCTGTTCCATGTTGATCTCGGATTTGGCAGACAACTGGCCATACCAGCGGACGCGGAAGGAGGAGGCGCCGGGGGCCTGTCGGTTGACCTTGTCGGTGTACAGATCGAAGGCGTCGTTGTCGAAGTAGAGGGAGGTAATGGTCGGGTCATGGGCGGCGTCGAGCTCCTTGGCCGACTGCTCACTGTAGACGAGGGCGGGGAGACGGCGTAGAATGTGCGTCTTGACCTCGAGCAGGTTGTCCGGGTGGACCCAGAATTTGTGTGCCGAGTAGCGCTCGCCGTTGTGCGTCTCGGAGCTGCTCTGAAGATCGGGAGGGGAGGCATCTTCGCCCGAGTCGTCGAGCTGCTGACGGACAGCGTAGTATAGTATAGACAGCTTGTTGAGAAGCGGGGTGTAGGCCTGCTCCGAGTTGAACGGGCGGCGGGCGAGGCTGAGCTGCATCATGGGCCGGACCTTGTACCGTCCGCCCCGCTTGCGGTCGTGCTTCTTGACAATCTTCAGGAACGCAGTGTAGTTGATGTTACCAAACTTCTGCAGCTCGGAGATTTCGTTGGTGATGGCGTCCAGCTCGGCCTCGAGCTCCTCCAGGTGCTGGTTGGTCACGTCGCGCTTTGGTCCGCTGCCGTCCTCCGGGGTCATCTCCTTGAGCTTGGCGAAAGCGGCCTCGATACGATCGCGCAAGCTCGACACGGTTTCCTCTTGAAACTCCGCCACCTTCTCGAGCTGGGTGTTGAAGATCTCATCGCAGAAACGGTTCTCGTCCTCTTCGGTCCAGGGGCCGTCATCGTCATCGTATTTGTCTTCCCGCAGCAAAATCTTGAGCTTGGCGTAATCGACGTACTTGTTTTTCCAGGGCGGGTAGATCGACTCCCGCAATGTCCTACCGAACCTCATCGTGACTTGAATCTATGGCTTTATCTGCCCGCCTTTGGGGTGTCAATTTGCACCGATCGTAGGAGGGGGCAGATGGGGCGACTGAAGCATCCAGCTCGGTACAAACCCCGGCGGTTATGGACAGGCCGTCGTGCTAGCCTGGCTTAACAGATTACACGTAAATGGATGTCGAAAAGTGCGTGCTGTTAAATGGAAGAGAGGTTGAGTGCGAGGGAGAGAGCGAACTATGGAGGTCAATGGGAGAAGAAGGAGAGAAGAAAAGAAAAAAAAAAAAGGAACATCACGATTGAATGGAAACTACTACAAGGTAACAATAGCACTGGAACCCGGTCGGGGAACCTACGAAGTACCTTACTTCGTACACTCGGACCCCGCCGCCTCACAAGTCCTTCATAACTCTGTACAAACGCACGAGCCTCCTAATCAGATGCCAGAGAAATCCCACGTGTGTAACGCGCTATACACGTACTTCGTACACGTACCTTACCGTAATATTACAGTGTTGTAGGTACGAACTTCGGACAATCCTTTAACCTACGGCCCCGTCGAATGACGCAAGTGGACTATGTACACCGAACCACCCCACCACACCGAGTTTGGATCACGGGTCTTGCCGAGTCGAGTCCGGCCCGACTTAACCAGCAAGTGAATGAGTGGGAATGTCTCGACCATGTCTTGGCCGAGCCAAACCAAGTCTCCTCCTACTATGATACTGACATGAAAGTGGTGGTATAAACATCCTCGTCACACATGTAGGACATAACACCAGCGAAAGCATCTCCCCGGTATTATGTCGTGTATGGACTGTAATTTGGGAACATATATACAGTAACTACAACTTTCCCCCTTTGGTTCGTCATCATAAATATCAAAAGAAAAACTAGAGCTACAACAGAAAGAAAGCAAATCGAAGACACGCCAACCGCTTCGTCGCCTTCTTTTCATGCCCACAGGATCGTCGTAATAAGAAATGTAGCTCATGCAGAAATGGTCTATCCCAAGTCAACCAACCCCCTTTGCAGGTCCCCTCCGGTGCGAGCGCCAAAATATGCACTGAAGAGTGGTAGGTATCATCAGCCGTCCCGTAACAAACATTTGCCGAACGACTCCTCGAACCCCTGGGAATACCTGGTGCGCCTCCAACCCCTGGTGAAATCCGTCTCTACATCCATGCCTTAACCCTCCCCCCCTCGACAAAACGTCCTTCGAGGGGAGATTCTTCTTTGACGTCTACGCCGCCACCTGAGGCTGGAGACTGACAACTTCCTCGACGGCACGCTTGACGATGCCACCGGTGACGGGCAGATTGGTGTTGCCCTCCAGGAACAGATCGACTTCGCGCGCCGCCTGTCGGCCCTCGTTGATGCCCCAGACGATGAGCGACTGTCCGCGACGGCAGTCACCCGCCGCGAAGACGCCCTCGATGTTGGTGCTGTACTTTCCCGGCGCCGTCTTGACGTTCTTGCGCGCGTCCTTCTCGATATCATCGCCGAGGATCCGCTCCTCCGGACCCAAGAAGCCCATCGATAGCAGCACCAGGTCCGCGGGGAAGAACTGGCGCGTGTCCTCCAGCTTCTTCATGTCCCAGCCTCCCGACGGCGACTTGGTCCACTCGACCCGGATGGTATTGATACCCTTGACACGCCCGCTGCCGTCGTCGACAAACTCCTCCGACATAATGCAGAACTCGCGCGGATCTTTGCCCATGTGCTGCTGCACTTCCGTATGGCCGTAGTCCACCCGGTAGATGCGGGGCCACTGAGGCCACGGGTTGTCGAGCCCGCGCTGTGGGGGCGGTTGCGGCAGCAGCTCAAAGTTGATGACCGACTTGGCTCCGTGCCGCACCGACGTGCCGATGCAGTCGTTGCCCGTGTCACCACCACCAATCACGATGACGTGCTTGTCCTTGGCCGAGATGTACGAGCCATCCGCCAGCTCCGAGTCAAGCAGCGACTTGGTGTTCTTGTGCAGGAATTCCATGGCGAAGTGGATGCCCTGGAGATCACGGCCCTTGATCGGCAGGTCACGCGCCACAGTCGCACCCGTCGCGATGATGACGGCGTCGTTTTGCGCCCGGAGGTCGGCCAGACTCGGCTGGCCATCCTCGCCGATGCCGACGCCGCACTTGAACGAGACGCCCTCGGCCTCCATGAAGTCGGTCCGCCGCTTGACAATGCGCTTGTCGAGTTTCATGTTGGGGATGCCGTACATCAGCAGACCGCCTGGCCGGTCGGCGCGTTCGTAGACGGTGACTTGGTGACCAGCCCGGTTCAGCTGGTCGGCGGCCGCCAGCCCGGCGGGTCCGGAGCCGATGATAGCGACCGTCTTCCCGGTACGGACTTGGGGAGGTTGCGGGACCATCCAGCCCATGTCGAATCCGCGGTCGATGATGGCGCATTCAATGGACTTGATGCCGACGGGGTCCTCGTTGATGCCGAGGACGCAAGCACCCTCGCAGGGAGCAGGGCACACACGGCCGGTGAACTCGGGGAAGTTGTTGGTCATCAAAAGCCGGTTAAGTGCCTCTTGCCACTGGTTTTGGAACAGGAGCTGATTGAAACTGGGGATGATGTTGGAGATGGGGCATCCCGTCTCCGACTGGCAGAAAGGTACACCACAGTCCATGCAACGGGCCGATTGGTACTTGAGCTCGTCCTCATCAAGGCGGGTCGACAACTCGGCCCAATCCTTGGTGCGCGTCTTCGCGCTGCGGTACTTTTCAGACCTCCGCTGGTACTTCATGAAGCCCTTTGTCTTGTCCAGGACGAGGGCGCGCTTCTTCTCGGCGGCGTGGTCGCCGACGGTTTCTTCAATGTCCTGAAGCTTAGGCGCCTTCTCCTCCTTCTTCTTGTGCTGAACACCCGACACGACTGGCAGGTTGTACTGGGCCCGCTTGGCCTCAGCCGCCTTCTCGGCCTCTTCCTCGAGCACCCGCTTGTAGTCCACAGGCAGCACCTTGACAAAGCGAGGAAGGGCACGGTTGAAGTCCAGCAGGATACGGGCAGCCATCTCAGAGCCGGTATAGTGGTGGTGGTCCTCAATGAGGCTACGCAGGAACGCAACCTCGGTCGGCTCAGTGACACCGCCAACCTCGACCATCTCCATGTTGATCTTGGAGTGGAAATCCTGGTCAATGTCAAGCACATAGGCAATGCCGCCAGACATGCCGGCAGCAAAGTTGCGTCCAGTGCTGCCCAAGATCAGGACCCGGCCACCCGTCATGTACTCGCAGCCGTGGTCGCCAACACCTTCGACGACTGCCGTGGCACCCGAGTTTCGGACGGCAAATCGCTCGGCTGCCACGCCGCGGAAGAAGCACGAACCACTCGTAGCGCCGTAAAGGCAGGTATTGCCGATGATGATGTTCTCCTCTGCCTTGAAAACGGCAGTGCGAGGAGGGTACACGATCAAACGACCACCGGACAAGCCCTTGCCGACGTAGTCGTTGGAGTCGCCCTCCAGCTCGAGGGTAATACCGGGAGCCAGGAAGGCACCGAACGACTGACCAGCCGAGCCCTTGATGTTGACGTGGATAGTATCCAGGGGCAAGCCGCGCTCACCAAAGCGCTTCGAGACATGGTAAGACAGGGAGGTGCCCATGGCACGGTCGGTATTGACAATGTCGCACTCGATTCTGGAAGGCAGACCCTTGTCGAGAGTCAACTCGGCTTCGGAGATGAGCTTGTTGTCCAACCGAACGTAAAGCTTATGGTCCTGCTTCCTGACGTTGAAGGTGGCGACACCTGGGCGCAGCTTGTGGGCAGGAGTCAGCAGCAAAGAGAGGTCAATGTTCTGAGTCTTGCTGGTGCGCAGGTCGTCCCGGACTTTCAACACCTCGACATGGCCAACCATCTCGTTGATGGTACGGAAACCCAGCTTCGCCATAATGGCGCGAAGCTCATTCGAGAGGTAGTAGAAGAAGTTGATGACATGTTCAGGGGTGCCGGTGAACTTCTTCCGGAGTTCGGGGTCCTGGGTGGCAATGCCGACAGGGCAGGTGTTCTACGTGTCGAAGAGTTAGCAAAATATGGCGAGTCGAGTCGAAACTCTTATCAAGCATAGGGGCTACACTTACCAAGTGGCATTTCCTCATCATGATGCAACCCATGGCGATCAGGGGTGCCGTCGCGAAACCCCATTCCTCAGCACCAAGGAGACAGGCAATGGCGATATCACGACCGGTACGTAGCTGACCGTCCGTCTGGACGACAACACGACCGCGGAGGTCGTTCAGCACCAGGGTCTGGTGCGTCTCCGCGAGGCCCAGTTCCCAAGGCAAACCGGCGTACTTGATACCAGTCCAGCGGGAGGCGCCGGTACCACCATCATGACCGGAGATGAGGATGTGATCGGCCTTGGCCTTGGCCACGCCTGAAGCGACGATACCAACACCCACCTCAGATACGAGCTTGACGGAGACGCGGGAGCGGGGGCTTGAACACTTGAGATCGTAGATGAGCTGCTTCAAGTCCTCGATTGAGTAGATGTCGTGATGAGGAGGCGGAGAGATGAGACCGACACCAGGGGTGGAATGACGGGTGCGGGCGATGGACTTGGAAACCTTGTGTCCGGGCAGCTCGCCTCCTTCACCGGGCTTGGCACCCTGGGCCATCTTGATCTGGAGCTCATCAGAATCGGCCAGGTAGGCGGAGGTGACACCGAAACGGCCCGAGGCGACCTGCTTGATGGCGGACCGCATGGTATCGCCGTTTTCCATGACCTGAGACCGCTCAGGGTCCTCGCCGCCCTCGCCCGTGTTCGACTTACCGCCCAGCCGGTTCATGGCGACGGCCAGGGTAGAGTGAGACTCCATGGAGATGGAACCGTAGGACATGGCGCCGGTGCAGAAGCGGCGGACGATCTCGGTCCAAGGCTCTACCTGGTCAATCGGGACGGGCTCTCTCTCTTCGAACTTGAAATCGAGCAGGCCACGGAGGGTGCAGTTCTTGATCTGCTCATACTCGGAAAGCGAATAGGCCTCGTACGATTTGTCATTCTTGGTCCGGACAGCATCTTGGATGTTGGCAATGGAGGCCGGGTCGTTCACGTGGGCCTCGCCACCGTCGCGCCAGTGGTATTCGCCCGATTCGGGAAGGCCAGTGACGCCCACGGTGTAGCGGGAGGGGAAGCCCCTCTCGTGGAACCGGAAGGCATCCTGGGCGATGATGTCAAAAGTGGCTCCCTGGATACGAGAGGCCGTGCCCTTGAAGCACCGCTCAACGATGCTGTCGTCCAAGCCGAGGATCTCAAAGATCTGCGCTCCCTTGTAGCTGGCCAGAGTAGAGATGCCCATCTTGCTCATGACCTTGAGGATGCCGCCGTCGCACGAGTGCTTGTAGTTGCGAATCAGATCATCATCGGAAAGCTTCTTCTTGATCAGGCCTTCACGATTAAGCTTCAGGATACACTCCATGGCCAGGTAGGGGTTGACGGCATCGGCGCCGTAGCCGAGGAGGACGCACATGTGGTGCACCTCACGAGCCTCCGCGGTCTCCAGTATGATAGCCGCCATAGATCTCCACTTGTTGCTTACGAGGTGATGGTGAACCATGCCGGAAGCCAGCAGGGCGGACACTGCGACGCGGTCGGCGGATGTGGCACGGTCGGACAAGACGATGATGCGGTCCCGAGCCTCGACAGCCGCCGTGGTCTCCTTGCAGATATAGTCGAGGTGGCGCAGGTAGCCCTCGACGCCGTCCTTCTTGGGGAAGGTGAGGTCAATGGTCTTGACGGTCCAGCCAGGATACTTGGTCGACATGTTCTTGATGGCATTGAATTCAGGGATGGAGAGAATGGGGCTCGGGAGCAGCAGACGGTTCGTCTGCGAGGGGTCCATCTCGAGCAGGTTGCCTTGTGGCCCAACGTAGCACTCGAGAGACATGACGATCGACTCTCGGATGGGATCGATGGGAGGGTTGGTGACCTGGGCGAACAGCTGGCGGAAATATTCGTGGAGCAGCCGAGGAGCCTGGGACAGGCATGCCAGGGGGGCATCGTTACCCATAGACCCCAGAGCTTCTTTCTCGTCCGAGGCCATGGGAGCAAGAAGCAGGCTCACCTGCTCATGGGTGTAGCCGAAAGCCAGCAGCAGCGGGTCCTGTTGGAGCAGGGTAGAATCAGGCTTCGCGGCCAGGTCGGCCGTGGCGCTCATATCCTCTAGAACCTTGGGCATGGCGAGAAGGTTGTCGTCGAGCCAGGAGCGGAAATCGTGGCGCTGGGCAACGGCATCCTTGAGTTCCTTGTCGTCAATGATCCGGCCAGCTTGGGTATCAACGAGCAGCATCCTGCCGGGCTGAAGACGACCCTTTTGAATGACACTCTCGGGCTCGACGGGGATTGTGCCGACTTCGGAAGCGCAGATGATGCGGTCATCGTCCATGACGTAGAAACGACACGGCCGTAGACCGTTACGATCGAGATTGGCACCGCAGAAGCGACCGTCGGCGAAAGTGAAGAGGGCCGGACCGTCCCAGGGCTCCATCTGGCAAGCAGCCCACTCGTAAAAAGCGGCCTTCTTGAGATCCATCTGTGTGTTGCCCTGCCAGGCCTCGGGAACCATGAGCATGACGGCCTCGGGAAGAGAGAGCACGCCATTGATGGTCAGGAGTTCCAAGACGTTGTCGAAGGCCGCCGAGTCAGAGCCGCCATCCTCAACAATGGGGTAGAGCAATTCGAGTTCGTCCTTGAAGACATCCGAGTGCATGACACCTTCTCTGGCTCTCATCCAGTTCTTGTTGCCGCGGAGGGTGTTGATCTCGCCATTGTGGGCAGCCCAACGGAGAGGCTGGGCACGATCCCACGAGGGGAATGTGTTGGTGGAGAAACGCGAATGCACAAGGGCGAAGTGTGCCTCGTAATCAGCATTCACCAAGTCGTGGTAGTACTGGTAGACCTGGACGGGTGCTAGCTGCCCCTTGTACACAATGTTCTTGTTGGACAGGGAACAGAGGTAGAACCAGTTATGGAGGCCAATTGTGTGGGTGGCCCTCTTCCGGAGGACAAAGAGTTGGACCTCGAAGTGGCGTTCGTCGAAGAGCTCGGGGTCGGTGTTTTCGGGGGCATCGCTGGTGCCGTAGGCCGAGGCGAGCACGACAAAGGGCTGGAGAATGATGGGCTCGCGGGATCTGGCGGCAGGCCCGAGAAGGCTCGAGTCGACGGGAGGTCTCCGCCACCCGAGGACACGCAGGCCCAGGGATTCGGCAATGTCTTCCAACTGCCGCTTCGACTCCTGCAGGGTCTCCTCATCGGGTTTGAAGAAGAGGTTACCCACAGCGTACTGACCAGGAGGAGGCAGCTTAATGTTCTCCTCCCGCTCAAAGTTCTTGATGAAGAACTTGTGGGGGATCGAAGTCATGACGCCAGCGCCATCACCATCTCTCACATCGGATCCCACAGCACCTCTGTGGGTCATGTTACAGAGAAGGTTGCGCGCTTTTGAATGCCCAATGTCAGCCAGGCATTTGACCATGTCCAACTGAGCTGATAAGCCCGACAGAGGGGAGGTTGGGAGATTTTTCTCGACTTACCATCGCTGACGATTTTGTGACTAGGCTTGCCCTTGATATGGCTATATCAGGGTGTCAGTCATCAGAAAACGCCAACCAAGAGAAGGGAGGGCGGAATATGAGAGAAGACCTACCAAGCAAAGCCAACACCGCATGCATCTTTCTCGAAGCTAGGGTCATACAAGCCCCTGATGGACGTTAGTAACCCATTCGTTCCGTCTCTACCTTTTTACCCATCGTCGTCTGGTGACGAATGACTCAATACGGTGCAGGGAGGTATCACATACTGCTTCACCGGGAGAGCACCCGCCCAGGAGCCATTATTCTCCTCCTGGTATTCATATGGATGGTATGTCTCCTCTTGAGACTCGACATGGATTTCGCGATCGTCGAACTCTTCGGCCAGGCCCATGCTAGGCGACTACCGTCGTCTGATGTCACCGGGGGAGGGGGGGTGGCGACCGGGGTCGAAGATAAGAGAGAGGGTTGAGAGTCCGTTGATGGAGTCGGCGAGCCCACGAGAGCAGCAACCCTAGCTGCTCCTGAGACGGATCTATTATCAACAGTAAGCAAGCGGTCAGCAACGGTCCCAATTCAATTTGTCGTGTAGGTGAGCGAGTGCAAAAGGAGACAAAAGGAAACCAAGAGACCAGGGTCGAAAGTGGGACATGAGGTGTCGGATGGAAACGGGGGGCCAATAGATGCCAGGAGAAGAAATCCGGTCCGGCAAGTCGAGTGGAACGGAATCCAATCAGGAGGAGGGGTATTGTCCCCTTTCCCCCCTTCTTTTCTTTGTTTTTAACCCCAGCCGACGCACTAGCATCTGACAAGCCATGGCTGCTGGGCTTGCACTCTCGGTTGGCCGATCTCAGCCAAAGGGACCGGATTCGAAGTTTGGCGCCCGTCGAGAATCGATGACCCGGACCGACACTTCTTCATGAGCAGACGGTTCGGCAACAGCATATTGGCGAGAGGCACGCGGCACGAGGCACGCGACCAGCGTTGATATCGGGAGAAAATGGAAGACAGTAACGGATGATGTAATGCGGTGATCATGTGGTGAGTGACGAAGAGGAGAATGTATCCGTCTGCGGAAGGCTCGACCTGCGGGCTTGGAGGTAAGAGCGACCGAGCGTTGACCACCCCGCCAACCCCTCCCCCCTCTCCACTTTCCCAATTGCCAGCCAAATGCCCCTCCTGCAATAGGAAAACTTTGGACCCCTCAGTAGCCCAGAGAGCTGCTTCAGCTGACTTGTCCGGTGGTGGCTGTGCGTGCCGTCCGCTCTTATCGAGGCATGCCCATCGAATCGAACGCCTGATGTTAAAGGACGTTGTATTGTCGTATTGTACCCCGTATTCCAGGTTTTCATGTCTTGAGCTTCTGAGGATATTGAGGGTCCATGTGGGACTCATGCAGGTGGGCTGCCAATGGCGTTGTCCGGGGGCAAGCCGACAGAACTTATCGGACGCATCCTGTTGGGCCAATGCATGGGAGAGGGGCACACCCGTAGCTTGAATCAATGCTGGAACCGACTGACATCACCAGCCAGGGCGAGGCGTATGGGTCGTCCTCCCCCCGTCACACCTGTCTGTCGCTCCGAATGGCGGCTCAATGGTGTCCTCTCTCCAAGAATTGAGGCCGACTCGGACCCGTTGTCACCGGTACACACACGCAGTCGAGAGTTTTTGCCGTCGGTGTTCCGCAGGATGCTGGAGGGCCCAGATTCGGGTAGAGAAAAATGGTTCTCTTGAAAATAACGCCAGACCGCTGAATTAATTGTGTGGTCCTGTCGGTTCTTCGTCGGACGCCTTGCAATCGGCATCCAGGGCAAAAGACATCGATCTGGATTTGGGGTCGTGACTGACGTTTCGATTCTTCGTCCGCATTTTGGGGCCCGTCATCCTGGCTGGGCCCAGTCGTCTCATTCGCGGGGGTATGGAGGGTGAGGAAATATGGAGGGAGAGGGTGTGGGCGTTGCACTTGCTGGAGGGGGTAAAGAAAAGATGGCCGCGATAGAGGCACTACAAGCACGCACTAGGCATGCTCAGGACTTACCGACTGGCTTGTTTCTTTAAAGGATGCGGTCTTCCGGCCGCTCACTGATAGTAGAACGAGCAGCAAGGCTTTTTCTATGACAAGAAGCGGCGCAACTGTGTGGCTCGATTCGAGTTTTGTCTTGTAGGATAGAAGGCAAAGGCGCTGCGGTAGCAAGAGAAACGAAAAAGAGAAAGGCGAGAGAAAGCGGGAGGGAAGGAACGGAAGAAAATGAATCAGGACGAGGGTGCCGGGGGAGTTTTTATGGCAGAAGGTGGGAGTGTCCGCAGATGGCTCGGAGAACACACAATCGGACAGAGCAACAAGGAACGGGATAGACAAGGCCTACTAACAGACAGAACTACGAATACCCCCATACTCTCTCCACTTCTCACTGACTTTCTTGTATCCTGACCCCGAGTCGAGCTCAGCCGGGAGAAGGGGGGTACTGTATGGGATGGAATTGACCGACCAGCTAGTGCTAAAGTCGGCGGCGGCTCTGGGGGGTTCAAAATGATCGATGTCCATGAACGTTGTAGGTGCCTTAGATTGGGGGGCAAAAGCGGGGTTGTCCGCGAACCAGGTAAAGACCCCCCCTTTTCGCACAGACCCATATTGAATGCGGCATCGGCACACGAGTTTCGATGCTTTCTGCGAATCATGTCGGGGAATGTGAGGTGAGATCTGCGGATTTCGTGGCTCCCACCGATGACGGCGCGGGGGTTACGTCTGAGTTCCCGGGATTTCCCTACCTCTTCTACGGAGTACGGAGTAAAAGCGACCCAGGTATTGAAACTCGACCTTAAATTGGAAAGCATGCTGCACCGAATGCACGAAGTTCTAAGTAGTGTGGGGGTACGCCGTACACTTTGCATGAGGCAGCATTGTATAAAGTCGTAATTTAAAATTACCAGCCAACAGCAACTGCATCAGCAACGGGAACCGCCTTTTCGACCAGGCATATTGAATATACTCCGTAGGATTCCCTGTTATGCTTCTCACCCTTCCCTCCGAAAGCCATCTCGGACGTACGTATAAAATGGCTCGTGTGCTTTGTATGTAGCTGCTAATGGGTGCGTATGCATTCGATCGTACCATGCTGGCCAAGTTGGCGCCTCAGCTTCCAGTGGCGACCGACCGGCGCCAAGACGCTGTGGGCAGAGGATAACACGTCAAACGAAAACTTATGGTTCACTTCATCATGCCCCTTCTCATCCTGATATATTGTCTATATTAATTAGTATTATGATCATTCTCTGATTTTCGATTTCCCTTTTCCCGTGCGCCGCGTAGGGAGGTGTTTTCACTGGCTGGCCATGGAGTCGTTAATAAATGGTATACTGTTGGGGTTCAGCAGGGCGTGTGCCCTACCGTTTGCAACACGTTGTCGGAGACAATCAGGAGATGTATAAGTCCAAAAAAGAAAACCCCTTGGTACCTGGAAAAGGGGGGTTCAATGAAGATCCTCGCCCCGAAAGATCACACTCATGTACATCGTACGTCCTGTTGTCTCATTTCAAGGGCCTCAGCGTTCATGGCTCCTCTCACCGCATCATCCCATTCTTGCCATGCCATCACCCGAACCCCGGCTACAAAGTACCACGTCGCTAGTTATCTGGAGAGATGTGTTCGCCATTTTTCCTATGCTTCCTTTTTTGGGCTTGTTGGGGCTGAGAATACCCGAAGGCCCTGTCGAGTCGATGAGCACAGACCAATCATCGCCGACTCGAGGGACCATATCGGGTTCTTTACTGAGCCTCAAACTACCTGAACAAGGAAGAACGCAAACCATATAATTATCCGCCCGAGTGAACGAGACGAACTAGTCGGATCACCAGTTTTTTATTTTTGGTTAATGTGCTGTCGAGTGATTTGCCACGGAAACTCCCCATCATATCTGCAGAGTGCGGTAAAGCATGGCGTTATGTCTGCTACTGCGCTTCATAGTTGCCAGAGGTCCCTCGGAATAAGTACGACGTGTTGTCCTTTGTCGTCCGATCGAGGCTCCCGAGCCGGAAAATATACCGAGGAGGTGAGGTGGCCTTTATGTCCTTGGATGGGATAATTCAACTACCTAGGTACCTTAGGTAACAGTTCGGGGTCATCGCCCCCGGTCCCTCTGGACAGGGGCAGATATCCAGTCTTTGATATCCTTTTTGTCAGAAATATTGCAACATGAAAATTAAGGCAGAGCCTGGTCGAACCCGATGCAGAGGCGACGCACCCCACACCCGCATGCAGCGGGGCAAGGGATGGCTGCACTGGCTGGCTCCGGAGTGGAGGGTGTTTTAAAGCGGGTGGAAGGGTACACCCTGCCATCCCTGCTAATCGAGATGGTCCTTGCGAACAAAAACATGTCATCGACATCGAAGCTTCTGAGCTCCCACCAATCAACAAATCGTATTTCAAAGGCCTTCTTCAAAAAAGACCCTCGGCCGATGTCGCGTCCGGTGCCGGGAGCTTCGCGATGAACGACCGCACCCCCCAACCAAAAAGCCCGCCCTCCGCCATCCACTGCCAGGGAAGCTTGTCAGTTGCAGGTCAGCCACCTCATCCCCGTTGCCACATGAACATTACCCCGGGCCTTCAGCCTCCTTTTTTGGCCATTTCTTTAATGGGATGAGCCCTAATTACGTCGTGATTTATTTCGTCTTTGTCTTTGTAGGAGGACGGCCATACGATCACACCAAAAAGAAGCATATTGGTTGTTGTCGTATTCCATCGTAGTACGGGAGGTACTAACCCTGGGGAGTAACCGCCTGCTTCTTCGCAGCGTTTTGTCCTTGGTCTCTTGCGCTCTTGCGATCGCAGCGCGTGAGACTCTAATTTGTGATGAAGCGAGCCAGCCTCCGCTGAACGCTGTTTGGTCTCCGCGCCGAAGGTGTCCCGCACGTTGCATGCTTCTATACTATGGGTGGATTCGTATGGATAAAATCTTGGAACTACCCAGACCGGGCGGAGTAGTACAACGCACTTCGTAGGCACGACAAGGAGAGGGAAAAAAAACGCTCAACGCTATGGGCTGTCGCACGTTGCTGAGAACCCTGTTTTACCCTTTCAGGATTGGTGTTGCAGGAGAGGCTGACCAATGGTGATATCCAGTCTCGACGTCGAAGAGACACGGCAAGGGTAATAAAGCCTTGCCTCTCGCGGGAAATAGGAAAGTAGGGACCGCAAAGCGACCCTGACTCACTCACCCGCGGGTTGGGCTATCGCGCTGTCAAAAAATCGACATCTTGAAATAACGGCGATCGACCAATCAGAAACGGCCCAGTCCTACTCAAGTACCTTATCAGAAGCTAAACTCGACCGGCACACGACCTGAACCCCCCTCATTACCCCGAAACCCCCCCGAATCCGAGTCGAGCTGCAGGGAAACCCCATCGCTCTGAGTGAAGCGGAGTAGTTGCCGGCGCAGGCGCCCCCACCTTTTGGAACATCGAACATCCGAACCTCTCCGCTGCGATGGCGCCCTTCGCCTAATTACCTACCTTACATTAAACGCACGCTGTTGGCTTGTTAATTTAAATGAAAAAGTGTCTTGTATTACCCCGTAGCATGCTCTTCACGTCATACGTTCGAGTAAAACGCAGAATGGATCGAAAATGGCACCGCACCACTGGACCTCTCTCGGTCGCCTTCACCTTAAGTGCAATAGCCTTTTTTTTTTTCCACATGACAAGCTGAGAGCACACTTGGTGAATGTCGTGTGAAAAGGCCCAGATACGAGATTAGATCATGGCATATCTTCTAATCTGACCGGGGCAGAAGAAGGGACTAAAAAGAAGGGAGCTGAGAAGAGACCCGTTCTAGAAACAGACACGAGGCATTAGTTCGTTGAGAATCGCCCATTGTCGAACACACATGGCGGGGAAATGAATATACCGACAGGCAGCCGTACCAACCATGGAGGGGAACTCAGAACAAACCGACACCGGAGTGATCATTCATCGAAGTCGGTTCGCGTGTTTTGCTCAAACTGAGAATAATTAGTGATAAGCCACATGCTACATGTAATTATTCTGCGGAGTCCGAGCTGCTTGAAGTTTCATGGGAGGCATATGCGTATCCGTACGGTAGGTTGGCTGCATCCATACACACGGGACGCTACTGTACCATAGTGCTGTGCCCTATCCGTACAGTTCGGTGTACCCACCCGACTTAGCGGGAATCTCGCCCGTAGGAAAAAGAGAAAAGAAAAAAATCGCTAACGCTATAGACCCTGTCCGAGGTGCTCCCACGCCAATGTTCATACCCGAAAAATTCCGAACATCTGCGGGGCACTTCTGCACCCTGCTTCTTGGCTTGCTTTGGGGCTTTTGGGGCTTTTGGAGAGTTTGTTGCTCGTATCCATACTTCGTACGAATACAGAGAGCGACAGAGCAACCGGGGCGAACGGGAAGAACAGAACGGTTTCTTAAACCCGCCGCCTATTTATTGTTTGAGCACGGATGAAACATATTGCCATTACCTCATAGAATTATTGCAGTTTCTTGCCAGGCCTCCTTGATTCACACACCGACAAAAGAGAGCCGGCCGGGGAATACGAAGTAAGATGCAGGGTGTCAAATCTTCTACCCGCACACTTACGGCTCGCTGAGGTCGGTTGCATGGAAGAGTAAAAGGATGACCAACAGTGCAAAAGCGGTTCCTCTTGCATAGCATTTCCGCCGACTGACAACATAACGGAGGAGCAGTTCCGAGAGTTCCAGTTTTTCTTCGAGAAACCGGTACAGACACTCAGGGATCGGTTGCTGGGGAAGAGAAAACAGAGAGGTCGCCCCGTGTGAGCGCCAGAGAGGGACAGATCTTTACTCCGCAAAGATTCCATCAAGTAAAACTGACCAGCCCTTGGTCACGGGATAATGCGTACTTTAATAAACCAATAATGGGTGGCATATTTCTAACAACCAGCCATTCCAACCTGATGCACATGTGAAAGGGGAGCAGTAAAACGCCAAGTGTTACTAAACGCGATAAGCGATAAGCGATAAGTGATCAGCAATAAGCGCCTGTGTTCTTTACCTGTGTGGGGCGAAGCTTTGACCACCTGTTATGTTGACCAGTGACACGCAGACGCTCAGCTCCTGCTCTTGCTGTTCTTGAAGCTTCACAGGAACATAAGCGAAAGGCAACTTGCTGTTACTCCCTGCCAAATTCCCTTGATTTCTGACCCAGCTACAAATATTACAAGTCTGTGCTATTGCTACAGGCTACGGGCCAATTTTCCTCTTAACTTTTGCCAACAGTACGATTCTCTTGTTATGATCCAAACCTGAACCGTCTATTAGCCATAGGACAGCTATTCACCATGCTCGGGATACTACCGGACCTGACCCCGCGTGATGTAAGTTGCAGAAACCTCATAACGTCTCTTCGGTACATGGAAAGCAGGCTTCTTCCTTACTGACTGTCCCTTTTTCTTTAGTCCCATTCCGTCTGGTACACCTCTTCTCGCAACCCCTCCCACAGTCCCTTCATCGACTCGGGTCCAGAATCCCACCCACGGCATCAACAGTATGACCATGGCGATGGCGACAACGGTGGAAGCAATGTCCGACGCCAAGGGCAAGCCGTCCTTGAGCGTTCCCTTCTTGTCCGTCTACGCGCCGATGAGCAATACATGGAGCGCCGCCGTATCAACATCCAGAACTTCGGTGCCGCCTGGCTAAAACCCCCCGGAGTCCCCAAGACGCTCCATCAAATGCGAGAAGAGCGTCGAGAAGCGGAGGAACACGCAGAGGCCATGCGTCGTGAACAAATGCAACAGGATCTCGCAGAAGCGGAGGCCGCCGGCCTGGAAATGGAAGACGCAGGCGAGAGCGGAGATCCCGATGACATGGGCGACGGAGCGAGGGATCTCGACGAGGAGATCCCCGACGCCTCAGCCATGGACATGGGCATGAGTGCCATCGACGAAGACACGACCGTTTCATCAGTCAGTAGCGCCAGCATCACCAGAGACGACGACGACGACGACAACGATAGCGACGATGAAGCTGCAGCTCGGAGCGCCGAGGCCAGACAGGAGCAGCGGCGCAACGAGCTGATACAGGCGCGCATGCGCATGGCCGACGACGCCTTCCGCCAGGCGCTAGCCCGGGGCGACCCCGACGCCGGGGACATATACGATGTCGAAGAGGAGCTCGAAGCCGAAGGACAGGGCGAGATCCTCTTCGAGGAAGTGTTTCGAAACGCGCGGTTGGTCGGCGAGCACCACTTCCAGGACGGCGAACCGGAGGAGGACCTCAACATGGACGCAAACCTGGACGATAGCATCCCCGAGGGGGGCGAACTCAGTGGTGTCTATGAGCACACGGATTCCGAGGCCGGGTTGAGCAGCAGCAGCAGCAGCTCCATTAGCAGTAGTAGCAGCGAGGCCAACCGCGACGTGGACATGGACTTCGCCCCGCGGTCCTCACTTGTCGGGGCCACTGCTCTTCGCCCCCCCGACAGTCCGACCCTGCAGGCCCGCGGCGATCCAGCACGCGGCCACCGGATGCGCCGGAGCATGGATCTCAGCAGTCTTCTCTCGGCGGGAGACAGCAGCGTGCTCGGGAGCAGCCCGCAGAGGGGGCCCTCGCGGCGGTGATCCTGTGTTTTTGCACGAGAAACGAGTTCCTGCGTACGAGCATGCGAACTCAGACACGACAGCCACCCATTGTTGGCATGAACATGACTCACGAAATATGTTTTGAAAGGTAAAATAGCTTAGGCGTTGGGGTAATGCAAAGGGCACGCAAAGCAAAAGCCATGGATGGCACTGTATTTCTTCGGTCCAGAGGGTAAGGCAAAAGGCAAAGATAGGGCAATGGCGCTTGCTACAACTGATGAGCCCTTCTATTCCATAGAAGAAGGCAGGTAGGGTACGGGGCTGACCTGGACGATTAGTGATGGCCAAGGCTAAGCGGCACCGACCCAGGACTGCCGTGCAGAAGGGGACTCGGACTAGGCAGTATATATTACATTACATGAGCAGAACTTTACAGAACAAATCCGACAAATGTCTACGCCGGGGCACATATCCTCAGCTTTTATATTTTGCCTCTATGCGGCGCGTCGTTTCAATGCAACTGCAACATGACGAATGGAATAAAATAATGCCTTTTCCTAACGCCTGGTATGCAAAAAGGGTTTCCTGGTGCGCATCTGAACTCCAGAAGGCAACTGGAAAACATAATAATGGTCCATAAACCGATATCCGACCTGACTATCCTAGAACGCCGGGGACGCGTGCGAGCCTGCCCCTTACCCAAGTCGGAACAGGAGCAGTATGAGTATAAGCTCATCGTCCAATCTCTGTGTTGAATCACCGTGTCCTCTCCCCAAGTCTTGATATATTTCTGCATCGCGAGTCTGCGGAAAGGATGGTCGTATCTCGAAAAAAAAAAAAAGGGGTGAAATAGTCGTGGTGCTTCGAAGGGCGAAGAATGGGAAGCAGCGGGGGGTTGGGGGCATAGGCATCCCCCCTCAGTATATACTCGGGCCACTAGAAAAGCCAGACGTAGACGAATAATATCCAAATGGCGACGAAGAAGGCCAGCCAGACTTTCCAGCTGACTCCAGTGCGCTCAGCCATGACGAGCATACGGTTCATGGTACCGCGAAGTCGGAGACGGGTCGAGTCGAATGTATCGTTCATCTTGTCGGCAAGGGCGGATGATTCGCGAATCTCGTCCCCGATAGAAATTGTCATCTGGGGTATAACACGTCAGTCAACCTGCGATTAGGAAGGGCCAAAAGAAAAGAGGACGCCTTACATCCTTCAGGATCTTGACCTTCCCCATTATGCCTTCCACATGCGCATCATTTTGGCTCTCGAGCTCGTTTAGAACGGCATCGCTGTACTGGCCTCTGTGGAAGCGAACGTTAGCCGTGTCAAGGCCGTGTGTAGACTACCCCTGTCTTGACCGCCACGTCCATCTTGCCAGGGGCGCGGGTCCTGGCATCGAATCCTCTTCGCACGTACTTTTTGTTAGGTGTTGCCGACCTGAACCCGCCCGAGATCCCTAGTCCGGGAGACCCAGCTGTTCCGGCTCCTCCAGAGGCAGCATACCCATAACCGTAGCCACCTAATGTGCTAGGGCTCGAGCTCACGGGCCGCCGAGTGGTGCTATTGTCGCCGGTGTAGCCTTCGAAAAGGGCGCTGCGGGAGTCGCGCTGGTGAAGGGAGGACGTGCCGAATCTGCGGGCAGAGAGTCGCGGAGTTAGTCCAGCGGTCTGAGGGGTTCGAGACTCGAATGCGATGGGTTCCGAATGTCATTTGGCCAAACCGAGGAGATTCACGGCAGAGACACTAGGGTAGAGCGTGCGTACCTTGATGACATGCTGGTGCCCTTGATTTCTCGATCACAGGTTTCGAAATCGTCGGCCGTAGTGACGTTCACGGCGCGACAACGTTCTCGCTCTAAGAAGTTCGACTACAAGTGGCCTATGAATTGTTCATGTGCTATAAAAGGCGCATCGTCGGGTATCTTCCACTTTTATTCAATATATTTTTTAGATTTTCACCCTTTTGTCTATGGCAAGTCCAGGGGGGAGGGACCCGTGCTTCGTGTCAATTAAAACTGGTCGGGCCATGTGGCGTCACCAGACTTGGGGGGTGGATCTGCCAATGGGGGTGTCTCATTAACGTGTAGTTGTCTCGATATCACCCCTCCTGTACGAATACTCACTCCCTCCGCATACATAAGGTAACACAGGCAAGCCCTCCCTCCACGATCTTTTCTTTCTCCCCTTCCCTTTTTCCTCACTTATTTCCTCTGCAAAGACCGGAAAAAGGCCCGCTCTAAGACCATTTCCCACTTCCCGTTATAATCACCCGCTCGGGGCCTTTCTGAGGAGCGCCAGCTATATCGTGTTGAGGTTGACGAGTTCATCGATATGGCCGAAACAGCGTACTCGGTTTTCGACGAAACAAACCGATCAATCTGGCATAAAAGGGTTGGAGTCGTTAGTCTTGTTATCTTGGACATTGCGCTTCTCGTCTCCAACAAAGGCAAGGTCATTTCAAAAACATTCTAGTAGCTTGTACGTGGTTATAGTAGACGTTGTATATTCACGGAGAATGTCTGTATGAGATGGAGATCGGGAGAAGCCATAACACACGAAATGCTCACAATTATTAGTCAATGGCTGGTCACCTTTCTGATTTGCACTATCAATGTATCCGGGAGAACCCGGCAAAGCATAAGGCCCTATGCCTTTTAGCAGCAATCATGGTATCCGCAAAAGGTATTGGAGGATCATTGTTGGATTCAAGAGGCAGTCAACACTTACATCATTCATTGAAACTCCGGGTTCATCGTACATCGCGGTTCATGGCGGCTTACATTGCGGTCTTGGCTAACTACAGACAAGTCAAAATGGGGTTTCTTCGCTGCGCAAAAGCCTACCACAGCTCCTTCCGTCCCTTGATACTGAGAGTAACAGGAAAAACAGATGCGCCAGCCCGATCAACCCACATCGTCCGAGTTAAGAGCCCTGCCAACCACGTCACCGGTGCGTCTACCGTAACACGATGCCCTATTCCCTTTTGCGTCATCTCGAAACCGTCGCTCCGCCCTCGTAAGCCATGTTCTATCGGAAACAGATCCTAACGCCGGTGAGGAAACGTATCGTCGTGCGGGACAGACTGTCGCGTATAGCCGATTGACCGTCTTAATCGGTGTCCATCTTGGTATCCTTATCCTCATCGGGAGCCTTGAAGTCGTCGTCATCATCCTCGTCTTCGTCTCCTTGGGGAGGGTTCTCCTCGGCCGCCTTCGCAAAGTCGATAACGCGGCCGCGGGTGCGGCGGCCACCCTCGACAATGTTGTTGAGATCGATCTCTTCCATACCATCGTCCTCCTCCTCGAGTCCTGTGTATGCCATGTTAGTCCCGCATTGCACCACATGAATCGGCCCGCGCTCAGCTGGCGCAAGCAATAGAAACAAGCGCACCGTTGTCATTCTGTCGCGGGTTTGCAATGTTAGCCAAAGACAAAAATGCATAGGGATGCGGGGAGACAGATCGCAGGGCGAAGACGTACCTCCTCTCCCTCGTCACTGGAGCTGTCGGCATCATCCTCATCCATGGCCATGTCCTCGACTTCGGGCTCCTGGGCAACCGCCTTGCCCTTGCCCTTGTCGACAGCGGCAGTGGTCTCGTCGCCGGCGACGTTGGCGACGTTATGTTCTCCGGCCATTGCGAGTTGAGTTTGACTTGTTGAAAATAGGATACTGAATGACGAGATTTTCTTTTTCTTTGCCTCTTCTTTCCTTGGTCAGAAAGTGCAAAGTTCCGGCGGGACTGAAGATGGTGATAAGACCTCGAGATGTTACAGCGACAAGAGCTCAAGGGACGCGAGGGGCGCGGAAAGTGGGCTTTATGGGCTGGGTCGTACTGGCCCGTTTTGCGCAAAGCTTGTGAGTGGCATGCAGGTGCTGCGGTAACGGCGCTAAAGACTAAACGGTATTAGCCGGATTCTGCTCTGGTCCACAACCACGTGACTCTCCACACCTTGCATGCAGCAGCACAAGCTTCAACAAACATATCGTCTACAATGGCTTCCAAAATGGGTTTGAGAATGGCTAGCAACAGGAAGGCTAAGCGGAATAAGGAAAGCCCGCGATTCAGTCGTCAAGCAGCTAGCATGGCCAGATAGAAAAAAGCGTGCGGGTGCATAGAGAATCTGGAGAAGTCCGGAGAGGGAGATCCGGTACTTCGTACAACTGTTGTCGGATTTCTAGAGCTTCCTCGGGATTCCCGACTTGGGTCGTGCGGATGGTTCGCTCGCCTTGACCAGTCGGCGAAGAAGCTATCTACTAAACCATACCATAACCAAGGCTCTCAGGATCCGAGATCGACTATGAGAGTGGTCGAGGCGACGAGCTTTAACAAGCAAAGAACAGAGACAGAGAGGATCTGAGTTAGGAGAGAACCACTCACAATGGCATGACCTAGAGCGCAGTTCTTGCAGAAACATCACAAAGAAGGCAAGAAGCCGTAGAAACCGTTTGTGAGTGCTCTGAATGGCCCTGTCAATGTGCCTTCGTTGCGAGATGTAGGGACGCCATATCAGACAGACGGTCGGTTCGCTTCGCGGTTTTGGGTCTCTTCGGCATCCCATCACTCAACAACGCCGCAGTATTATTCGCCATATAATCCCAGGGTATAATGCAGTGTGTCATCCATGTGTCCTCAAAATTCCTATTCATACACTCTACTTCCCGTCGCCTCCGCCGCCCCCGAGGGTCAACACGGCGAGTACGGCCAGAACCCACCAATACCTGCGTCAATCCACTGTTAGCATGCTGGCCGAGAGCGAAGTGCGATTAGAACGCGAGAAAGATCACGGGACAAGGTACGCACTTCTGCAGGAACGACTTTTCCTGTTCCGGCACATGCTTCTTCCCATCCGGCGTCAACACAACCGGCTTACCCGCCTCGGGTGTCTTGCCCTTCCCAGTGACATGGACGATGGCCTGGGGACCGAAATCCCTCGTCACGCCCGCATCGATACGCACGCCTCGCGCTGCAGCCCCGAGGACCGTGCCGTCGGTATCGACGGTCAGGAGCAGATGCGGCGAGTAGCCCTTTGAGAAGGTCGATGCCGAGGTGACGGAAGTAGATGATATCCAGGTCGACTTCTTCGAGTCGTAGAGTCCGATGCGAACAAGGTTGGCGTCGAGGTCAGCGTTCGTTTCGGTTTCGGCGTCGGCCTCGAAGAGTAGGTCCGGTGCATCGTAGGACAGAACGGTGGCGGATTCGGGGGTCGTAGGGTCAAACTGCACTTCAGCTAGGCGCATAGGTTTGGGCGAGCCGCTGGCCGTAACGAGCTGATAGTACAGTTGAGCGTGGTGTGGTGAGGCCACTACGAATGTCGCGGCGACCAACGCCGCGAGAATTGCTGGGAATCTCATGATGGACGTCTCAATCTGTGCCGCCAGTTCACATCTGAGTGTTACGTTCTCCGTTCTCAGTTTCGTCACATCTCCAACAAAGGAACGGGAGCTCAATTACGCCAGAGTGGGTCCAGGCCTCGGAGAAACGGACCGGTATTAATCCGAAATTCTACGTGGTCAACGCAAGGCTGGCAGACAAGACCTATGTTTACGGATACGAGATGCCAAATGTCACATTCCGTAGCTCGACTACGCAGAAGTGTACGTCGTATGAAAAATTGCTTCCCATCTATTCTCCCCAAGTACGCCATTTCCTGCTCCCCATCCCTCGAAATTCGTAACGATTCCTCCCCGTCGTCCCCTAGAAGGGCAAATAAGGGCGTCATGCAAGCGCCGGTTCAATAAATACAAGCAAAGGAGGCGTCGCTCGCGCATATTGTGATTGATGTGATTAATTCCCTGGCCCAGGAGAACCAGATGAGGTGGCCGGGGCCGATGCCGATGAGATGCCCTTCCGATGCGATTGATCATTCTCCCATCTCCTCCATGTCATCTGATATATCCGTTGAACTTCCCTCTGTCTCTACTTCCTCACCTGCCACGAGGGGTCGCTCGGTTTCGGTTTCGGTTTCGGTTTCGGTTTCATTTTCGCTTTCCAGTACGTAACCAGGGCACCGTTCGACGAGCCCGCGGTAGTATGCCACCAAAACGTCAGGGTTGGGAACAATCTTCCACTCCACGCGGTAGAGAAACTCGAGCTCGAGCAGCTTCAGCTCGGCGACGCGTACACCGCCAACGCGGGCGTAGGTGCTGTTGTTCCAGAATGAGTCGGACAGACCCTTGGCGGCCACGGTTGCCGCTGTGATGAGGAACCGGTGCACTGTTAGGGTATTGATGGTGAATTCGGGATACAGGGCGCACATCCGGTCGATGTAGTAGACCATGGAGAGTAGGAGCGGCGGTGTTAGAGTCGCGTGTTTCGCTAGCCGGTTAAGGTATTCCAGCACAGAGATACTCGGCGCAGTTCTTCGAAGGGATTGCCGCATCAGTTAGGTGAACAACTGCGAGGCAGAAACACGACACATCCCTAAAGAAGTTGGGAGCCCGCATTGAATTCTTCCTTCTTACCTTGAATGAAACCTTGTTAGGTTGCCCGAGCGCAAGGCGAGGGCGTCGTTTGTCTCGATCAACTCGGAGAGCATGTGTGCAATCAAGATTACCATATCTTCCCTCTCGCAGAACTCATATTTTAGGGGCAAATTTTTATGTGGCCGGGGCGCCGGGCGCTGGCGTTTGGCTGAACTTGATCCTTCGGACCCAGCATACGCGGACAGATTGGGCGGTGGCGCAGGGTCATGTCCTTGCGATGCGCGCCGCTTGCCTGGCGACGGTGTGGTATTCCCAGCTCCTTGCTGCCGTATAGTCGACGCCGATGGTGAAGGTTCTAGGATGGTCGGGCGGGATTCCGGAATTGTCGGGTTTGTCGGCTGCGAGTGAGAGGTCGCGGGGGCTCCTGATGCAGAAGCCGATGCTGCTATCGTCACCTCGTCGGCTCGAGGGCCGGCAACGGTGGAAGATATGGTAGTGGTGGGTTCCATCGGGGAATACTGCGTGCCGGCATCAACAGCCACATAGCGTTTTGGTTGCGCCGGTTGTGCCTGTTTGGGCGGGGGGGTCGTCTGAGGCTGCTGGCGTGAGGGGGTTGTCGGCGAGTGCTGTAATGAAGGAGAGGTCTTGGAGAGTGAGGATGATGGGGATATAGAGCGTCGCCTTATCAAGGAGGCAGACACGCGCGATGGAGAAGGTTGTGGAGACGAGGGGACGTGAGTCGGAGCATAATGAAAGGTGGTGGGAGAAGCGTTGGTTGAACTGGCAATCCGCGGAGAAGTTAACATTGTCGCCGGCGCATTGTGGATTACTCTCGTCGCGCTCATATATACGGATAAATCGTAGATCGTCTTGATATTCACAATCCCTTGGGTCGGTGGAGGGAGTTGTATTACATTGATACAAGACAAAAATATGTCGGAAGTTGGAGGGGCAAGAAGTCGGATGCTGCGGCCGAAATTCTGTCCGCTGGAAAACCGGTATCTTCTGCCTCCTCCCTCAGCTTTTCGGGTCTCATTGTCCTACCCAGGCGCCCGATGTAAGACCGGCGAAATCCGTGGGTCTCGCACTAAAGCAGCTATCAACTGGTAGCCACCACGGTGGTGGGTTGGGGTAGATTAGTAGGAGTACACTTAAAACAGACCGCCCAATCAACGGCTTGATATTTGGCACGTTCTAACGTTGTACCTACTGCCAACGAGGCTTCCTTCAGCCACAGATAATAATTAGTTGGTACGAATTTTGGCTGGAATATTCTTGTCCCAGATAATTATTCGCAGGGTATTTGATCAAAAGAAGAGAGACTGAATCCAGAGTTTCGCGGGATAGCGAATTCCAATGAAGGAGAACGTGTTTCGAATAAAGGGTTCGAAAAAAAAAAGCAAAAAGCAATCGCTCAGCGTGGGGCTCGAACCCACGACCTTGAGATGATGCAGTTGTAAAAGTCTCACGCTCTTCCAACTAAGCTAGCCGAGCTGCTTCGGTTGTTCATCCTGCCCCAGAAGAAAGTTAATTACCTTCACAAAGAGCAGCTCTTGAATCCGCGATCCTCCTTATACCGCAGTTTGGCTGAATTATAATTAGCCGGCAGAAATGTAAAGCGTAAAGAACAATCAAGGGATAGCTGCAAGTGCAAGTTTTGAGAGGACTTGTGGCCACAGTCTGGTTCCATATCTTCGAAGCGCTCGCCAGACCTTGGGAAGTGCGAGGTCGGCTCAGAACCAGGATGCCTATCCGTCCCTACCTTACTCCGTGAAGATAGATCGAGGATAAAATAAATGGCCAGATGGTTTCATCTCCAAACTCGCCCCCCTCTCTCTCTCTCATCTTCTCTTGCTTCTACACAGATAGCCTTTGGCAATCATAATGCAGTTAATAGGTGATATGCAGCAGCGGGGCCATAGAGCTGACTTCCAAGGACTTTCGTGGTAGCATCGACGGGGATTCATCTTGGCCTCATATTTCAAACTTTTTGGAATGTTTTGCATAGAAACTGTGGCATTTTCAGGTAAGAATATGGAGGTCCCTACGAGTTTGTGCGAATGAATACGTACTCAATCCCGGTCGGACAGTGAGGTCTTGACAGTTGCCTCCGTGAGGCATCTGGGTGATACCTGCCCAGTTAGCAGTTAGGTATCGAAAGGTACCTAAAGATATGGAGTAAGGTAAGCAAGCACAGCACGTATTTGTGGGGCGATTACCTGTGACCTGCCATCCCTTTACCGTTTGTTGCCACTGGGAAAGTGAAAGAGAAGCTTAGCGAATTGGCGACTTCGTATTGAAACTTCTGGTAACCGTAAAAAACAGGAGGAAAGAAAACTCTAAACCGTATGTACCTGCCATGACTACTCCGTACATCATATTAACCTGGCTCAAACACTTCATGGTCCTTATCTCTCCCCCCCCACCATTTCTCATCACCAACCGTGTGTTTACAAAGCGTCTCAATAACAGTTACCGGCATCGACTTCATCACCACCGAATCATCGACTAATGTCTGTACGAGCCAGCAAATCGTCAACCCCCCCTTCAACTTGCCTTTAGCATAGCTCACCGAAGCTTTATTCGCTCCTCAAAGTCAACGGTCACCGCAGCCATCCGATACCTTAGGCACTCTTGCCTTTGCAAACCCCAGGTTTTTCCTCCGACACTGGCCAGGAAGACGAGATCCGAGCTTTCGTCCGCCAAACTTCCCGTCTCTGACGCGGCTGCTGCCATCTTCGCAAATCGAAAAGTGTCGGGTTCGACCCCATGGCCCAAGACTCGGAACCTCTTCTGCTCGCCTTCATTCAGAATGCGAGAACCTACTCCGAACAGACAAGCGCCCTCGTGGCCCTGAAAACTGACATAGTTGGACATGTGCAGAAGAAGAAGTCATGGGTCGGCCAAGGCGTTCTGCGGTCTCTTGTTGGCATCCTGCAAGCCAGCAGGTTACCTTCTAAGACCAACGGGAAACCCAGCAAACTCCCGACCGACAGCATATGGCTGAGCGAGGAAGAGACGGTGAGGTTAGAGGCTTTACAAGTGCTGTCCAGCTTTGCTCTTGGTACGATGACATGCCCCTCATTCCGCCTCCCTTCTTTGCTTCTTTCATTTCTTTTTCCTTCCAACCCCCCTCTGTCACCTTTCATAAGATATTGAAGCTGAATGAAACGTGCTGCAGGAGGTCGCGCCTTCGTCGAACCCATCATCGCATCTGGTGCCATAGCCGCCATACTATCCAACATTTCTCCCAGCACCAATCCTCCTTTAGTCGTCACAGCCGCTCTGAAGGCTCTCGTCAACATTTCCGACGCCGCTCTGTGGGTGACCGCATTCCCGCCGCCGGAAATACAGCAACTGGCCGAGGGCCTCTTCTCTGCGGAACACCTACACGATCTTGGGGAGATCCTGTGGCAGGCGGACGACTGGGCCGCCCCCGCTTGGCATTATCCAGTCCCTCTGGTAACCGCCTTGATCGGTCGTCTTTGTCGGGACGAAAAGAGCGCACTCGCACTGGCGGATTCCGAGGTTTTCGACCTGCTCGCGCGTGAGTTGGCGAGGTTTGTTGTGGCCCGGCGCCTGGAACACGGCTCTTTAACTTCTATGGTAAGAATGGCAAGGCAGTGCACCGGCCTCGCTAGCTTACTCCCTCCGCTCCCGAGCCAGCGCTCAAACTTGGCGTCACTCCTGGAGGCCCTGACTGCCATCATCTCGGACTCGCGTTACAGGGCGGCCAGACTAGAGTCGTCCCCGGCGATTCTGGCCGTTTTCTCTTGCCTCGTCTTCACAGGCCAGTCAGAGACCGAAGACCGCGAGAAGGATCCCGGCAAGGTGCATCCGCCGGCTCCCCGCCACCAGGGCCACGGGTTTAGGGCGCAGCAGTCGTCCTCGACCCCTCTTAGCGCAGGAAAATCTGGGGAGAACGCCCTCCATTTGTCCAGATCCGATTGTGGTGGATTTGGGCATGGTTTGCCCGTGCAAGATGCCTCGCGCCACGAATCCCCGACCCGCGGCGAAGAGCCCGCCTCTGAGATTTTCGACACGGCCATGATCCCATGGCTAGCTGTCTTGTCCAGAGAGGGGCCGAAGGTTGAGCGTCTTATGGCTGCCGGATTGACGACCACTCTATCCAAGTACGGCGGGAGCCCAGGTCGGTCCAAAACAACAACCAAACTAGAGTCGCTCGTCATACCCATCCTTGTCGATATGGCACGGGAACAGAACACGAAAGTGCGGGCTACCAAATATTCCACGGTTAGCCCTTCCGTCTCCCTCACATGGGCGAGATCAGAGCGGGTACCGGTCGTCCTACTCGTTCTATCTAGGTTAATAACAGACATGGAACGCTTGCAAGAAATTGCCTTCCAAAGTGGCGCGGCGAAGGTATTTAGTAAGCTGTTGAAGGACGCGTACGAACCCGTACCGTCGTCGGCATCTGTTCCACCCTGGTCCCCTCAGCCGGATACTGGAATGGTGGTAGAAAGCAGCTCTCCAGACTGCCAACTGGGACCGGAAGCCGAGCCGCTGCTCCTGGTGCAGAGGGTGAGGCTGCGCGAGGCTTCTCTCAAGGCCATCGCCGCTCTCGCGGCTGGAAAGGACGAGTATCGGAAAGAGTTTCTGGACCAAGATATTGTTCCCTATGTCGTGCAGTCTCTCTCCACAACCCCCGGCAAGCCCTCTGGCCCCAAGGATCGGTCCAAGAAAGACCACCCTGATGGGCCTCTCCCCAATTCGGCAACGTCAGGCTACGGGAGCAATCCGTTATCGGTCGTCATCGCGGCATGCCACGTCGTCAGGGTGCTTTCACGCTCGGTCAGCGTGCTCAGAACGGCTTTGGTGGACCACGGCGTCGAGCTGCCTCTTCTGCAGCTTATGAAGTATCCTGACGTCGACGTCCAGGTTGCCGCTACGGCTGCGGTCTGCAATCTGGTCACCGAAGTTAGTCCTGCCAAGAATGTAGGTTGCCGCCCATTTTAACTCTGTCCCCCGAAGACGAAGCGTCAAAACGCTAATCATTGTCCAGACCTTGATTTCGAAGGGCGTCATGAAGGTACTATGCGAGCATGCGCACTCTGTTACAGCGGCGCTGCGACTCAATGCCATGTGGGCCCTTAAGCACCTGGTGCATGCCGTGGGTACGGACATCAGAAAACAATGCCTCGAGGAGCTCGAGTCGGGTTGGCTAGTCCGGCTGATATGCGACGACACCGAGGACGATGCCCTGCACTTGGCCAAGTCGAATCAAGAGAGGCAGTTCCCTGGCAGCGGCAACCGAAGCGACGATCTCGACGGAGACGTCGAGATGGGGCGGGGCGATGGACCCCCGATCAACTTTTGGTACGGCAGCACGGGCATCCCTCGCGGTTATGAAGACAAGCCGGCTCCGTGGGTCTTGGAGGTCGAAGGCAGAATCATGTCCCTCCGTGAGGCGGAACTAAACCCAGAGCGGAAGGCACGGAACGACGACCTAGCGATCCAGGAGCAGGCACTGAACTTCATCCGGAACCTGATCGGGCCTTCAGGACAAGGAGGCAGCTCGGAGCTGGCCAGCGAGTCGACGGAAATGATAGATCACCTGCTCAACACCCTCGGACAGGATCGATTCTTCGGTATACTGGCGAAGAAGCTCCAAGCAAAAGTGCTCCACCCGGGCACGAGGCGGGCCGGTGCGAGCCCCGTGGAGACGAGGGTGCTTTACCCGCAACCCAAGGTCGTCGAGGCGGTCATCTACATCTTGGTGCACATTGCGGCCAGCGTACCGCGCCACCGGCAAGTGGTGATCGCGCAGGCGGACCTTCTCAAGCTACTGGGCAACCATTTCTCGAGCAAGGACAAGGACGTCCGGTTGGCGCTATGTGCTCTCATCAGTAACCTGACGTGGCAGGACGACGATAGCGACGCGAGAGCATGCGGGCTTCGTGCGCAGGAGCTCAAGAAGCTGGGGATGCTGGGCAAGCTGGAGGCATTGGAAGAGGACTCTGGTCTGGGCGTGCGCGAGAGGGCCAAGACCGCGCTCTGGCAACTGAAACAAGCCTTATTTTAAAGCAACCGAATGGGGCCGAACGGACAGAGGCGCATGAGGCTGCTGTGGCTCGTAATTGAAGCCTGCGCCCTTGGTACTATCGCCTGAGGCGGAGATTGCTGGGTGAGCCTAAATAACGAGCACGAAGACAAAACGATTGGCCAAGCACAATGGCAGAGTGGAACATGAGTCTCGAATGGAGTGTTCTTCGTGGGTCGGATTCTGGCAGGATGGTGAGCTCTCTTATTATTCTTGTTATCATTATTTGTGGGGGGTGGGGTTTTCTGTAGAGAGAAAAGAGGGAGGTTTGGGGTTCAGCCCATCCCATACCGTCGATGCATGCCAAGACCCAAGCAGCATGGGAGCATTTTTTATGATGATCGGAGTGGCAGGGACCAAGTGGGCAGAAGAGATGCAAGTTCGATACCCCGAATTGCTGGCATCGGCTCATTGGACCGGCACGTCTTACGAAGTCTCGCGGTATGATGACGACAAGAGACGAACCATGAGAACACAAAGGCAGGATAAGGTACAGCATCACTACCACACTTACATAGTAATGGTAAAGCAGAAGTAAAACATTATCCTCGAGTGACGGCGGTATGATTGCAGAGCTGAGTCGTGCCGATAACTTCATGTCCCAAGGATCTCATGGAGTTGAGCCCTAAACGGGCGTTGTTTCAGCGTCCACCCAGCAGGCCGGCATGCTTTCGAGTACATCCATCATGGAGATGAAGCTAATCCCACGGTGGTCCATTAGATGTAAGAGGATGGTTAGTACTTCGTACAGAGTATAGCATATGTCGGTGGCCTCTCGCATGAACCTACAAAAGGCTGTGGAAGATATTAATAATGGAGACTTGAGAAGAACCCAAGTCATCACAAGGGTTCAGACGGCTTGTTCGAACTGAATCGAGCAGGGCGCTGTTATAGGCCAGACAAAGGTGCAGATTATTGGAATGTGCATCGTCTTGACTTCTGTTTTACGACGTGCCTCGATGAACTCTACCTTATAAGGTAGGTAATATATGGAAGTATACATTCCTTTCCGATCGCCTCACGACAAGACTAAATGATAATTACAGTAACATGTATAACGTCATGTGACGAGTCCTCTGGAGATGCTTGGAGGCTTCCCATTCGATTACTAAGACATTGATAGACGACGTCGATAGTCGACGTTGACAGTCGACGTTGGGATGTTACCTAATACGTAGTAACTATTAACAGCGGCCCATGCTTCATGCGCTCGGCCAGTTCCGTCCGGACGTTGTTGATCTAGCCCGTGGATGATTACGGAATGGCTGGGGTATCCACAAGAGCCCCCACTTTTAAGCAGTTTTAACGGCTTTGCCACATAATCTGCTAACGTTCACGTTTTCCGGTATGACATGCGGTATATTGGGCTTGGGTGGTTGTCTGTGTGCGAAGTATACAGCACGGAAATAAAAATGTCCTACGAATATGCGTGGTGTATGATGTATCCCCTGCATCACGGCACTCGGCCTGTGCCCCACCAGCACATGACAGTTGCCAATCATCCACGGGACCAGCCTTTGGCCCGCCCAGAGTACGACTTTGATTGCAGTAGTGATGTCTTTTTGCGGAGCATTGACAGGGAATGTCTTCTCACAGCAATGAAGTCATTGCCCAAACCCAAAGTTGACGTGACGCTCGTAGAAGACAGGGAGCCGCTTTTGCATATGGAAAACTACCTAGGTTCATCTTGGTTGTTCTCTCTTTTTTTTTTTCTTTCTTCCTTGGGCAGAAAAAGTGGTATACATATAAGCCGAGCATTTATTTCGCTGATCCTTTATGGCAAATCGGATGTTGTTATTCAAATCTGATCTCGATTATCCATGGCGGGAAGATGGCATATACCTCGCTCGTTTCTTGTGTCATTGACCGGTAAGGGAAACGGCTTGCTGGGTCTAGGCCCTCATGAATCAAAGATACTCCATATCACACATCTACTCCGTACGCCAAAAATATGTAAGAAGTACTTAAAAGGTAGAAGAAAAACGAACCCAAATCCCGAGCGTTCCATGTGGCGTACTCGTAGTTGGCTCTTGCATCGCTTGGCGGTCCTGGGTGTCGTGGTGTAAGAAGTAAACATTGAATGGACGACTACCGACTACCATGCTACCGGCCGCCCACCAATCGCCCCTTCCCCTCCCCTCGTTCCGTTTTCGCCGTTTCTTGCCACTTTTCTATCGCCATCGCCGACATTCTCTCCTCTGCCTTGCGTTGTCCTCCGTCCTTTCCGGCCATCGTTCCATATTCTGCCAGGGCCCTTCCCATGGCCTTGCAGGCCGGAATAAGGTACCTACCCCCTTGGTTGAGGTCTGGTATGGGATACGGGACGGAAAATTGGCAACGGTAATCCATCACGCCCCTGACCGTTTCCCTCATCTCGGTCTGTCTACTCAGTGTTGAGCTTGGAGGACTTACCCCTTTATTGCTTGTTGGTTTTCGGTACGATGCAGCTGCAAGGGCGGGAAGGACGGGAAAAGGACTGGTTGAGCCATGTGTAAGAGAGCCAATTGGTCATCAGATGATGATGTCGACGATTTGGCTAAGAAAAGCATTTACGTATGGTGTACGAATACTTCCTACTGTTTATGGGGGTATGTGCGCTGAATGGGTAGGTACAGTAGACACCTCTGTTAGATTAGGAAGGGGCCAATGATTGTTGGAGGATCGAAGGTTACCTTACCTTGCCTAAGGTATCGTCATGATGGCGTGACGATGACTCCTTGCTTGTCTCGGTCGGTCGAGGGCATGCCCTTACGCTCTTAATTAATATTTAGAGTAAGGTAAGGTAAGCAGGGCAGGCAGTGGGGAGGTTCATTCTTGCCCTTACTTCACCACTACCCTCCATTTATATAAGAGGCGCACATCCTCATTTATGCCCCGTTAAACCTTCTTCCCGGACCACATTTTCCCTTCCAAGCAGACTGCTCTATCTTCCTCTCTCTTTGACGTTCTTTCATATATCGTCGCCACATCAACTACGCGTCAACAACTTGGTCTTCGACCTGAGCAGAGTGTGCCCCAGCAGACTAACCACACGACACCATACTCTCCACACCACCGCAACCATGGGACTCATGCTGGAGAGTCGCAACGATGCTCTGGACGTCAACGGGCCCATGCTCGGTGACCAGACTCTCACCACCAATGGCTCTAACTGGCTCTGGGCCGTCTTTTCTATTTATGCTCTCTCATTCGTAAGTATTCTCCCTCATGCCCGACGCCTTTGGGCAGTCTCTGGAGAGTCCTTTTTCCCGTTGACCTTGAAGAACTTGAGGTCTTTTGTTGCTAACACGCCCTCGTCCTGTAGCTGATTGTGATTGCCATGTCGATGCGTCCACGGGGAGGGGAGAGGATCTTCCACTACATCTTTGGCATCACCCTCTTCGCCGGCCTCATCGCGTACTTCGCCATGGCCTCGGGCATCGCGTACAGCGTCATTCCGCAAGCCAACCAACTCAACCGTGGCCTCAATCGCCAAATCTACTGGCCAAAGTACGTCTTCTGGGTCGTCGCCTTCCCTGCTATTGCTATGGCCGTGGGCCTAGTCTCGGGCGTTTCCTGGGCCACCATCTTCTACTACATCGCCCTCGCCTGGATCTGGATCCTTTCCTATCTGTTCGCAGCCTTCACCACCACCAACTACAAGTGGGGATTCTTCGTCTTCGGCACCGTTGCCATGGCCATTCTCCTTCTCCATCTCTTCTGGGATGGTCTTCGTGGATCCCGCCGCGTCGGCGTCACTCGCGACTACACTGGCATCGTCGCCTGGACTTCTCTGCTCTGGCTTCTCTACGCTCTCTGCTGGGCTCTCACGGATGGCGGTAACAGCATTGGCGTCATTGGCAGCTTCATCTGGTTTGGCATCATGGACATCCTCCTTATCCCCGTTGTCGCTTTCCTCTTCATTTTCCGCCGTTGGGACTATAGCCATCTCAACATGTACTTCACGCAGTATGGCCGCGTCCCTCGTGGAGGCGACTATCCCGAGAAAGGACATGCTGGTACCGCACCCGCTGGCAGCGTTCCTGCCGGTAATGGCCCCGCTGGCACCACTGCTCAGGGTCCCGCTACGGGTGTCGGCGCCGGCGCTCCGATGGCGGGTCCTACCGCCCCGGGCCATCACGCTGTCTAGGAGAGGGAAAAGGAGAAAACTCGCAGGGAGACAAGGGGTTCGTTGGATGTTTATTGAAGGTAATTCGACTAACAGGTCGCTGGCGTGTCGCTGTTCGACGCAGTTTCAACCGCCCCTCTAATCCAATGGAAGGTAAATCCACGAACCCCCTGACCGTCTGAATGAAATGGGTTCTCTGGGGAGGAACTTCAAAACCACGCGTTGTTGGCATCAAAATCTTAATTTTTTACCCTCTCTTGCTTCCATGGTTAGGTTAGTTTATAATTCGTTGTCGTGGACTCTCTGACCCTAGGGAAGTGGCTTTCGTGGCTTTTTTTACGTCCCCGGGTCTGGGAAAGGAGAGATAATTAGGTCTAATAAACGATTACGATATCCTGTCAAGTCAAGTATAACGTGAATCCATGAAAAATGCATCGTTGCATGTGTACTGGCTGTTGATATAGACGAGACGAGGGCAACGGGTTATGAGGGGAAGCCTGAAGAAAGCGTCCGCCTGTACGTCCGTCGTTGTCCCTGCAAGGCCAAGCTGGTTCAGTCACGTCAAAGCCCACTGCTGTTATCCAATGAACCACTCCTTGGCTGAGTGAAGCCGCCGTTGTCGGTCCCAGACAAGGAGACTCAAAACATAACAAATTCACAATCCCGCGTGCCAATATATTACGGACTGTGCTGCTTTCTCCTCAACCACACGGCTCCTCCCCTCTCCGGAGGCCAGGAGTTGCATCTTACTACGCCCCTCCGTGCCAGGTCACCAAGCTGAAGACCCCTTTGCCTGTTTTGGTTCTCTCTTACGGTTCCGTGCCAACAGCGAGTTAACAGGGTCGGCGGACAAGATTTCTGTATCATGCCTCATGAAACCGTAATCTATTGGTGAAGGAGTTGTCTACCAGCAGGTTGCTCAGCCATAATGCCGACTGTCGCTTTCCGGACCGAGCTAGGTCGGTACCGTCCGGGCCATGATTTGAGCCCCAGGCCGCATCGTCCGTTTCATAGACGGAGAGGGACGACACATTCTGTACTGAACGGGGTCTGTGGTTTCCCGTGATAGACGGGAAGTGCCAACCCGCGAGGGGGGAGTTCATCTTGGCTCGGTGAAGCGGCGGTGAAGTCAAGGCTTGCCTGTGCCGATTCTGAAGGCAAGGAATCAATCTACGCGGAACTTGACCAAGGCGGCCAAGATCCGGCAAGGCCGGCAGGTAACTTGCACGAGAAAATCCTCCTGTTGAGACGGATGTAGTTTTCTTCCCCTAAGGTAACCACCAAAGATGTACCGTACTGTCTCATATTTGCAGGACGGATAGAGGACAAATCACAAGGAAGCTGCCTGGCTCCTGAAGGTCATAGATGGAAAGTTCCGTCCCGGAAAAGGCAACTATCTGTTGCACGGCAGTTGCCTGTGGCGCCCAGGACAAAGGCAGGCAGCCGAATACAAGAGGGGAGAGGAGGACACGAAGAGTCGTCGTTGCTGACGTCGGCCGAACATGTCGGTCGCACGCCAAGCCAGGGCCATATCTACGGCCAGGACGCAGTTTGTCTCTATCCTCTATTCGTAGGGTAGACCAGGTTGCGTGCTCATGCTGATCTGACAGAGCACAGAGCACAGGGTGGAAGCGAGGAAAATGGGTGGCCGAAAAGAGCTTTTCAATGACACGTCAATGTCTGGAATTGTCAAGAGCTCATGGGCGCTGTGTAACCAGGCAATGTTTCGTGTCGTCTAAAGAGGGAGCGAAACCCGACGGGGTAGGAATCCCGAAGACGACCAACCCCCCCCCCCCCCCCCCCCCCCCCCGGTGTTGACCTGCGACACCCGATTCGCGAGCCGTCACCCTTGCGTTGGAGTGAAAAAGATGGGTGCAGTGAAGGCGGGAAGGATACCAGTCCACTGGGTGCTTGTTTCTGGGAACGCGGGTTTGGGGGCTCGCTGGATTCAGTTGTGGTGGTTGCCAGTGGCCAGCATGTTGGGTCGGCAAACTCGGGTGGGACATTGGTGTAAAATGTTGAAGGATCAGACGTGACTGGACTCGGTAATACAAATGCATAAGCAGACTTCCTTAATAAGTCGTCGGTCGCCATACTTCGAATGTCGTGTCATGGTTGAGGCCAGGAAATACGGCACGGTGAAGGCTTTTTGGGAGCGTTTCCACAAATGGAATCAACAGCGGGATGTGGTGACTTTGGATAGCCTTGTCCTCCTCCAGAAGAACTTGCTCGTGGTGTAGTTGCACGGAGGTGAATACGGAGTGCCTATTTCGTACAGGAGCTGTCATGATTGATTCACCTGTACGGACCTGTACGGATAACGGAGTACGAATACGTCCAATGCCTTTGCTGTGCACTCATTCAAGGACTACCTTATGCTTACCGATAGCTCCGGATACTCGACGGCTCCGTCGACCCGCCCGATAAATCCTGATGGTCTTAATCCGGGCGATCAAGGAGAAAACATCGGCATGTACAAGGTACAGTAATCAGATCATGGCTTCCAGGTTTGTGACCGACGCAAAAGGTTCCACTAGTTAAAGTTGTAACCCGAACGGGATGAGTCGATCGATGAATCAATGAATTAACGAGTCAATGAGTCGATGATTGATGTTACCTCCACCATGGGTGGTAAGACGATGGAATCCGATAAATGCTATGAAGTATCCGTAAAATTTTGACGAGACTGGTAGAATATAAACCCAACACGATAATTCCTCTTTTTGCCTAATTATGGCCATCGCCGAGTTTGCGCCGAGTACGGAGTACGTTGTATATCCGCATTGATTAATCATAATCATAATAGGGGGTCAACTGGTCGCTCAGCTCAGTTTGGTACCAACCACACCCTGCCTGGGCAATTTATTACTTTCGTATGAATAACGACCGTGGACGGTGTCTCTTCCTTGATCGTGAGCATGAGGTATCATTACGGAGCAATAAGACGCATTCTTCGTCTTCACGTGTACTGCACGACGCCAAGCTTGGTCACCCGCCATCCTTCATGGTTCATGTCTAGTCCACATGCTCTTGTATCCCTGAGACGCTGTGCCTTGGACGGGCTAGGCACGAACTGGCAAGGGTCGAGTGAAACATCGTTACGGCCGTGCTGGGTGGACTCGCAGAGCGAACACAGCCCGACGCCACGATTATGTGTACTTCGTAGAAGATGAAGAACGAAGTAGGTAATTACTTTGAAATGACATACAGTCTCATACTGCAAGATGGTTACTCCGTGCGTTATACGTCCGGACCTTCATCCTTCATTCTTCATCCTTGGTTCTTGGTTCTTCATTTTTCCTGCTGGCGCGCTTCCGATATCGTATACATTCGTACATATGTAGATGCGCACGATAATTTTGCACGATAGCGGGCGCTGCGTCGTTTCAACGGGATTTTATCCAAGATTCCCCGTCAAATGAACAGCGACGGACCAGCACCCGACCCGTTGTTACGGAGTGTACGGGTACGGAGTAATGACACCGTAAATATTATTTTGCATTGAGCAAATGGATGTACCGGTATGTACTCCGTTATAAGTGGTAGTCGAGCCGAACCCGGACGACCAAGTAATTTAAGGCACATGTACGGTTGGGATGTACATTGACCCCACACACACGACGGGCTTCCAGAAGAGCAAATGCTTTCAGCCAGAGATTTTCTTACTCAGACGAGAGGCATGAGTGAAGACTTCGTCGGTAGGAAGGAAAGGATCTCCCGTGTTATGAAACCCTCTTCATATTTCCATACACGGTACTCCGTCTGTACAGCGTACTCTATGTACATATTTTGTTCGAAACAGCAGCCGATTTAATTACAACGTACTGATATACTATACTGACAGAACCCAAGAGGAGGAAGCCCCCTTTGTCGTGGAATCTCGAATGCCGACACCTCCAACCAAAAGGCTCTGAAATGCCGACCCGACGCGACCCGACCTCTCCCTTAAACCCTGCAGCAAGATAAACAGTTAATCCTGATAAAATGTGCCACCTGGTGCTGGGTGGTGTGGTGCGGCGGCAACGATGTATTATTCGTACGAATAATTGTCCACTCACGCCGACATCATAGCCCTGGCCGCGCACCACCCTGCTACCCTGCTGCTACAACGTACATACGTAAGAAGCTATTCTTGCTGGGACAACGCCGACAGCGTCCTGCCTTGGTACGTATTTCTTCTTCCCTTCTGCTTTCTCTCTTTCTTTCTTTCTAACCCGCCCTCCTATCTTTCTCGGTATCGTGCTCTTACGCCTTTCTCTTCCCCTATTTCGCGCATTTCTCGCGCAGTGGTCTGCCATACCACCTCCGCCGCCATTTCGCGGTCAACCGTCGGAACAGAAGACGTTCCTCCTCGGGAAGAGTTAAAGCTGCACGCACGGTTCAGATGGCCGTTGGTCCAAAAAGAGAATCGTCTCAGGCCGGGGCAAGGTCTCATCCCAGTAGCCAAGAAACCATGAAACTTCGTCCCGTCGTGGGGGGACGAACAAGAACATAGACGAATCAGCGGCTATGATACGTGCTCTGTGACCCACCACACCAAACCAGAAGGGTAGGGTGGGGTGGGGGGAAAGCACGCAGGACTTAAGCGGGGTTAGTGAGGATCCTTTTGGGCTCCCGGCTCCCTCGCCTAGTACCCGGTAGGCCCGACTGCTACCTAATTCTGCGCGGTAGCAGTGTAAGTGCGTCCCTTGAAACGAAGTACGGTTGTACCAGAGGACGGAGTTGAGGTTAGAGGTGCGCACTTGGTATCCGTATCCGTACAGCGTACGGCGTACAGCGTACAGCGTACAGCGTACAGCGTACCGTACCTCGCGAGACATGGAAAATAGAGCCGGGAATCTGGTGGCCGGTGTTCCCCTGCTACTGGTCGGAACACTCCGTAGTGTACCGGCGTAAGTGTACCGGACTGAAGGCTAACTAGGCTAGACAGGTTAGCGGCAGTGGAGACAATCAAGGGTATGGTCCAACTAGGGCCCAGATTTGTCTCAATCCCACCAACTAGCGCAGTTCTCACGCGGCACACATCTGACCCATGTGCGCGGCTACCCCGATCTAGCTTCTAGGCTCCTGGCTGATACTGTGCGCATTTTCTTGGCGGTCCCGCACGGAGTACAATCATTCACGGGGACATCTGCAGCGAAGGCCCGCGTACCCGGGGGAGACCCAAATGACCTCAGAACCTTTCTAAGCTTTCCAGCCCCCCTTTTCTACCTACATATTATCTATTATGATCGGTGCAACCCACAGCATATAGGAAGGACGAGGGTTTTTCTATTCAACTACCGCCCTTTATCAGCGACTTTTCGTTTCGTACTGTACGAAAGTCTTGTCCACCTCAGTCCGTCCCGTGCTGGGGTCGGCTCTCCTCGCTCACTCCTTGTACTTCCACTTCTACACGTGTACTGTGTACGAAGTATGTACGGGGGTATGCTTGCTTTTGTGTCTTTGTGCACGTGTCGGTTCCCTGTCTTGCCATAAAGCGTTATGTATGAATCTGTCGCCAAGTTCTTCGAAGACGACATGCCAATTCAACATCCATCCAGTCGTCGAGTGGTCGCGACGAACACCAAAACTAAGGGTTTGGTAAAATACTCGGGGCAAATGAAAGTGTCTCTCATCCAAGTCAGTTATCAGTTGCCCAATAACGAGTTTTGCCACTCAGTCCACTTCCCCAGTCCGGGGGCTTGGGACCGCCCGCAGTTCCCAACCAGCCAACCCATAAACCAAGTCCGGACGCTTGGTTGTGACCAGTGACCACTAGGAGAAGACCATCCCCTATCCCCGGGCCAAGTTGGGAGAGTCCTACTGGCTGACGGTTGGGCTCAGAACGGTGAAGGGTGTCTTGGCATTCGCACAACTGGTATGTATGCGGTACAATGCGAGGGTACAACAGTACAAAAGTACGAATTGTGTCTGTTTCTAGGTTAAGGTAGTGTACGGTAAGGTAATTAGTGGTTGTGCGTGGGTTCTTTGTGCTGTATGTACGTTGTACGTTGTAATCTGGTGTTGTGCCCGTACCTATCGGTGTCGTGTGTCAGTCTGGGTCCTGCTTTTGGTGCAAGCTTCGTGGACCCCCAATTCTGGGTACCCTTCGTTTCGTCCCCCCCTCCATTCCCTCTCGCTGGTTCCTAGTTCCTCTTCGAATGTCTTTGCCCACCCCCCTTTCTTTCCCCCGAACCCACAGTAAAAACCCTTAGACTGTGTACACAACTGGATTATTATTAGTCCACAGTGTTATATGTACGAATACGTACCAGTGGAAGGGTACAGCACAGTGTCGCTCCCCCCTTCCCACTATCCACCGTCGTTCCACACAGATCCTCATCTCACCACGGGGAGCCCTCAATCAACTCTCTTATTCCTCTCCCTCACCTACTTTGCCCAAGTTGATCGGATCAGGACGCGGTTCAAGGTTCATTGTTCACGCTCCACGGTTGAAGGTCCAAGGTCAAGGCTCACGGTCCATTGTTCACGGTTCACGGTTCACGGTTCACGGTTCACGGTTCACGGTTCACGGTTCACGGTTCACGGTTCATGGATTCTCGAGTCGAGGTCCACAACTGACCAACATCTTCATTGTGCGAGCCGGTTCATCGCCGTCCATCTTTTCTTGCTTGTCTGGTCGACGCTCAAAAGAGCCTGGCCATTCATTTTCTACACAGGTCGGTTTCAACCTCATCCGTGGTTCAATAGGCATTTGCCCTCGTCCGAATATATTCAACTCGAGACGACATCACGTTGGTTCTGGACAAGTGTTCCCATCATTACTACTCTGTCTTTTCTTTTTGTCCATACTGTCGGGCCGGGTCCTCCCCAAGTCTCTGCAACGATCTTTGGTTCCAAGTTCTCGGGAATCCGTTCGAGTCGCTTTCCCAGCCTTTGTTCTGACACCACCCTCCGTCTGCAGGTCCTGCTGAGCTACCAACGACCAAAAATCTCTCGCATCCTTCCATCGCAACCCCGAGTTGATTAGTTGATTTCCGACGACTCCGCTTCTCTCCCCCGCCGGAATACCCTTTTGTTTTCTCCTTTTTTTTTCACTTTCTCTTGTCTATCGATGACGACGGACGCAACTCGCATTTCGGATAAGATGTCTTCTCTTGCCGCTGAGGTCAATACCTCGGACATCACACGCCAAGTTACCTCGAGGACGACCAAGAGCGGTCGTCGACTGCACTATGAGCTGACCTGCCTTCAACAACCCGAACGCGCCCGAGCCTGCGGCTCCGGTCAAAAATGTAAGCAACAGATTCCTACTTGCTGTCCGCTGTCCTCCTCGTGCCTCGTGTCCTTAAGGTCCCATGGCTGACATGACGCTTGTTTCTTTGTTCTTTACTAGCTGCCGCCGACAGACGTCCTGTCGACCCGCCGCCCGTCGTCCAGCTACGCGTGTACGAAGGGCCTACTCTGGAAGACAGCAAGGATATCACACTTGGGTACAACGCCAATTTTTTCGTCTACGTTGACCTGCAGCATGCCCGGCCCATGGCAAACGGGCGGGTTCAGACGCCTGCAGCGACCTCGCCGCCTGTTTTGACCGGTGCTCCCGTTTCGGGCATGGCCTACCTCGACCGTCCTACCGAGGCCGGATACTTCCTCTTCCCTGATTTGTCGGTTCGACACGAGGGCCGCTACGTCTTGGGGTTCAGCTTGTACGAGGAACTCAAGGACGAGGAAGACCAGGACGGCGATCCGGCTGACGATCCCACGCCGGGCTTCTACCTTCGCATGAAGCTCTTGTCTGCGCCTTTTGTCGTGTTCAGCGCCAAGAAGTTTCCCGGCCTTACCTCGAGCACCTCGCTGAGCCGTACTATTTCTGAACAGGGCTGCCGCGTCCGCATCCGCCGCGACGTCCGCATGAGGCGGCGCGACGGGAAGCCCTCGGCAGCTAACGAGTATGACAAGGACGAGGAAGCTGCGCGCAGCAGGCGCACGCAGACGCCCGACATGCGCAAGGACCAGTACCGAGGACGGTCCACGAGCAACAGCAGCGACCAGAGAACGCCCTACTCGGCGGTGCCCGAGCAGCGTCGGCCGTCCGACGTGGACTCGTTCCCTCCGCCACTGCCCCCGCCGCCTCCCCCTCCTCAGCATGGCCCTCCGCAGCACGGCCCTCCTGTTGTTCCGTCGACGGCACAGATGCGCTACGGCTCGGATGCGTCCAGCAACGGATATTCCCAGCACTACATCCAGCCCGCGGCCCAGCCGTCGCCCATCTCGCCCACCTCTGCGTACCACCCCGGGCAGCCGTCTCCGTATGCTGCTGCCGCACCGCCGCCATCAGCGTACGGATATCAGACTATGCCGGCGCCGACCCCGCACTACGTCCCCGGCTCGGTGACCCCGACGATACCGCGAGACGTCTACGACAGCCGGCCGCCGACTTCAAGCGTGCCACCCTCGCCGTCTCACGGACAGTATCCGACGAAGGAGACGGTCTACAGCAGGAGAGAGTCCGAGTACAAGGCAGAGGGCGAATACGCAAGAGGCCCCGAGACTAGGCGGGATTCGCATCTCGCTCCTGTCCAGCCGGCGCCAGGCGCTCGTGGTCCGATAACGTTGCCTCCCATCTCGGCGGTGTCGGACACGTCCAGCTACTCTCTCTCCGGCATGGCGGCACCCTCGATGTACCATTCGTCGGCGGCGCCACCACCACCACCACCGCCACCACGGGGCGATTACATCGAACCCTCGCCGGCGGTGACGGCGCCTGTTCCGGAGATGGCGGCGCGTGCAGGGTCGAAGAGGGCATACAACGAGACGTTTGCGGAGACGACGTCGTCGCTTTACGATGGGCAGCGACCACAGGACGCGCACCACCACATGCATGGGCGGCCGACGTATTATGACGCGGAAGAGCCTCCGATGTTTTACCAGAGGGCGGACGGCAAACAGGTGTTCAAGACGCCGAACCATTTTTTCAACTCATAGAAGCACACATTCTCCCTTTTTCTGTTTTATTTTGGCCCCCCGGGGGATGGGGGAGGTTGGTGCTGGCAGCCGGGCACGAGATTTTTTGGTTGCATTTCTTCTTGATGATCATGGTAGCGTGGAGGGAGGATTCGATGCTTTTTCCGAGGTTGGGGTTCATTTTGGACGTGTGGCACTCGATAGATCGGGTGTTCAATCGGTTCTTTCGATGGGATGACACAGTTGGTGTTTTCTCGGCTGTCCCTCGAGTGGTGAGAGGGGACGGTGCCCATGACGAGGTGCAAGTCGACATTTTCCCTTCTTCCTCCCCTCTTTCTTTGTTTCCTTTTGGGCTGTGTCTTGTTTTCTCTATTGTATATATCTGCTCCGGAAGATCCGGAACGCCAGGCCACCAGGGCGTCTCCTTTCATTTTTTTCCTATTTCTTTTTTCCTACTACAATCATATCTGTCTCACAGCCTACACATGGAAGATTTGTTGGAGAAATCGGCGACTTGACTGAGAGTTGGCTGGTATGTCGAAGGGACGGGAATCCGGGGGTCAAGACTGTGTGTGGACGAGAGATGAGTGAGGGGACACCTACTGGTCCGCTGGATGTCGCATACATGTTTCCATGGGAGGTGAGGATATTTCTTTTTATCTATTTCTCGCGTCTCGACTCTTGCCTTGCTTCTCTTTTTTCTTGTACTCTTGTCTGGTGTCTAGTTTTCTCAACTTATAGCAAGGGGGCCACTGTGGACCTGGGCCGGCGGTGATGCATCCGCTTTGGCTACTCCGGGGTGTTGAACGGGACGTGTGGACACAGACATGGTGTTTTCGTTTTAAAGGTTAAGCGAAGCTGGTTTTCATTGCTCTGTGTGGTGCATGGATTTCCGTAGAATGGAAAATGGAAGATGTATATGCTTTTGCTCGATGCTTTGCCGTGCCTTGGGCCTGGTAACTGTATATTGTATTGATTGTTGTGTTGATGTATGAGCAGAAAGGTGGAGATGTGGATGTATACGGAACGGATATTCCGCAGATCAATTCTGTGACTTGTCGGGACACAAGAGGTGGTGGTTCTGGATACACTCTCATTACAGCATATTCATCCCTTCGTAAGTAGACTGAGGTATTGTGGAAAATAACACCTGTGGTTCTGTTGATTGATGAGGTACCTTATAGTGCCCGCACTTTGTACATTTCACGGGTACCTTGCAGAGCCGTTGAGACGTTACCCCATATTTTAGCGCACCTATAGGTACGTACTTTGTATTCCCTGCAACTGACTTACTGTCGCGTCAATTGTCTGAAGGTAAGGTATTGGGTACCTTACATTGTACGCGTCTGGTCTGGATCGTCTGGATCGCACCCTAGCAACGATGTAAGCAGAGTGAACTTCCGTCTGTTTACTGTGACCGCCCACCACCCACACAGTCACCCCCTTCACCCCCTTCACCCCCTTCACCCCCCCATTCCTGCCCTCATTTCAAGCGAAAGCAACAGCCCCTAACAACAACAACAATAATAACAACAATAACGACTCCGCCTTGCATTCTCGTCGTCGTAAAGAAAGCGACTCTGAGCCTATAGTGCAATCGTTTTGTCCTTTCTCCCTGTGGAGGGAGATAACACAGGGATACGACTATCTATCCCACTCCCTTCTCTCTTTCTCTCTCTCTCTCCTGCTCCCACCGTATCCACCAAAAGATTATACTCGACTTTTCTTTCGCTTGTTTCTTGCCGTATTCCCCGGCGGGGCCTCGAGCACAGGTGAAAGAAACAAACAGACGAGTCTGGGCTCTCTACAGCCACCCACAGCTATGGCTCCGCCCTCTCCATCGAAACCCGGACCGCTGTCCTCCCATCCTGTGACCAGTGTCGATCCGTCAGCCTCTAGCGGCATCAGAGCTGCAAGAGACTCCCGCCCTGGAACCGACACAGGACCCCGATCTCCAGTGCTCAAGTCCCGTTCTCGCTTTCACGAGGGCTCCATGAACGACCGAACATCCTCCATTCCACCCATCAGCTTCCTCGGCCCCGAAGAAGAGGCTTTTGAGCGCCGAATGCGCCTCGACTACCCAGGCCGACCTTCCCAAAACACGTCGTACGAACGCGGGGCCTCGTCGCTGGACAGTTCGCATACTCTCTCCCCTCAACCTCAGCCTCCACATCTCGGTGGCGGCCCGAGACCGGTTAGCGCCGCCGGCCACTACGTCGGAAACAAGAAGGGATTTTGGGGTGGCTTGCGGGAGAAACTCAGCTTTTCGCGTGATAAGAGCACCGGTGGCTTGAAGCGACCCGCGAGTCTCGATGCGAAGGCCAACCCCGCTGGTGCTGCTTCTGTCTCTGTCTCTGTCTCTGCCGCTGCCGCTGCCGCTGCCGCTGCCAATACCAATGCCGCCGGACTCGCTTCTGAGATGAGAGGCGTGAGCACAATGCCGAGCAAGGAGGAAGTTGCTGCCAGCTACCAGAAGCTCATGCGAGACGGCTTTTTCAGCTCCCACGCCATCCCATCCGCTCGCCAACCCCCTCCGCCGGGCATCTCGGTGCCGTCTACTCCAACTTCCATGCATCCCCCGACCGGCGCTTCGTTTGCCGCTCGCATGGCCATTCACGACACCAATGGCAATTGGGGGTTGCCTAGGCAGTCGCCGCTCCCTCCTATTCCTTCGCCTTTACAATCGCAATCGCAATCCGGACGTGGTGACGGTTACGGTGGCGGTTACGGTGACGGCTACGGTGACGGTGATCAGATGAGCAGCCCATCCCGCGGGACCAAGCGTGGCCACGCCGACGGAGACGATGACACTTCGCTGTCATTCAAGAAACTCCGTAAATCCGCCTCCCGCATCTCTTCTGAACTCCCATTTCCCGGCCTCCGGAAGCAACGGTCTCGCCAGGCCGTACAGTCTCCGAACAATTCCCGCCCGTCCGATTCATCCGCCGCCCACGCCCACGCCCACGCCGCCGCCGTTGCAGCTATGCCCCCTCCCCCCACCCCCTTCGGCATCCAGGTCCGTCGCACGTTCAGTTCTTCTTCCGGCCGCGAAACGAACCGCCTCGCGAAGCGGCCCCAAAGTTCCGGCAGAGGACGCGCCCCGCCGTCCGGAGACCCTTCCTTGGCCGCGAGCGGCCCTGATACCCGCATGAGCATCGACTCGGGCGCCCCCTCCTTCGACAGCATAGCCACCACCGCGTCCACGTCCCGAGACGAGATGCGCGGCAGCACCGTTGGCTTCATCAACAGCAGCCACGCTGCTTTTTCCGATTCTATGCGCTGGGCCAGGCCGGCGAGGCGGAACAACAACAACAACAGCAACAACAGCAACAACCAAGGTACTACCACCGGACTGCGCGTCCGCCCCGACACCAACAGGGGGGTCCCCACGGTGCCGCGTGTCCCGGACCAGTTTAAGATGCGGTCTGGCGGCGGTGCGGAGAACCAGGTCTCCGACGTGCATCCTCCGTTCTACCAGCAACAGCAGGTTCAGGGCGAGGGTCACGGGCATGGACAGGGCTGGTGGCGTCGCTAGAAGTGAGCCGTCTTGTCTCTTGTCTCTTTTTTTCTTCTTCTTTCCCTTTCTGGCATGTGCTCGCCTCGTAGCGAGTCTCGATCGCCTCCGAGCTGGAGCTTGGGCGTTTATTTTGGTTTCCCGCCGGCTTTCTTTGGTCTTGCCATTCGCGCCCTTTTGATCCGAAAGTGGTTCATCTTCGGGGTGCTGGCTGGCTGGCTTGGCTTATGCCAACTACGCCCTGGACGAAATGATGCCATGATCACGCATATCCATGAGACAACAGAGAGAAGGGAAAACATGACTTTTCCTGTCTATTCTTGTACTCTCTCGGCTTGGGGCGTACCGGTTGCTTTCCCATGACTTGACGACTTGATGGACGTTACGGATAACAAAAGGGAATTTCAGGCACACGACAGGTGTGTTTTACGGCTCACGTTCACGTCTTTTTCTTTTCCTGTCTTGGGGCTCTCCTCATTCGCCTAGCCTCTCTTACTATCCTCTATTGTCTCACGAGATCACGACAAGATCGAGAACACGCGATGGCAGGGATTATGTTGGTTTGCTGGACGATGACCAGACAGTTTCACGCTCAGGGCCCGTCTGACTGGGTTATAGAGGATGGATGGACAGGGTAGGACAGAACAGTAGAGGGCAGGTCAAGGAGTACCGGAACTGGAAACCAGGGCTTATTATCGTTTGTCTGGACCATATGGTGGTTCTTGTTCCTTTTACCTTTCTTTCCCCTGGACCCCTGGACTTGGCCATTCTCCCAACGGAAGTGGCCCGGAATGGGGGGGGGGGGGGGGGGGCGCTGCTGGATAGACCTAGGATGCCGATGCCGTATGAGTTGCTGAAGGAAATGTGTTCCTCATTCCTCGTTGAATGTCTGCCTCTCCGTCTCTGATTTCTGCCTTGTCAAGTGTGATATCCCATCCCTTGGACGGAATGCACCGTTCCTTGGCATCAATTTAGTGAATAAAACACAGCATGCCCTCGAGATGAGCATGAATAATAATAATATTAATAATCACAGAAATAACCCGGTCCGCATTGTATCAAGTTTTGGTTGTCTCTCACCGCACTTCTTCCCGCCGCTCTATCCCGCCCACCGCTATATCAAGGGCATGATCACCACAGAAAAGTAATAACGATAAAAAAGGAGTAACAATATCCATGCTTTATGGGGGCGGCCAAGGAAGAAAATAACGAAAGAATCCTGCAAGCCCCGACAAATCTATTCTACCTTTTAATCATACCCATGCGATAGCATTCATTACGTCTGGCTAAGACGCAAAAAAAAAAAAAAAAAAAAAGGAAAAAAAAGGAAAAAAGGGGAAAAAAGAGCCATACCTGATATCGCCTTACGTGTTGCCTTCAAAACCCGCGTTGCTCCATGCCTTCTCGAATACCATTAACTGACATGAATATAGAATAGTAGACAAATGACGTTAAATGGGACAAAATTATAACCACCACGGCGACTGTTGGTGCAACCACCGCAGCTCCGGAAACAGTGGGAGAGAGAAACCGCCTCTCCCTTCCGATTTAAGGATGATAGAAATGTGATGGCAACCGAGCGAAACGCCAGCTTCCCGCCGGATTGGAAGAAGATAAATGAAAATGCGTAAAGGGGTGGTGGTAAAAGTCATGAGATTGTTCCAATGTCATGCAAAAGGGCAAATCCATCCGCTCGCTCCCTCCGTCTCACAACACCTCGACGACACCATCCGGGAAGTTCCTCACAACCGTGGGAACTTCGTTAGCAGGCAGTACAGACCGGATCATCGACCAGGCCCCCGCATAAGCCTGCGGGAAACGGATGTACAGCATAGCAGCGAGGATGCAGGTAAGCAGAGGGATCTGGAGGTGAGCAGAGCAAGTCAGCAACAAACATTCCCGGCTTGGGTGTGAATCGCAAAAAAAAAAAAAAAAATTTTTTTTGACATCCCTCTCCTTTGGGGGAACTTAGGACTTACCCAGATGAACCAGAGGTTCTTATCACTCCGCACACCCTTAAACTTCACTGCGTGCATCCTGAGGAAGTCCTGCTGCTGCTCTTTCGTGATGGCCTTCTTCCTCCCAATCCTGAGCGCCTTGGGAAGGGAAAGCTGGCTGGTTGACGACTCCCCGGCCTCCGCCTCCGCCTCCGCCTCTGCCACCGTGCCCTCGGCCGTCTCCGAGTCGTACAGCCTGGCGCATTTGTTATCGGCCTCGGCTTCGGCAGCGGCTTGCGCGGCAGAGGCCTGCTTCTTATCCACGACGTCTCGCGGGAAGATCTCCGAGTAGGCAGGAGGCGGGACCGTGCCGTCGGCGGCTTTGCTACTGCTGCTGCTGCTAATGCTAATGCTATTGAGCAGCATGGCGGATAGATCCCACCACTTAAAGTCCATCGGCCTGGAGGCGTCGTCTCCCTCTCCTGCTGAACCGGGTCGTGGTCCCAACATGCCCGGCATCAACGAAGTCATCCGCCCCATGAGAGGGTGTTGCTGCAGGTACGCGTGGTAGTCCGGAAGCATGGGCATCCTGGGGAGAGCGGGCATCTGCGGCAAGTTTGGCAGGTTGGGCATCTGCGAGAGGTTGGGGAGATGCATCGCCGCCATGCTTTGCTGGAGCTGCTGCAACTGCGCTGCGAACTGGTCCCGGACCGACGCTGCCAGCGCCGTCCTGGGCGAGCCGGGCACGGTCTGTGGCTCTGCTTCTTGCACCTCGGCGGGGCTATGCTGCCTCTCGACCGCGTTCAAGCGTCTTCCTTGCACGTCGAGCCACTCGTCCTCGTCCTCAAAGTCCCCGCTCGAGTATTCGGGACTCTCCTCACTATCCCCGGCACCATCGTCCGACTTGCCCGACATGCCGTCAGCGTCCCACAGTGACCGCAAGGAGACGGCGCTGTTCGCCCTGCTGTGCAATGAGCGCAGTGACGACCGGCTCTGAGATCGGACGTGACGCTCGCACCGCCGGATATGCTCCATGACCTCCTGTGAACGAGCCACGTCTGCTGGGAGGTCGCCGGACAGACTCCGGATCGTCGGATCGGCACCGGCTTGTATGAGCCGGCGCACAATGACCTCGTGACCGCTAATCGCGGCCATGTGCATCGGCGTATATCCGCCCCTGTCGCGCAAGTCCGGGTCGGCTCCCCGGGCCAGCAGGCCGGCCACGAATCGATGATAGCCGAGCGAGCAGCCGAGATGAAGCAATGTCTGGCCCGTGTGTGTCCTCAGGTCGAGCCGCGCCACCCTAGGGCTGTCGTCCAGGTCGATGAGCTCCAAGCATTTCATGAGTTGGGGCTCCGTGTCCAGGCCGAAGTTGTTGCCGCCAGACCCCGATCCAGAACCCGAACCGGCGGTGAAACTAGCCCATGCATCCGGGTCTGATCCTATGATTCTCTGTGCGAGGTCCCTCACGCCGAGGTACTGACCCGTCATCTTGTGGGAGATGGCACTGATCAGAAGCTTCATGGTCACGGCTTCCTCATCGTCAATGTACTCGAACATATGCGGTGGGATGTGTGTAAACGGCTGGGATTGTCCCTGCGGCTGTCTGAGGGTGACGGGGACCAGGCCCGCCATCGCTCGAGGAGGGAGCAGGCAGACGAGAGACGATTCCCCCCAGAAAGTCGTCGTAGTTGCCCGCTGATCGCCAAAATACACATCCAGCCCCTGGAAGAAATTCGCTCCCAGAATAGTCACCTCGATCCCACCCAGCTTTGGACCGCGGTTCGGGATGATCTTATGAATCGTCGGAGGCGGTCTTGGTGGAGTTGCTGCGTTTGCTCCGTTGACGCCGTTAATTCCGTTGACGCCGTGAATTCCGCCGACCCCGTTGACCCCATGGACTCCGTTGGCCGCGTGAACCCCGTTGGCGAAAAAGGGCAAGCTGGTCACCGGGCCTTGGGGAAGCGGGGCTTGTTGTGGGAGAGTGCCGGGGCTCTGCCGGATCATGCTAGGGCTAGGGGCTCGACTATGCTGGGTCGACGCCGGGGCAGAGAAGGTGTGCGCGGCCAGGCTGTCCAAGCTAACAGGGCGACCGGCGTTGTACAGCTCGGGATCCTGTCCATTAGCTGTGTTGGCGTTGCCAGGCGATGTCGGGCCGACAGATAACGCTCGGGAGCCGCCTGGCGTCCCTGTCCCTGTCGGTGAGTTCTGCCCAAAGAAACCGTCGGCGGGAGGCAGAGTGAGACCAGTGGAGAACGGAGACATCGCAGCCGAAGCACTGACGACCGTTTGGGCGGCGGCCGCCGCCGCGGGTGGGTGCGCACCATCAGCCGCCGCCGATGTGTCTAACCGAGTCATCGTCATCTCCATGGGCAGTCTACACCCGCTCGCCTTGCGCTTCTTCGAGGCCGGTCCCGGGGCGGACGAGGGAGATGCCGGACGAGAGCACGCTGCGGTCTGAGGGGTGGTCGGCGCAGGAGAACCCTTGGCTGGGGTAGTCGAGGTGGATACATGCCCTGGCGAAGGAGCCTGATGGAGCGAAGGAGGCGGCGGAGGGGCAACGGTGGTGTTGGCGGAGAGAGAAGAAGACGAAGAAGAAGAAGAAGAAGAAGTGTTGTCAGCAGGAGGACTCGTCGTGGGCATGGAGGTCTCCGGAGCGGGCGCCGGCAGCATATGCAACGCTGGATGTGTCTTGTGGTCGTCGGTGATCATGATGGACGGGGACACGGCCTGGGCGACGACGCGGTCGTGCCAATCTTTGATGGTGAAGATGACCTGGAAGCCCATCTTCTCGGACTGGTGCCGGCAGTAGCAGGCGATTCGCATGGGCGCATCAACTTGCAAGGCCCCGGCACGACCCGCACCTGTGCAAGGTTGCCAATCCTTGATTTCTTTGGTGTTGAAGACGATCACCCTCCTGTTCTCGTCTTTCTTCCACATTTCTTCCTCTTCGAGTTTCTTGATCTTCTTCCTGCCAGCCCGCTTACGCTCGCGCATAATGCACCCTTTGCAGATGCGGACCTCACCGCCGTTTGCCGTCTTGTTCTCCTCCATGTCCACGTCGGCAGGTGGTCCTTGGATCGGAGGGTGAGAAGCCTCAGCAGCCCTCTGGAGCGCTCGGCGCTTGTTGTTCTCGTTTTGCATGGCGGTAGTACAAACCAGCTGGACGTAGAGCTCCAGGGTGTCTGGGGACCGCTCGGCCGGGGGCTTGGCGAGGAGCTTGGGCTTCGAAATGGTATGAGTGGGGAGATGCAACCGTTTGATGGTGGGCGGGGCGCCCAAGAGAGTCATCTTAATCGGGATTTGCGTCTCGACGCGGGACTTGGGGGGGGTCTCGTGGATAAACAGCTGGCCCTGGAATGAGAAATTGCTGTACGGCGGCTGGCCGAAGAAAGCCGCATGGTGCATCATGTGAGAGAAGTAGGGGGGGATCATGGCGTAACCGTGGTTGATATCGGGCATATCGACGGCTGACGGCCAGAAAGCGCCGGGTTTTATGGGCGCAGCCATGCCTTGTTGTTGTTGTTGTTGTACGTCGGCGACGTTAGTTGGAGAGGGCGAGTTGTTGAAGAAGGTTGAGAACGGCGCTGGATGGTGGGGTAGAGGTTGTGAGAAGGGAGATGTTTCGCGCGAGGCCGACATATGGAAGGCGTTCATGGTTTGAGGGAATTGCTAATAATTGTGGGAAACTTGCGTGAGCAGACGACGGCACAGGGGGCCGGAAAGACAAGGTGGGAATCTATCGACTCACATGTGAATGTCTACTACGCGCTAGATCTTCGACCCTGCTCGGGGTCATGTTCGCCTGGATGGCATCGGAGGAGGCGTTCGGCGGTGACAGCGCGTGAGAGGGAGGCGGGATATGGTTGATGGCCTGAGGGCTGCTAGAAGCACTCTCGAAATCAAAGGATTCGTTCATAAAGGAATCATCGGTGATCTGCCTGTGATCTGCGTCGCCTCCGCAAAGTACGCCAGGGGCGGCGGACGTTAAAGACGACGACATGTCAGCAGAGCCGAAGAGAAAAGTGGCATTGCAGCCGGAGGGCTGGAAGTCGGGAGAGTCGTCCGAAATGTCCCACTCCTGGTTCGTGGTGTCTGGGCCATCCGCCATGGTAACGTCGCCGGCACTGAAGGTGGTTTTTTCGGAGGACGAACTTCCCGTTCGCTTAGAGAAACAAGAATCGGAGGAGGAATCGCGGAACGAATCGTCATGAGCCGAGTCGGGGGATTCCGCAGCCCGATTGTCCGTCGGGGTGGCCTTGGGGGGGTATTGGGAGGAGACCTTTGGAGGAATCGAGTTGAATGACTCCAAATCCTGGTCGTTGGATAAACCAAAATCGAGGCCAAGAGTGGTATGGAGAGGATCTCTGGTTCTAGTTCTAGTTCTGGCCGGAGAGGCGGCTGCAGAAAGGACATTGGCGTTGTCGTAGTCGAAGAATTCGCTGAATTCGCCGGTGGCGGTCATGTCTGTGCCAGCGATCAGAGAGCTGGCACCGACGCCGGCACCAGCATCTGTCATGGCCAGACGGCAGATTTCCTTTGCTTTGCTTTTCTTGTTCTTTCCGATTTAAAAAAAAAATATCGATTACGGTGGCTTTTTCGACCAATTGCTCGCTTCAAAGACGGGGGGGGTGGTGGTTGTTGATGTTGGTGTCGGGGCCACGGGGCACGGGACACGGGACACGGAGGATGCTGGAGGAGGGAGGTTTTAGGCCCCGATAGGGAAAGTTGAAAGTCGTGGGAATGTTGACGACGACTGGACGAAACACAGTGCAAAACAAGGTCGATGATAGAGAAGTGCTTGTGCATATACACTGTGTGAGTGGGGATGGGAGAACCAATCACCTTGGTCCAAAGATCAAAGGGATGGGTTCACACCGACAGTGACAAAGTACGAAGTACCTGGAAGTAGCAAGTCTGGATAGGCCGAAATTCAGAGACAGGCACGATGGAATCGAATCGTGTACGTTGTATCCTCAAAAGTACCCAGTACGGAGTACCGACGCGCAATCGACTGGAATGGGGTTCTCGACTCGCAAGCCAGGCGGTAATTAAAGACCTCAGAGTTCACTTGGTTGAACTCCTTGTTCGATGACTTTTTGCTTTTGGACGCGAGTGGTCAAGAACGGCAAGCCTAGATGTTAGTCAAGGGGTAATTAATTGCCAAGTAATTTGCTTGGATCTGATCGGTGACACAATCATCATAGATGAGACGGGGAACGGGCGAGAATAATGATAAGGGATTAATTATAAGGAACAGTGTTAGACTTCAGACCAACGCGCTAATTCCGGGTCTGTCATATTCTTATAGACTTGGAGACTTATTGTGAACTAGGTACCAAGCGTACGAAGTACCAGTCGCAAAGCATATAATGTCTTGCATCTGCCGACATCTACACGCAAACGTCGAGTCGCTCATTCGTTCCTCGTAAATGATAGAAGGGCCAGACCGCAACGCAACATGGATATCTGACGCAACCCTGCTGGCGGAGCTCTTTGACTTTCCGATGGCTCTTACCTCTTTGATTCGAAAACGGGAGATGCTCGGTTCATCCGCTTCGGACAATAACTTGCGACGAGCAAAAGTCAGAGCGTATAGGGGCGAGACGACGCGGGCGATGGTGGTAAATTAGAAAGCCACCGAGTACGTAGATAATCACTTTGACGCTTTTGGAAGAGGCAGGACTCCTAGAATCAATCGGCTTTCTCTGGAATGCACACGATACCTACATACGCGACTGTGGCTGGGCAACTCATCCTAAGGTACGGGCTGTAATTACTGTACATATGTATCCTGTAAGTCGTCGTTACTCGTTTTTGTTAATTGGTTCGAAGAATGCACGGAAATAAGCTACCGAGTAAAAAAGGAAGACGAGTTGACGCCGCACGGGCCAGAACGGGTAATCGTGGATCCTTCGAAGGCGGCGGGCCGCTTCGAATATTCAAATCGAAAAAAAAAAGAAAAAAAAACCCCCCATTCGATGTTTCCAAACTTCGTACTCCCTTCACCAGCCAACTCCCGAGGGGTCGGGGTCTTTTGTCCGACCTCACTCGTTGCCCTTGGCTGCTATGAGAATCTCCCACTGTATGGATTCTACCCGTCTATCCTTTCGTACACCATTACCCAGCCCCTAAGAATTCAGCATCCTCAGGATTCATCGCGACACGCTGCCGGCTACCTACAGTACGGAGTCCATTTTTTTCCCGCCGTCGATGGCAGCCACCGACTTTTCTTCTCTTTTCCATGGCTGCCTCTCATTCTTTGTGGGAAATGCTTCAGCGCGATCTGCAAGCAATACAATCCTGTCCTCCAAACATATGTCATAGAGAGTCTGAGAATCGTGCTGACCATGAATTGCGCTAACCCCATTCCTCCAAGTTCCCCGGGCGTCGTCGTCACTGGACCCAGACGGTCGTATATACGTGGTGGACATCCAAACTCTACTCCGCAAGGCGAGTGAAGACAAGCCGAAACATTGGCCGATATGGGGTCCTGCCCGTGCCCCTTTTCCGGAGCTACGAAGACTGCCCACTGCCCTACCCTGGTTGGTTGCGTTGGTTACCTTATTAGCGGCTCTACTAGCTAGCCCTCGGTCCCATGCCTCGACGCCCCGGGAATTCCCTGCAGTCTTTGCCGGCTCATGGTTTTTGCCCTAGTTTCCGCATAATACTCGGAGGAACCGCGAATCCCTGTGCTCGATTCGTCCATTGTAGCTTTCTTGGTGGGTTTTGAGTCCGTCGTCTCTTTCTCCTGCCACATCGTGCCCCTCGTTGCTCCTTCCTGGGAAGTGAATTCGACCCCTGGCCAGCGTATTCTGGCGAGTCATCGAAGAGGATATTGTAGTATTCTGGTACTTGTAGACGCTGCTGGCTGAACTCGCTCTTCAATACATGGTATCCGGGGACCATTGCATCCTAGAACCATTTCCATCCCTCATCCCATGCCAGTGATTCCATTCCCTGCCTACTTTACGAGTACGGTCGTCCCGAACTGCCTCAGGCACGTGAGAGTAGAGTGATACGACAAAAAGAAAGCAGGCGGCCGAACATACGGCCATGTCCCAGGAAACGATGCTAATGCAAACCTTTGCCAGAGTCTCCTTTCGGAACCCCCCTCGCCGCGGCCCCCGTACAATCACCCTCGCGTCCCTTATCCAGGCAACTGCGCTCCCGCCACGGCGAGACGATCCGCCGCGACATTTCCGGGGTTTTCGGAATGACCCTTGACCCATGTAAAGACGGTCTTGGAACCCTCCTCTTCCCGCGCCTCGATGCGCTCGCGCACAGCCTGCACGAGATCTTTATTCTTAACCGGCTCCCCGGTGGAGGTATGCCAGTCCTTCTTCACCCAGGCCTTGTACCACACCGTCACACAGTTGATGGAGTACTGGCTGTCCGTGAAGATTTGAACGTTCTCGCTCTCGGGCGAAATCTCGAGGGCCCGTAGAATGGCTGTGAGCTCGGCCCGCTGGTTCGTCTGAGGCTCGCCTAGGAGCCGCTCCGAGACGTTCCTGGGGAGTTAAAAGTCAGCAACTCTTTTTTTTTTCCTCGTCACACATGCCGATACCCCACAAGAGAAGAGAAATGATATCAATGGCTCTGTGGCGTTGACGCCAAACATCCTGGAGAAGGTCCATGGTGCACGTACCTTGGATCGTCCGTTCCGAAGAATACGCCAACGCCAGCCGCAGCCCCACGCCGGCCATTGGACAGGCTACTGCCATCTGTGTATATCGCCATCATGTCGCCGTTCACCGCGGTGGCGTCCGTCTGAACCGTCGTCTTCCTCGTGGTAGCCGCGCCACTCCCACCTTGTCCCTTGACCTTGGCGATGGTCTCCGCGTCGCCATACTCCTCGATGAACTCTACCGCCTCCCGCATCGTCTCGAATTTCTTGTACTTGGGACCCTTAACCCCACTTATCGCCGGCCTCGCCGTCTCCCAATCCAAGAATATCCCCGTGAAGGCGCCCCGCGCGACGGCGTAGAATTTCGGTGGCGGCGGGTTTCCATTGCTCGAGCTCGCGATGGTCGGGTTCTTGCCGGCCACGAAAGCTTCGGCGTCATCTCTGGAGAGGAAGGACTTGTCTGTGAACAGTTTTCGGGAAAAGAAAACACACCAAGCTTGTTAACGGGGGGGGGGAGAACTAGGGAATAATCGTTTTCACCAACTACAATGGCTGGTCGGTTGCGTCTTACACGTCGCGCCGGGGAACCCCGTGGTCTGTTTCTGGCATTCAAGCCACGTCAGGTAGACGCCCGGTCGTAGACCCGTCCGCACGGCGTAGTATTTCTGCAGGTCCTTGTCTGTCTTTCGCTTCTTGGAGCCTGGCGCGTCGCTGCCGCCGGACCTCTTCCTTGCGTCGGGCATGGTGCTGATGGCGTCGAGAGTTCGTGATAAGAACGGAAACGAGAACGGATTGTTCGGTTTTGCTGTTGTCTGATAGAAGCGGACGATGGAGACGCCCGCCGCCAGCGTGCGAGAGGATCCCACTTTAATAGGCCGACAAGCTGTCGGTCCCGTTTTCTTGTGATGTCTATGTCTCGGTACCACAAGCAAAGCGACGGGGCAGGAAGCCACCAGAAGAGAGTCGACAGGGGTAAAAGTCAAAGCCGTCTCATCTTTGAGGATAACTCTCGTTCAAATCCTAAAGAAAAGGTCCCAAAAGAAAGCAACAAGGGAAAGGGGTTTGATGTTCGAAACAAGACCAGCCGATGTAGTTACGTCTTTGCGCACGCCGTTTCGAGTGTACGGACAGACGGTTGACAAAGGAGAAGAGGAATATTATTGGGGGTGGGTTGTGAGGATGTAGCGGCGGATAAGATAAGGGATGTGGATGGGGGCGATGGTTTTCCCCGCAAGGTCAAGGTGTCCAGGTATCGTTATTCTGCCGGTACCTCCGATGGACAGTATTACTTCGTATAATCTAGTGGGTGGCGATGTACTCGTACCAATGGAGTACCTAGCTAGGTACGGTACACTCCTGACACCCTTATCCTCCCCCTTCTCTCTGTCATGTGAACAAAACCTGGAAGAAATGCTGCGCAATTCTTGCAAACACAGCTGGCTATCATCTCTACCTTATCGTCAACGTTTCAGGGTGGATGTAAGGTCTTTCTTCTTCCCAGTCTCTCACATATCCTCCCATAGGTAGTGCGTCGGTCATAATAAACAACACCAACCATCACCCAAGTACGGCATGATGTCAGACGATGTAGGGCTCGGGGAATGATCCGAGTCTTGGCCCGCGCTCCAGGACGGACAAGGCGAAAGGGAAAGAAGAACGATGAAAAAAAGGAGAAGAAAAATGACAGCATCTAATATGGTACAGATGTTTTGGTGGCACCTGTTCGCCAACCGAGCCATCCTTGAGTCTCCGTCGGCAAACCTCCCAGAAGCGTTTCGTTTTGAAGGGGCATCTCGTCTTGTGCATGACCACTATGTCTCTTGTATACAGGCTTCCATGACCTTTTCCCCATCTTGTTTGTAGTGTCGAGGTACGATGCAGAGCGTTATGCGTGGGCCATATGTGCAACGGGCGGCAGATGCTTGATCTTATCACGAGCTTCCCACTCCCACGCGAGTAGGCTCCAGTTCAGCTCCCGCCTCCAGAAGAGGCCAAGCCCATTTCCTCCACCGTACTCTGCGAGCTCCGGTTTATTCTCTCCTCGCTGTTCCGAAGCTATGCCGCCAGTCAGCGGCATGCGGTGGCAGAAGACGATCTTCGCCATACGGGAGTGGAGAATGGCCATGGAACATTGAACGCATGGCTCGTGTGTGGTATAGAGTTCTAAGCCGTGGCATAGATAGCCCTCCGAGTTGGGGTGTTCGCCGTTGAAGAGCATACGCTCTTCCTCCACGAGGGGCTTGTCCTCGAAGCAATCAAATTCCAGCGTTGGCTGCACGAACGGGAGGCCGGCTTTTGTCCTTTCGTGCCTAACTAGCTTTTGCGCCACCATGCTGATGGCACGAAGGACGCAATGAGCCATCGGATTGCCGGTTCCTAACCGATTGGGTTGCTGGTGCCAGCGTGCGTCCCCGGCAATGGCAACGAGCTCCGATTTCCCGTTTTCGCGCTGAACTATAACGCAGCCCATCGGCTCCCCCATGCCAGCTGCGTGGACTGAGTGGGCGACACGGTGGGCCAGGGACATCCAGAGTCCGGTCTCATCCTTCATAACTTCCGACGCGCGACCCACCAGGGCCGGATGAGGGCCCAGGGGGTTGTTCTTCCGATAGACACATGGCCAAAACTGCGAGGTCCACATGGCGGCTTGGATTTGCGATGTTGGCGGGATCAGCGGAACCGGAATGCTTCTGAGGAAGACATTGTTGCCTAGGCCCTCGACCTCTGATAATAACTGCAGAATCTCATCTCGGCCGCACTCGGATTCCTGGCAGAGGAGAATGTAAAGCCATACTGACTTGCCGGTGTGCACTTGTCTGCTCTCGGCTGTCTCGTTCATGAACTGAGCTTTAAGGTGGACCGGAAGGTCGCCCGGTTTCGCACAGCGCCGTAAATGGGGGAGGCTGTTAGTCTCTTGAACCCGCGTACGGAGCATGCTAGACGCGTGTCAACGATCACCGAACGGACGCTGATAGCGAACCAAAAGCGGATGGGGGGAAAGTAGGCCAGATCGTGGACCAACTAAACTAAACGTACGTGATGATGTCGTTTGCCGCTTTGGTAGGCGCTCGCGTGATATAAGCCCGAACGACGGTGTGGTCTTGCCGGATCTCAAGGGTCGTCTTGAGCGGAACCAGAACACCGCCCCCAAGCTGCTTGGGCAGGTCATCGATAAGGGCGTGCGGCTGGACGACATCGGGGCCTGTGGGCTCGGGGAGTTTTTCTGAGGACGCTTCTGAGGCAGCCCCGAAGTTATTCGACATCATCTCGGCCGGATTCCTATGCCACGGCAATGATAATTGAGGCGATTCTTAAATTTGCCACTGCGGCCCGGGTTGTGCGAAGAGTTGTGCGAAGTCCAACGGTGGATCGGTTGACAAAGCCTACCTAGGGAAGTAGGAAGACGAGGGTAGAATAGAGTGGATGGATGTCGGGTAACGTCAATGCCAGCGAAGGTGACAAGGACTAGAAGGATTTCCAAGGATCATGCGAGTGCCGCACGGCAAGTGCCTCGATGATTTTTGGGAGGGCACTACTGGGGGGCACGAGGTCCCTGGGTACCTCACACTCGTACTCGAGTTTAAGGTAGGGGCTATGAGGAAAGGGAGGCAGTCGAGGTTGGGAAAGGAAGGAGACGTTGCGCCTGCCTGGACTTCACCATCGGAGGTAAAAACCGTAGTGAGGTCTGTGAAATTTCGAAGGGAAACGGGTTCTGTCGACCCCGCCGTCTCGCCGACTCCAGTGTCACCTCTTGTGCGGTTGGCCTTGTCGATTGTGAGGTAAAGACGTATCCGGAGGATATCGTCTAGGTACCTAGTAAGGTAATGACGAGAAAACCCCCCCGCCCCTCGATGGGTAGCTCAACGATAGATCAAGGACAGACCAAGGATATGTTCACAGTTACTGCCCGGCAAGACTCGCGTGAAAACGCTTCACAACTAGCCAGGGGGGCAAAGTAGAATAGTCAGCCGCCACTTCTTCATCATTGGAGGCTAGGTAGGGAGCCTACCTGGTAAGTGGCACTTAAGTTTGTTTTTTGTTTTCCTAGCAGTTAGGCTTCATAGGCAAGCAGGCATGACATGTACTGTTGAGATCGGATGTGCTTTCGTGTCCGAGGGAGCTACCGGCTTGACAAGATCGCTGAATTGTACAGTTTTATGAACTGGTAACGTATTTCGTGGTCAAGGCAGGCGTTTCAGATTATATGTACTGCCTTTGTAGCAGATATCAACTTGTCCATGCGATCGTGCTGCTCAGTTCGATGAAAAGAGTCGGAAAAATAAAAAATAAAAAAGAATTATACGAAATAATCCATACAAAACAATGTGGGTCTTGGCTTATGTAATACGAGTGTATGTAAGAACGTACTTCGTATCGCCAGGTGACGTCGCTTCAGATGCGAAAAACAGCACGACATGTCCTGGCCAGCGCGATGTTGGTCTGCGCCCTCAGTGACTCGATAGAAGTGGTATTCGTCTAGGCACACGAACTCTGCGCTCTCGCTTAGATCCACCTCTAACGGCGTTGTTGTGAGACATGGGCAGGTTCTCATTGAATGTTTCGGACATTGGCCCAGTATTCTTCGCGTCCCACGCATTGCGGGATCTTGGAATCGTCTGCGGCTCCCGCGGCTACGCAACCCACATGTGATGGATATCCCCGCAAACAGACTTCGTAGCTGCAGCGAAAGTGAAAGCGGCGAAGATCTGATGGGTCTCTTGAAGCTGGGAACTGATGAAAGGTCAGGGCCAATCCTCGAAAACTCCCTTGCCTAGGAGGTCACGGGTTGGGAGATCTTTGCAGAATGGCAGTTTTCTCGAGAGCTGAACCAGTGGGGTTGATCGGGCTTGTTTTATGGTCCAGTCAACACCGCGGCGACTGGCCAACCCAAGGGAACATCTCGAAGGGTGTAGTCCAGCAGCTCACAGGCATATCACGAAGCAATCTCACGTAAAGAATGCAATGACCCCTTGTCGGCTTTAATCCACAGTTCATTGTGAAGTGCCGACCAGAAGCCTACTGCAACACTAAACACCGTATTCCCGCGTTAGCTTACGTCCTTGCATACCAACCAGGCCGTCCACATATGTATGATCTCCACTGAAGATGGACCATTTCGGGACGGAGGGGCTGCATCTAGCATATGGCATCTGGGTACGTATCTATTCCCGAAGCATCAAATATGCACTAAAATGGGTTTCAGAAGCCAATGGACTGGCGGAGTTGTTTGTAGATTGTCTCCCCGAAGATTCGTCGGGGGTGACTATTGAGGTAGCTACGTACCTTAGGTGACGTATTAAGTGATGGGTTCGCATTCTGCAAGGGACCTGCGGTGCGTTTACGGAGCAGATGCGGAGCAGCGGGCTGCTGCATGCATAATAAACTACGAACAGCTGCTTCTACTCAACTCGCGATACGGAACATGACACTAAGAAGGAGGACCCATTTAGGTAGGTAGTAGGTCTCCCCTCTCAATATGGGAAACGTGGGGGCCCCATCGCAAACCGTTATTTCACCAGGTGTGTCTTCCCCTCTCCTCCCCACTGTCTCCTCCGATCCTAACCTTGTTTGCATGCGTATAGCGTGGGAGGCGGGATGTCATCCGAAACTCGGACGCAGACCAACTGACTGAGGTACGTCGTACAGTGTACGTTGTATGAAAGGTGCACCCCCTTTTTTGATTGGGGGTGAGGGGGGTTTCCTCACTTTTTTAATCAAGCGAGTTCTCTGACCCCTTTTGACCCTGAACCACTCCCCAGGAAGACCCGATAGGAAAGGAACTCAGTACAAAACACAAGACAGAAGACAGATTAGAATTACTGCTATCCTGGCGGAGGTAAAATGGTGTGGTGGCCCCGATGATTCTCGGGAACAAAAAAAAAAGAAACAAGAAAGAAGAACGAAGAACGAGTGAGAGAGAGAAACGAAAAGACGGTCGGTGCGATGCAACGAAAATTGTAAAGCCCCCAAACCTCCCACGAAGAGGGTGGGTGAGGATCGCTCTCACCGAGAGGGCCAGATGTCGGGGTGGCTTTTTGGCTAAAGGATGCCCATTCCTCGGAGGTTTCCCGAAGATCCGGCTTAAGAACAACGTCCTTGTGAGAATGTCCTAGTGTAACAGGCGCAACTGAAAGCCCCCTCTAAGCTTACGGCTTCTCAAAGATTCCCAATAATAATCAAGGCGTTTCCGAATTCAAGTCTTATGGGCGGACGAGAGCCTCCGCTTCCTCCTGCGCACGCCTCCGCATTCTCTGTCACAGGGAAATGTCCATGATTTCGGGGGAGGCGGGGGCGAAGGAGAGAACGGGAACGAGTTGACTGGATGGTGGAAAATACCTCACCAAATTTGTCGGCTACAGCGCGACAGGTTCCCAGGCATGGAGACGCGGACGTGAAGACGGGAGGCAGTGGAGAGACCAAGAGGCGCGACGGTGTGGGATGTGGAAACGCTAAAGGTACGAAGTACTCTGCTATTGCAAAAACCAATAAATATTATTAGTGACCGCGAGATAAAGCGAGGGGAGGAAGCCGTCTCTTTAGTTTTAGTCGTTAGTCAGTCTTCTAAGTCGGCCCCAGTGGGTGGGCTGCTCGTATGTAAGTGAAGAAAGTACCCCCGTATTGCTGCAGCCGCGGTGCAGTGTGTGGGAGGGGAATAGGACCCTTATGAATACAATATACGGATACTTCGTGCTCAAAGCAAGGAATAGGAGCATCCCGCACAACCACGGGCTTGGGGACAGGGTAATCGGGGCGGAAACAATCCAGGCATAAATACCCCACGGGCTTTTGTTGGCTTGCCACGCACACCAACGAGTGAGTTGTACCTTAAGGTAGGGTAAAGTGCGTGGCCTACAGCCTAAGGTTACTTTGTGCAAAGTACGGATACAAGACTCCCCGGGGTTACAGGGTTATTGGCCTGTCGCTAAGGCCGGTAACGGCACCGAACGAAGGACGCCGAAACACTGGCCTGCCCCCGCTGTACCCCAGGCCCCCTGCCCTACTATGTATGTATTACCAGCCAGTAATTAAGGTAGATGACACAGGAAGCCCTATTGATACCAAGGTTGTCATCACGGACCACACACCATGATTGTCAACTGGGGAAAGACACGGCGGTTGCAGTATGGTGATGCAAGAGTTGGGTGGAACAAACCTGCGGTGGTCGTTAATTATGCGCAAGCCAAAGCCGCCTGACAAAGACGTGGGAAGTTTCCATTTGGGGTGGCTTTGCCTGAGGCTGCCTCCCTCTCCCACTTTCAAGCCCATCTATTAAATCTGGACCATTCCCATCCTCTCAAATCATATACGCGCCTTCTAAGGGACTCAATTTTTTTTCTCGCCTCCCCTACGGAGTAGTCCACGTGTCTACTATTACTACGACATTGTATCTTGCCTCACCGAAAAGACTTGACCACGATTACTTCAAAATAGGTAGGCACTCGGTATACGCCTTGCCTAAGCCCACGACTTACTGGTGAATTAAGGGTAGCCTTACAGAACCTTACGTCGTTGAATCAGTCAACATCAACAGAATCTATAAATACTCTATATTATACTCCAGTACGGATATCCATCCATTCATCGAAACTTCACCTTCCGGTTTATTTGCCTTGACTCGACCGACCCGAAGCATCCGCAAAGCCCCTCAATCACCTAAGGTATCACCAACTATTAATCGTCCATCGATAATCACCAATCATCAACCATTAGTCATCGATCCTCGATTCTCTAAATCTCAGCATTTCCGAATCATCATATCACGTCCCCCTACCATTTAGCCTCCCTCAACAAGAAACAACGCACACGTCCGCTTCAAAAGCACGGAGCCGATCATTCCTACCCTGCACGCCAAGAAGCAGACTCGCCAAGAAGCCGACTAGGTAGACAGAGTCAAGACACCCCTGTCCGGTCGACCCTGGTCGACATTTCCCCCCTTCCTCCTTTTGTCACCTTTCCAACTGGGATCACCCATTTTCTCCCACCACATCTGGAGTCGTGCCGAAGCACCGGCATCACCTGCAAGCTCCCCCAACTGTGTGCTCACTCATTGGTTGGGACCTGTCCATCCGCCGAAGCTCCGTCCAAGTGCCCCGTAACAAGTCCACACCAGAAACAGCCAGAAGGCGTCGCCGAACGCGCGGTGAGCGGCGCTGCACGGAGTACCGTCATTCGTACGAAGCACAACATATTTACGTTGTGTACTTCGTAATAATTCCGGCCCTTTCAGCCTTTCAGAAAAGGTGGTCATCACCAATCTTCGTTTGTCGTATCAACCAACTTCTTCCTCTTGGGTTGTGACTCAAAAGAATTCAAGTGTTCCCCATAATAGTAGCTATCTGCTTGGGCCCTGAATTCTCGTGTTCATCTACCACAAGGTAGAAGTTAAAAGACGCCACACCAATTACTTTTATTTTTCATACCTTCCCCCAAATTCAAAAAGCTACAAGTCAATCAATGCCTTCAAGAGTGTCTCTTGAAGATTCCGCAGGTTCGTTCCCTCCTTATTAACGAGTACTCCTTCCTTGCTGTGCTCCCCAACACAACCAACCTTCCCACCCCTTCCTTTCTTGGCCCGTCGTCATTAATTTGTGTTCTCTTTTCTTTTCCCTTTTTTCTTTCAACTTCTTCCTTCCACCCTCTCCTCTTCCCTTAACATCATCACAATTCACACGTTTTCTTACTGTGTTACTACATGGACCACGCGCAATTAACAAATCTTTCACACCCAGAGTTTGGTCGCAATCAAACGAAGCAATCAGCTCTGGCGAAGTTCGCCATGAGCCATTGCATGCAGCCTGGTTCCTCGCCACCGTTTCCCCCGTCAGCATCATCGTCGCCAGACACGAAGCCTAATAATGAAGATGGAGACAATGGTCTATTGGCGGCATCTTATGCTCCGACTCATGGCCTGCTCCCACCCCCAGCCTTGCCATCCGTGACGCAATTCACAGTGTCACAGATTACTGCAGCCTCTCTAAATGAGCTAAATGCTTCTCTTAATTCGCACCGACCTGGGCAGGCAGACACTTCCGATACGCCGCCAAACCTGCGGAGTGTTGTCTCTACTGCGCCAAACTCTCCGAGAATGTATGTTATCCCAAAAGTTTTTCTTTTTTCTTTTTTTCTTCTTCCCCTTACTGTTCTCCTGCTCTCCTGTCCCATCGAAGACCTGACGTCTAACGCCCTACCTCTCCCCAGTTACCCAAAAAGACAGAATTCGGCCGGTACGACACCGCGAGTTCGAGCCCATGCGACGTCTCTTAATGTACCGGGCATGACCCGGTCGCGAGCCTCCCCGGATGGTAGGATCCCGGATCGCGACGTTGCCGCCAAGATGGTCATCATCATGGTCGGTCTCCCAGCCCGAGGCAAATCATATATTACCAAGAAGCTTCAGCGCTATCTGTCCTGGATGCAGCACAATTCGCGCATCTTCAACGTCGGGAACAGGCGGCGCATTGCTGCAGGAGTTTTGCCATCCAATCCCACGGCGTCCCATGCCTCCGTCAACAACATGGACCCCCCTTCGGCCGCTGCTTCGATCCTGCTAAATGGCCGCCCCGCCGCGCAGGCCGCCGAGCCCACTTCCCTGGACCTCAATGACGGCAAGGAGCCGAAAGAAGCGGCTATGGATCAGTCCGCCCAGTTTTTCGACCCGAACAACGAACAGGCATCCAAACTCCGGGAGCAGGTTGCCCTGGAGACCTTGGACGAGCTTCTCGATTACCTCCTGCTGGGGAAGGGTTCCGTGGGCATCCTCGACGCGACCAACAGTACCATCCATAGGCGCCAGCTCCTAGTTGATCGTGTGAGAGCAAGGGATGAGCGGCTTGGTATCCTCTTCATCGAGAGCATCTGCCGCGATAAGAACGTACGTCGCTCCGTGACTGGCACAATGACCTCCCCCAGAACTAGTTCTCCTGTCTCCCCAAACGTCCCCAAGCTGACCAGGTCGATCCAGCTCCTCGAGGCAAACATGAGACTCAAGCTTTCCGGGCCTGATTACAAGGATAAGGACCCTGTACAGTCCCTGGCGGATTTCAAGAAGAGAGTCGCAGCTTATGAGAGCGCCTATGAGCCCCTTGGCGAATATGAGGAGGCTCACGACATACCTTACATCCAGGTACGAAGAATCTCGTCGTCACTGTTGTCGCCGTTGTCCCGGGTCAGAAGCGCTGCGTGGTCATTGCGTTTTGCTAACATGCCAATAGTTGATCGATGTCGGAAGGAAAGTGATCCAGCACCGACTGCGCGGGTTCTTGAGCGGAGGCATCAGCTCGTATCTCACGACGTTTAACCTCGCACCGAGGCAGATCTGGCTCACGCGTCACGGGCAGAGCGTCGACAACCGTCTTGGGAAACTCGGGGGCGACTCGGACCTGACGCAACAAGGACGGCAGTACGGTCAGGTGCTGTACAAGTTCATCACGCAGAAGCGCAAGGAGTGGCTCATCGAACAGAAGGACAAGGTCGCGCAGTCCTCGTTCCCGCCCCAGCCTGGCGATCACACGCCGCCGTACCCCGAATTGTTCCAGGAACTGGACGAGAAGAATTTCTGCGTGTGGACTTCGATGCTGAAACGGAGCGTGCAGACGGCAGATGCGTTCGAGGAGGACGACGAGAACTACGACGTGAAGAACTGGGAGATGCTCAACGAGCTGAATGCGGGCTTGTTCGAGGGTATGACGTACGAGCAGATCGCCCGCGACTACCCCAGCGAATACGAGAAGCGGACCAAGGACAAGCTCCACTACGTATATCCCGGGGTAGGCGGCGAAGGGTACCTGCAAGTGATCGCGCGCCTGCGCGACATGGTCCGCGAGATCGAGCGTCTCACGGATCACATCCTCATCATCGGGCACCGGTCGGTGTGCCGGGTCCTCATGGCGTACTTTATGGATCTTCAGAGGGAAGACATTGCGGACCTCGACGTGCCGCTAGGCATGCTGTACGCGATCGAGCCCAAGCCATACGGCTATGATTTCCACGCGTACCGATACAACGAGGAGCGGCAGACTTTTGACGAGTTGCCCAACTACAAGCCCCGGAGAACCGTTGACCGGAGTGCTTGAGAGAGCACACGTGTTGGCGATTTTCCTTCACTTCTCTTCCTGCTACTTTCGGGCTTGTTCTTTCTTTTTGTTTTTATTTCCTTTTATCTTTTTCTCCTCCCCTTCCACGGTACTGTAGTATATATGCTTCTTGGCGTTGGGGAAAGACCAGACACACGACTACTACCTGTCAGCGCCCTCATGAAGACCTCTTGGCATTAGGCAATTTTGGGATTTGGAGGCACACAGCATACCCAGGTTGACATTACAGGGAGCTATGGGTTAGGGTAGGGGATACGGAGTAGGGTATACGGTTTCGGAGGGCCGGCTGGCGTTTTGTGGTCGCATAGCGGCGTTCTCTTTTTCTCTTTCAGCCAGTGGCACTGATGACGGAATGGGATGAGACGAAAGATCAAGGCGATCAATATGACAGGCGTATCTCATTTGGGTTCAGGTCTAGGTACTTTTTCTTCTTGTACCATGGGAGGCATCACGAGAGAGTCTTTACTACCGGTAGTATGCTCGAGAAACACTACGGCAGCGACAGTTGATTACTTTGATTACTTACAGTCATACAATGTGTCTCAGTACTAAGGTCCTTGCACCTAGGTTGTTATTAGCACACCTGTCATAATCTAACTAAATGTTCGATTAACATGGCATATCTAGTAGTTGTCTAAGTTATTGTGATTGCATCTCGGTATCCCTCTTTGTTGTAGGCATTGTTTGTTGTTGGTACGTCTGTAGTCTGTACGGAATACATTGCGCTCCGTAGAAGGGCGGCTGACTAAGGTAGGCAAGAGGCGGATGAAGTAAGGTACCTACCTAAGGTACCTAAGATACGTTCCCCGGTAGGAAAAGAGTGGAGACCTTTCAGAAGAAAAAAACAGTGACGGCAAGTACAGTGGTACTTCGCACCAAGCACAGGCAGCTGCTCTGTTTGTAGACGCGTTGCCGTTGTCGCACCTGGCGATCTTTCTATTCGTAGCTCTGTACCTCGTACTAATTCTCCATATCTCCATGTCTCCATGTCTCCACATCCTGGAGCTTCATACAAAATTTCCCTTCTACTCTCAACTTCCAAATCCCCAAACGCCTTGACGCCGCACCACTTCGTTTCCACCATTTTACTCGCTCGCTTTCGGTCTTCGGTTTTCTTACGTCTCTGAAATCGTCCTCAATCCATGTCCTAACCGATCTATCGCGACCATGTCCCTCTTCGGAAACACAGGAGGCAACACGGGTGGAGGCCTGTTTGGCGGCGGGCAGCAGAATCAAAATCAAGCCCAGCAGACTGGCACAACGCAGAGCACGGGAGGCTTGTTTGGTGGACTCAACCTGGGCAAACCCCAGACTTCTACTGCGGGTACCGGCGCCAACACAGGTGGCCTCTTTGGCGGACAACAACAACAACAACAACCACAACAACAACAGACGCAACAAACAGCGGCCAAACCGAGCCTCTTCGGCAGCCTCAACACTGGCAACACCCAGCAGCAGTCGCAGCAACCCACGACCGGTGGTGGTCTTTTCGGTGGACAACAGAATCAGAACCAAAACCAGGGCTTTGGGGCGTCAACCCAGCAGTCTACCGCGGGAGTAGGAGGCGGTCTCTTTGGAAAGCCTGCCGCGACAGCCACACAACCTCAGCAGGGCGCTTCTCTCTTCGGCGGCGCGCCATCAGCTGCCCAGCAACAGAACATGCCCTCTCTGTTCGGTACCTCGACGGCTCAGCCGCAGACGACGACCAATGCCCCCGGCGTCAGCCTCTTCGGCGGTGCGTCCTTTGCAAACCAGCAACCCCAGGGCCAGGGCCAGGGTCAGGCCCAGACACAGACACAGACACTGAACAACCACTCCCAACAACAGGCAGCCCAGCCGTCGAGTGCCTACTTTGACAGCCTCTTTGCAAAGAGCAAGAAACATGGCCAAGGAGACGGGTCCCTGGAAGAGCTGCCCAGCTTGCAGCTAGGCCTGGGCGACCTCCGCCAGCGGCTCAAGACCCTTGGCTCTAGACCCCACGAGAAGCGGCTCGACGGCCGGGCTCACTACCTGCTTGCCGCCTCCGGTGTCGATCCCACCACGGCTGCCAAGGACCTCGGCTCCCTGGACATGCAGAGGGGCAGGGTCGAGAGATCGGCTGGCTACTCACCGAGCGAGATCGACGTCGAGACCTATCTGGCCAACCTACAATCCAAGACTACCATGAGCATGATCGCCGATGGACTCGAGCGGTCGGCCCGCGAGTTCGACGGCTTCCTGGAGGACAACGTCACCATGGAGTGGGACGCCCAGAGGAAGCGCATCTACGAGCACTTCGGCATCAGGCCCCGCGACCGTCCCGTCGGCTCCAACTCGGTCAGGGACTCTCATCAAGGCGGTTTCGGTCGTTCTCGCCGGAGCAGAGGCAGTCAGGCCGGGCCGCGTCCGGGCAGGCAGAGCGTGCTCGGCAAGTCCAACCTCCAACGGTCCGTCATTGGTACCCCCAGCAGGATTGGTATTCATCAGTCAGAGTTCGCCGACGTCGAGAGACCCACCGACTCCGACGGCCCCTTGCACGGCCGCATCGGCCCCGACGACAGGGTCCTCCGGGAGAAGCAGGGCAAACTCGCCGACAAGGTTCGCAACCTCAACGCCTCTCGTCTCGCTCGCCAACCGTATCCCATCCTGTCCGAGCTCGCCGACGTAGAGAAGAAGTCCCACGAGCCACACGCGCCCCATATCGTGGAAGCCTACTACGCCCTCCGGCAGATCGTCGGAGAGGATCCCGAAGCCGACACCACCGTCAACCAAGCCACCGCCAAGGAGCGACAGTTTGTGCAGATGTACATGGACGAGTCGCCCAACTCGCCTAATGCCGTGGCTATGCGCAAGAAGATTCTCGGCGGCGCCAACGCTTTCTTGGAGAAGAAGTTCTTGCGAGACCTCGAGGGCCTCATCTCCAAGTATCCTCACGAGGCCAACCTCGGCGGTCGTCCGGACATCGTCAGCAAGGTCAAGGCCTACATCCGTCTGAGGTCGGCCCGCAAGGATCTCGTCCCCGACAACACTGAACTGCAGCAGGCCAAGGGCGAGTACGTCTGGGCCATCGTCTTCTACCTGCTCCGCTCCGGCCATGTCAGCGAGGCCGCTCAGTTTGTCAACGATAACGCGAGCATCTTCCGCAGCATCGACCGGACCTTCCAGGGCTACCTGAACAACTACGCGGCGAGCGAGGACAGGCGACTGAAGAGGAGCCTCCAGGAACGCTGCAACGCCGAGTTCATCCAGCGCGTGCGCAACGCGCCCGAAAACTCCATCGACCCTTTCCGGATGGCCTGCTACAAGATCATCGGGCGGTGCGACCTCAACAACCGGAATCTGGACGGCCTGAACACCGACATCAGCGACTGGATCTGGCTGCAGTTCAACCTGGCGCGGGAGGGCGACCGTTCCCTCGAGGTGGCCAGCGAGGCCTACGGGTTGTCGGAGCTGCAGGCCGGCATCAAGGAGATCGGCAACAAGCACTTCCCCAAGGTTGCCACCGCCACGTCGGACGACAACAGCAGCGGAAGCTTCGGCATGTTCTTCTACCTCCAAGTCCTCTCGGGCATGTTCGAGGAGGCCGCCGCCTACCTGTACCCTTTCTCCTACGTCGACGCGGTGCATTTCGCCATCGGCCTCGAGTACTACGGCCTCCTCCGCCCCTCCGACCCTCTGACGGCCATGGACGACCTGCGGAGTCTGAATTCGCGGGGCTTGGTGCAGATCAACTTTGGTCGCATGCTGGGGTTCTACACCCGGGACTTCAGGGCCGCCGACGTGGTTTCCGCCGTGGACTACCTGACCCTCATCTGCCTCAACATGGACCTGCCAGGCGAGGGCGGCCGCCGCCACGCCAACCTGTGCTGGGAAGCCCTGCGCGAACTCGTGCTGGAGACCAGGGAGTTCAGCAAGCTGATCGGCGACATCCGGCCCGACGGGCAGCGGATACGCGGCATCATCGAGGAACGCGGCCCCCTCATCGGGCTGAGCGAGGAGGACGATTTCGTCAACACGGTCACCATGCAGGCGGCCCACTTCGCCGAGGAGAACGGCCGCACCACGGACGCCGTGCTCCTTTACCACCTCGCTGGCGAGTACGACACGGTCGTGTCCATCGTCAGCCGCGCCCTCAGCGAGGCCATCTCCTTGGACATCGGCCAGGATCCCCTCAAGCTCATGCCCGTCAAGCCGCGGGCCGAAGGCCAGGGGGCGGCGGATCTCGGTAGCAGCCTCAGCCTGGCGTCCATCGATGACCCGGTGCAGTTGGCCAAGACTATGATGTCCATGTATGAGCGCGATGCCATGTTCCATCGCATGATCCAGGACCAGAACCAGGTTGCGTGCCGAGTGCTGCTTGAGATGAGTACCATCAAGTCTTTGGTGGAGGAGAAGCAGTGGGCTCAGTGTCTTGATGTGAGTTTTTTTCTTCTTCTTTTTCTCTTCTTTTTTTATTGTTCTGTTTGGAACATTCCCATTGAAATCCCCCCGCCCCCCCCATCTTCCTCGACTGACGTGCCGTCCCTCTCTTTCCCTCTAGAAAATCCGCAACCTCGAGATCTTGCCCCTGGAAGCCAACGGCGACCCGGCCATCATCCGCGCCTACGCCACCAAATTCCCCGGCCTTTCCCACCCGGTCTCCATCAACGTGCCCAACCTCCTCCTCTGGACCATCGTCGCCTGCACGCGCCAGCGCGAACAGCTCGCCGCCAGCGCCTTCTCTGGCAACGAGGGCACCCGCCGCCTCATTATCGAGCAGCTCAAGCAGATGGTCCTCGATCTCACCACCTACACCTCGCAGCTGCGGTACCGGTTCCCTCCCTCGCTACATGAGGCGCTGGCTAGGGCTTCGGCTGAGTAGCGAGGAGAAAGCGGAGGCGGAGTGGACACGATCAATTCTTCGGAAGCTTCCCTTTGACACCCTACGATATGGGGGTGAGTGGTTCACAGAACTGGATACATGGCTCTTTGGAAGGGGATGTGTGTATGATCTAGTATGGACTGGACAGTGAAGCTTTAGAAAGGAGACGGTGCCTTATGTTATGGCTTCTTCCCCAGTGGTTAATAGAGATGCGTCTCCCTGGGAGGTCTTGACGGGGAGATGTCCTGTTTAGGCTTGTATCTTTGCGTGTCTAGCTAGGGTAGACTTGACGGTCAGAGAGGTAATATCGCTCTTGTATGAGTTGAATATGAACAAATGGCATGACGATTTGCAGTTGCCATGGCCTTTCCGTCTCAAAAAAGGGGTTCATTTCTGCTAGTTGAAAATAACTAGACGAGTAAAAACAACGCATGAATCTGCTTATCCACAGTGGTTAATTCACCTGGACGTCTTGCGAACCAGTCTGACATCTCCTCCCCGATAACACGGATCCATACAGACATACAGCATGATGAGTCTGTCTCTCCATCCATTATCCTAGACCCGTAAAACGCCACAAGTCGAGACCGGGTCTTGCAATGCCAACGAACTAGAGGGGAGAACGACGACAAGGGAACGACCGAAAAACAACCCTGCCAGGGTAAATGAAAACCAAATCCCAAACTTCCAAAGCTAGCATCTTGCGTTGTGACTGATTCTCTCCGCCTGGCCCTTCAACGGCCCCTCGGCCTCCCACGGCCCCTGCCCCTTGGCCTACCTCTACCCCGGCCTCCTCCCCGGCCGGTACCCCTCGTGGCATGCGTCGCGCCCCGTCCATCGCGAGAAATCGTGGCGGGGATCTCGTCATCACTACTTCCGCTATCGTAATCGGAGCCGAGCTCACTTGCTGCCTCGGCAGGTGGTGTCTCCGATGCCGCCTCGTCCTCAAACTCTGACCCGGAGTGCGAGCCCAGGCGTACAATGGTCGGGCCGTTCTTGGCAGGTCGTGGCGAACGTTCTCTTTCCTGTTCATCTTCCTCCTCTGCGTTTTCATACTCTCCGCCGCCGTGGTGTGGCGACCGGCGAACCGCTGCCCCCTCCGACATGGGCGAACCAGGCGCGACGTTGTCCTCCGTGGCCGACTTGCGTCTCCTGCTTTCGTTGGTCTCTGAAGCAACGGGGCTGTTAGGCTCTTCGCTACGCGGCGCTGGCTCGGGGCTTTCGCGTCCCGGTGCGGCGGTGGGCGACTCCTCCTCCACCTCCTCCTCCACGGCAGCCGCTGCAGGACCTGGAGACGTTGGGTCCTCGGAACGGCGAGTTCGGGGCGTCGACTCGGGCCGTGTGGAACCTGGACCGGGGGAAGCCGTCTCCCCGCCTTGAGAAGAGCGAGCGTTCCGCGAACGGATTTTGAGTTTCTTGCCCTTCGCTGCCAAGCGTTCCGCCAGAGACATGCGTTTGATATCGGTTTCCGTAGTGGGAGCGGCGGCCGTACGGTTCTTCGGCGGGCGACCACGACGCCTGGGCACCGGCGTGACATCCGTATCAGCCGGCCTCCCCATCTCCGTTTCGCCACCGCGAGCAAGGTCCTTCTCTAGTTCGGCCTCGAGCTCGGCAGCCGCTTCATCCGTGTCATCCTCCCCTTCGCCGTCTTCCGCCGAGTCGCCGGCCGTCTCGACAGTGGCCAACCCGGACCTTCGGCTGGCTCGTGCCGCGCGCTGCCGGGCAGCGAAATCGGCCGGGGACACGCCCGCCGACTTCTCGGCACTTCTTGTCATGGGCGTTGCTGAGGAGGAGGAGGAGGACACCTGGCGCGGCGGTCTACCGCGCCTCTTAGGGCGATCCGGCGTCGCCGCGGCCCCGGCATCGCCCGTTTCCATACGCGCCCGAGCAGCCGCTGAAGCCCTGTCCAACGCGCCTCCACGGGCCGCAGTCGCAGGTCCGTCAGTTGCATGCTGTGGTTTCCGCGGACGGCCTGCACTCCAGGCCGGCAATACATCCTCAATCTCGTCGAGTAGAGGCTCCGCGTCCTCTGCATAGGAGATTCTTGGCCTGGTAGGTCGCAGCTCAGGGACATGTACTTCCACCTCAGTAGTCGCCTCTTGTGCTGGCTGTGCGTGCGGCGCTGCTTCCGACTCCCCGACGTTCCCCGTCAGATCCGCAGTCGAGTTGTCCCCACCCGAGGGTCCTGCAGCGCCGAGGAGAGCTGGATCAACAGCTGTCGAATCAAGCGTATCCTTCTTCTTCTTCTTGTGAGGCCTGGGCGCGTAGAAATCGGGGTCGTCTTCGCCTTCCTGCCTGGCTTTTCGTTTCTGAGCGCGGAGAGCTTTCTTGACCACCTCGGCCTCTTCATCAAAGGCGATGGCATCGGCTGACGGCATCTGGAAGGGGTCGAACAAAATCTGATCGGGACCAGCGTCTTGCTCGTAGTATCCCATACCCAGCATGCGCTGGCCGCCCATCATCATGGGATCCGGGTAGGAGGAATCGTCGCCCACACCGTGGCCTGGGAAGGGACCAGCAGAAGGATCCACGTGGTGTGGAAGATAGCCGAGCTCCTGGTGCGAGCCCGGTGCGCGGTCATCTCCATTCTCGTCATGGTAGGTCTCGTGCATGGACGGACCGGCCAAAATGTGACTCTGATCTCCGTATCCGTTCACGTCGTTGCGAGCGTCCACGGCGCCGCCGCCGTTGGTAACGTTCTCGATGGCTTCCTTCGCGCCCGTGACGTCCTGAGCCTTCGCGACGTCGGCCTGCTCTCTGAGCTGCCGCATCCGCCGGCTATCGGTCGTACGACTCTCGTCTCCCATGGCCTTCAGCCAGTTCAGGTTGTGCACCCTGAAGTCTACGAGGAGTTCGACGCTCCGGTCATCGGCGATAGCCTTCGTGTCGTGGCCGAGGAGGGTGTTCTTGGGCATGTAAGGGTTGCCGAGAGAGGCCCGTCGGCAAGCGCCGCAGTTGCAGATTCCGAGACACCTGGGGCATTGCCAGTTCTCGTTCTCGAGGACGGTCTGGGGCATCATGTCAAAAGCTCGGTACAAGACACCATAACAGTAGGCTTCGCGACAGCCGGGGGTGGTGCACTCATGAACCCTGTAGGTGTAGTCTTTATGGCAGCAGACGTGGCAGCGGCGCGTGTCGCCCTTCTTCGCTTTGCGTTTGTACTTCTTCTTGGGCCTGCCCTCGTCGTCGACTTCTGGCTCGGGTTCGGATTCAGAAGGCGCCTTCTCTTCGTCGGGCTTGTTGAGGTCCTTGAACGGGCGCCGGCGCAAAGCCTCCTGGCAAATCTGAGCCGTGGATTTCTTCCCGCGTCGCGCCCGGGCGACCTCGAGCGGTGGCGGCGAATAGTCCAGGTCCACAAACCCGTCGTTCTTGATCACCATGGACCTCCAAGCTTCGTAATTGTCGACCAGTTCCGACCAAGGAAACTGCTCGCACCATGTGAGGTGAGACTGGCACATGCAGGACCGGCCCATGGCGTAGCATTCCATGCACACATCGTACGCGTCCTCGTCGCCGTTGACCAGAGTCCTGACACAGTTCTTGCAGGTCAAGAACCGGTTGAAGATGTTAGATCTGCAGTACGAGCAGACGACGCACGAGTCGTATTCGATAAACTCGACGTTCTTTTCCTTGGTGGCGAACATCTCATCCGTCATGATCTCGGTGAAGAGAGCAAACAGGCTCCGAAAGTCGCGTGCGAGTTGCTTAAACCGAGGCGACGAACGAAAGAGATCTCGGCCGAACCCCTCGAACCCGAGGAGGGACATTTCGTTTTTCTCTTCACACTCTCGGAGAAGCTGGTAATACTTTTTCAACGTGAAGTAGACGATGGCCTTGTTTTTGTACTGCTCATCACGGCAGACAAGCCTGGCCTTTGGGAGCGCTTCGTGTAGCGCGAGCTCGAGCGTCTCAACGGTGGTTCGGTTCCAGGCGACCTTCATGGTCCGGGTACCTCTGTTCCAAACCTGGTGAGGTGCCAGAGGGGGGATGAGGATGAAGTCGCCCGGCCTCTGCTCGACGATGTAGACGGGGAATGGCGCCTTCTTCCACGCGTTGATCTGGGCAAAATGCTTCTCAATCTCGACGTCGTGACCCAGCATGGAGAGGAAATATTCTCTGACGACTTCACGATCTTTGGTCTCGGTCATGAACCAGATGGAGCTGCCTTCCTTCTCGCCGTTCTCTTTACCCGATGCTTCAACCATGATATTCTGCCCCAGGCTGGCACACATCTCTCGATGGGCCGGGGTGAAGGTGCCTTCGTGGCCGATGTAGCACATGAGATTCTGCGCGCGCATTTCTTCGGGAAGACTCGACATGAGATCACCAGCAGAGGTGGCTGTGGACTCGAAACCGCCCCCGAAGATTTCCGTCTGTCGCTCGTCGCCGCCTCCTCTTTGAGTTACGTTTTCGTTCATGTAGAAGAGACTGGGGGGGATGATCTTGCGGAGGTAGTCGTGCCATTCAGCGGGGCAGTCAATGTCCTTCAGGTAGAGTCGTTGACGGCGCTCGTCGCGGTAGTTACTTGGGGACCACTGGTTGGTCAGTTGCTTCATGGACCGCAGGTAGTGGCCGGTCGTCATGGGAATGTCATATTGACCCATGACATCGCGAACGTTCTCCTCTGCGAGTATACTAGGTGGTTAGCACGAATAAAGGGAAATGACAGGCGCAAAGGGGGTGCAACGAACGCTTTTTATCGAGGTTCTGCTCTAGCCACTGTGCGCTGAAGAGCGATGGCGGGAGGACCTCGTCCCAGCCTTCAATGACGAGGGGCTTGCCGCCTTGGATGACATGGAGGAGGACAAGTTTCTCGAATTCCTCGGGTCCTAGGTTCCGAATCTGATGGATGGATATGCGAAGGACCCATTCAAAGTTGGCGCATCGGTCCACCAGTCCATAGAGATCAAGGTCCGGAGGAATCGGGTCGAACTTGGCCTGTGGATGCAATGAGGCCCGCATCTTGACGTGAAGATGCAGATCAATTCGTTGTTGCGCGAGATGATCAACACTTTGCTTTAGGCCAGGCGAAGAAGCCTGGGTTTCAATAAAAAAAAGTTCAGTTCAGATGGATGATTGAGGGTGAACGTGATGTGATGGTGATGGTGATTTGTGCGGCCAAAGTGGCGGGGGTGTTGAACGTGTGGAATGATGGTTTTTAGTAGGAAGGTAAGAAAAAATAGAGAGCGACGCGACTGCCAAGTACGAGAGTAGAGACATGTCATTTATTATTATTAAAGGCTTCGGACAAAGTCAATACAAAAAGCAGGTACAGGTACGCACACAGGGTGCACGGTCCATGTTAGCCATGAAGCTTGGGAGGTGGGGGTAGCTCGCCTCTTCACTTTACACGTATTTATCATCATTCTCACGTGATATATCCACAAGCAATCATGGCTCTGAAAGGATAGTTGCTTGCCCAAACAGCCCCATGCAACATTTCATACTAAAATCTGCCTTCAGTTATACGAAAGAGCATGATTGTTGATACAGATGCAAGCTTGGCTTATCTTGTTTTGATCCTGATGAGATGTTGTGTACCAAATATGTACGGTTACTCTGGATGTCGCGATATCTGGCTGATGACTAAGGAGACATCCGAGCGTCACGGAGTAATACCCCGTGCTCGGAACTACGAACTGGCTCCCTTCTGAAGAAAGTTCATATTGATCTACAGATGGGACAGCAACTTGATGTGTGCTTGACTACTGGAAGTCCCAGGCTTGATATGACCAGGTGAGTTGTATTCTCTTTTAGAACTGAGGCAGCAAAAATCACGGGAAACTCGACTTTTTTTCTTTTTCTTTTTCTTTTTCTTTTTTTTTGTCAAAAAAAAAACAGCAGTTCTGTCCAATCATCATGAGTCTCGAGCTCTTGAGATTTCAGAACCGACACCGTTCCTCTGCGACAAGTAGAGACTAAAGCATCAATAGGACCATTCGATGAGGGCGCCCAGGCTCATGAAGGGCCCCTCGTGGGCGGGTTGCCTTGCGCGAACCAGCAAGGCTTCGTCAATGGCACCCGGGTTGAGACCGGTCTTCTCACTCGCATCTTCACATGTCGCACCCAAGACGGCGCGGGTACCAGCTTCTCACCGCTGTCTCGACGTTGCCCTGACACATTCCCTCGCAAGGCGTGTATCAACAGCTGCCTCTCCGGAAACACCGAGTCCTCTCCCAACCCAGCCGCTCTACTCGCCTCCCACGTCGGGGATCCTGTCTCTCCTTCCAAAGTCATGGGTCCCCTATGCCGAGCTCATTCGCATCGACAAGCCCACCGGCACCTACTACCTCTTCTTCCCCTGTCTGTTCTCGACGCTTCTAGCCGCCCCAATGGCAACGCCAATGGCTACCCCGGGGTCGGTCATCGGAACGACCGCCCTCTTTTTCGCCGGCGCCCTCATCATGCGAGGCGCTGGCTGCACCATCAACGACCTCTGGGACCGCAACCTGGACCCTCACGTGGCCAGGACCAAGTTCCGGCCCATCGCCCGCGGTGCCATCACCCCCTTCAACGGCCTGGTTTACACCGGTGCTCAGCTGCTCGCCGGGCTTGGCATCCTCCTCCAGTTCCCGACCTCATGCCTCTTCTACGGCATCCCGAGTCTGCTTTTCGTTGCCAGTTACCCCCTGGCCAAACGAGTCACCTACTACCCCCAGTTCGTCCTCGGGCTGACTTTCTCCTGGGGCGCCATCATGGGATTCCCCGCCCTGGGCCTGGACCTCCTTTCCAACTCGGCCGCCCTGACGGCCGCCGCTTGCCTGTACACTTCGAATATCGCCTGGACCGTCTTGTATGACATGATCTACGCACACATGGACATCAAGGACGATGCCAAGGCCGGCATCAAGAGCATTGCCCTCAAACACAATGCCGACACGAAGAAGGTCCTGACCGGCCTCGCTGCCGTCCAGATTGGCCTCCTCGGTGCTGCTGGTGTCGCCGCCGGAGCAGGGCCGGCCTTCTTCGTGGGGAGCTGCGGTGGCGCCTTGGTGACGCTCGGGGTCATGATCAAGCGCGTCAACCTCAAGAGCGTCAAGGACTGCTGGTGGTGGTTCGTCAACGGCTGCTGGCTGACGGGTGGCGCCATCAGTTTGGGCCTAGCGGTCGATTATGCTGTACGATATAGCCAGGAGGGCAAGACGGAGGAATCGGAGCCAACTGCTTAGGTAGAAGGGGGCCCTGTGTATCATAAGTAGCATACAGCAGTGTTGTACACATAGATGGCATATCAAACAAGTAGCATTTCCAGGCCAACACAGCGGCGAGCCAAGGGTTTCATGATCTTTTTGTTTTTGTTTGTTTTTCATTCATTGACCATGTCTGCCTTCCAAGTGTAACAGGACCGTAACCCTATGATCCATGCCAATGCAAAGCGTGAACTCCGAGTGCCGAATTGTTTTCCCTTCTCTACCAACCCCGACGCTTGACCTGCTTGTTTACGAGCGGGGCTTCTCCTTCTTCTCCTTCCACAGAGAGAGCAGACCGACACCAGAGACCTTGACGACCTTGAAGCGAACACCGGGAATATCACCCTTGGCCTTGCCCTTGCGACCGAAACCGGCCAGGAGGACCTCGTCGTTCTCGTCGACGAAGTTCAAGCAACCGTCGTTGGGGACTAAAGAAGAGAACTGTTGTCAGCAATGGGCTGTTCGTACCGCACTAAGCTTCCCCCCCCCGCCCCCCCTTCTCACGCCCATTCAAGCAATATCTTCCCGACCACTTATTTTCCCATTGCCACAATTCATGTCCAACCACACCGGGAGAAGACGAGTAAAAGATCGAGGGATGCCGTACCGAAAGCGGTGACCTTCTTGCCGTTCTTGATCAATTGCACACGAACGCACTTCCGGATAGCCGAGTTGGGCTGCTTGGCTTCGACGCCGACCTTCTCGAGAACGATACCCTTGGCGTGGGAAGAGCCACCGAAGGGCGAGGACTTGTAGGCAGTGCCCAGAGCACGCTTCTTGTATCCCAAGTCCGCCCAGCGGTTCTCCTTTCGGTTGAGGCGCAGCTTGCGCGCCGCGTTAAGTCCGCGAGCCATGATTGCTATAGGGGCTTCGTCAGTTTCACAAAGTCCCAAGTCACCGATTATCGCAGTCGTAGACGCCGGGGAGAAGACAATTCGGGCGATCGGTATTCGAAAAACTCGACAGTTTCCAAGGGAGAGCGGCCGTACGTACCGATGGGGTGAGGGTATCGCGGTGATGACTTGCTTGGTGGGTGGTGACGGGCGTGGCAACAAAAAGTTCGCGGGAGGGAGGTCAACTGAGGCGGATCCGAATGGTTGAGGTTTTTGGTAGGGCTTGCCCTACCCAGTGCGCAGGACGAGCGTCAAGTTCACGTGACTAATCGTTGGCGAGATAAGATAAGATGACATAACAATATTTGGGTGGGGCTCTCTGATGTCGTCTCCATGAACTCACCAAGGTAGTCACCAATCATTCCAGTGGTCCACTTACTGGTCGGTTCCCGGACCCAGCGCACCTCCGCGTCCAACTTTCGTTTTTATAACGAAGCATCCTCCGGCCAGATGCAATCAACCCCGAGGCGTCCACGCTCGTCGTCTTCAGACAGAGCCTGGGATGGCCATGAGGAATCCAATAATGGCACCGCATCTTCACTGATAAGGACCAGGAGCAGACAACAGCGCGATCTTCCACCGACCCTCTTCCTCCATCCGTCTCCCGCTGCATCCCATGCATCGATCCCGGGAATCACGCCGATGGGCGGGTCGTCGGGTCCCATGCCGCCGTTATCGCAGCCACCGGCAGGTCATCAGCGTGATGGTTCCCTCACGGTCACGATGCCCTCCGCCTCCCGTGCGGTGGGCAACCTGAGCACGCACGAGAGCGCGCGTAGCGCCGATCGGACAGACGCGCTCTGGGCCGAGATGCAAGCCACGTTAGAGGAGGTGGAGCTGTCCGCATCAGGCGGCACGCACGTGTTCGGGCCCGAACACGACCGCAAGCTGGCCGATCTCCGCAAAGCACAGATTGCACTCGCCCAGGCGTGGGCGCGGAGCGAAGCCGACGACGCCATCGGACCGGGCCACCGCGACAACAGCGCTGCTGCCGGCTCGGCTCCCGGCGGGGTGGGTGACGAAGTACGTAATATGAGAAGCGCAGCGCTGGGTGAGACGGCCACTACGCGGAAGAGCGGGGAAGGGACAGATGCGGCGAAAAGCACGGCTGGGACGGGGAGCGCACTTCCCGGGAGCAGTGGGATGGCAGAGGGCCTTGATGCCAGGTTTGAGGAGGGAACCGAGGCGGACATTCTTCTCGCCCGGCGGCGACGGGAGGCAAACGATCGATACTTCCAGCAAGTCAAAGGCGGGGTGTTGGATGTAGTGGCACGGCTGGAGGACGTGGCAGTTGCAATGCGGGCACTCGAACAGGAAACCAAAGATATTTGGGGGGAGGACGGCAGTCTTCCGGGAAGCGCGAAGACGTAATACACGTCTAGGACAGCACGGCCAGGCATTGCATGGCGTTGGACTGAGTTGGTGCTTTTGGCAGGCATTTTCGCATCAATATCTGAGCACAACTTATCACGGCGTCGGAGGAGTTGGTCTATCACTCATGGTCTTCTTGAAACTTGGAGTCTTTGCCCGCACATTTTCCTTCAGGTAGAATCGACCCGACGTAATCGAGGAGGGGGTAACCTTTGCTCTACTAAAAGTACTTTGTCCGCAGTTTGTCCCCCCGACTCGTTATCCTGTCTAACAGTCCGATACCCCTTCGGAAGACCAACAAGAAACTGCGTGGTGCGGAGCAGTTGAACGGATGAGCATTGTGCTTCGTGCCTCGGAATGCCCCACGGCGATCTTCATCTGCACCTGCACAGCCAATGATGTCACGCTGTACACTGTACTTCGTAAAGTGGAAGGAGAGGGCGTCAACGAGTGTCTTACTGGCAGTACGAAGTACAAAGTACACAAGGCGTAACGCACTATCAATTTTCTGGGGAGGTGGAGAAACTGAGTAGTAGCCTCACCAAAACCAAGTGCCGTGACTGGTTCTCCCAGCCGCCTTCCCAACAGGGCAGGTCAAGTATGATATGAAGTACCACCGTGCCAGGCAGCCATAAGTTGCCCCAACATCCCAGTCTCGTCAGGTTCTCCGGCATTCCACCTCTTCCGCCAACATCTCGTTCGATCCGCCGAAACCATTTAAGCGTCAAAGGACCGCATCGACTTCTGACATTCGATCACCACCTACATCAAGGCATTCCGAATTCCCGACTTCCCTACGATATCGCTTGATCTACCCATCGACACCTTTGTATCTCGACATACCCCAACCCAACCCCTCCCCTTCCTCCAAACCAAAGTACCTAGCCACAGTACCCATCACATCACAGTCGCCATGAAGCCCTCCACATTCCTCGTCGCCGCCCTCAGCCTCGTTCCTGGCGCGCTCGCCGTGGATAAGATGAAGAACGTTATCGTCTGGGCGCAGGACGAATCCATCACCGACAGCATGCTCGAGAAAGCCAAGAACGCCATCATCGAAGCTGGTGGTAAAGTCACCCACGTCTATACCCTTATTCGGTACGCCCCTCTTTCAGACTTTCCAGTGGCGTTTTTGAATCGAGAATGGACTGGTAAATGTACTGACTCGCGAGATGACCAGGGGCTTCGATGCCGTCGCACCCGCCAAGGCGCTGGAAGTCGTCCAGGCCTTCGACGCCGGAATCAAGATTGAGGAGGACCAAACGGTTACTATCTACGAAGACGAGAACTAAGACGCCAACCGCTTTGCAGGTGTTGGTTTTGGAATCCCGCCCTTGGTTTTAGGGAAAAGCGGATTGACGGTTGAACGAATGTAATGCACGATACCAGACAGAAGTGGGCAACGGATTGGATTGAGGGCGGGAGGCCGACACATTCGTTTTAACCGGAGTCACTGGCGTCAGGAGTTATCTTCAGCACTTTACCGAAATAAATGTCACTGTGCCGAATTCGTATGGCCTCGATGTTTCGTCCGATGCCATCCATGAATGAGCTCTCCGATCAAGGCCAATCTCGGTTTGTGCAATCCACAACTTATCTCACGAGGTGTACTCTCTACACCCGTTTCGCCAATGCGTTGTTTCTGGTGGGAGTGCGGGGATGGGTGAAGGGAGTCGGTAGTCACGTACGACGTACATCAAAAACGGATTATCGGAGCACCGTTCATGCGAGCTTTTTTGTGTGTTTGCATTTCCTGAAGTTCAGGGTGGTTACGACGCAACCAAGCCGTACTGTAAAAGTATTGCTACTGCGTCCTACCTTGTTTCGCACTTGGGAGCCAAAATCTGGGTTTCCTGATGGGATGGATGATCAGAACATACGAAGTAAAGCCCGATACCTAGATCAAAATTACAGGCACCTGGAGGATGCGCGTCAGGTTCCCGACTAGTGTTTCTGACATTTCGACTTTGTATTAATTGGGAAGATTGGTGGATCACAGAGGAGGCCAGAGCGTTGTGAGAGATGATAGGTATTTGACGACATGGAATCAGCACCACTACGAACAGTTATGCAACGAAACTCGTCTTGGGATAATCAAATTAAACCGGGGAGGGACAATAATCCAAATGGCATTCGTACACCTACATACGACGTAAGCACTGCCTTATTCTCAAGAACTCTCAAGACCCAGTGAAGTGAGTATCGGACAGCGCGTGGTCCTTTCCAAGTCGAATCCGGTGAATCCCTGTCGATGTCGATGGGCGACTTGAAGGCCAACAAAGCGATGATGAGACAGACATGAATTTACTAGGATACCTATAAAAACAACTTTGATGAACGTCTCAACTGGGAACAAGACATCTTTCTTCGACGACTACTTTGTACATTCATACTCGGCCAGTGTTCTGGCACAAGGGGACTTGTCATTCATCTTTGACTGTCAGTCAACATACGGTAATGCGGAGTATGTGGTACTTACATCGTGTTACTTGCTCTGCTCACATTAATGTAGAAGATACTTAAGGATACGAATGTCCATTTAACTTAAGGTTGTCCGTACCTCTCATCATGCACGTGCTGCAGGGACAGGGACCTCCCCCACGCCCCTTTGCAGCGACCCCAGTCAGCCGGTTTCAACCTAATTATTCGTCGTACCCGTAACAAAGGAAACAGTGCTGAAAAGACGTGACGAGATGTGTAATTACAAAGTACATCGTACTTTGTACGTCTCCGAGTACAATGTCCTCGTCCCAAATCAACCGAAGGAAGAGAAGCTTGGACCTTTAAACAACGTCTTTAACAGCTTCCAAACAGAATCACTGTCTCTGCACAACGTTGCTTCTTCGTTCTCTTCGTTCCTGTTCATGCCTTGTCCAAAAACACCACCTCTGTCTCTGCCTCGTGGCACACTCTCGAGATGGCACATAAATAACCGCCCTGCTCAAACTTAACTTGATTCCAACAATCCGTTCCGAGTTCCAATCACCACACAAATCGACTACCGCATACCACCACCACCACCACCACCACGAGCATGCTTGAACTTTCCGACAGTTCAAGTGTGCCTTTTGTAACCTGACGACAAGTACAACAATAACAACATCAAGACCAATTTCGAACCTGTACTTATTGGTTCCCCCACCGCCGTGGTCGTCGACGCCTTTCTGCGGCGCTGCGACAGACACAGCCCACCATGACATTCAGCAAAGGGGCGCAGGACGCCCTCCGCCTGTGGGCGAATACATTTTCTTTATCACGCAATGCCTGCTCAGTTGAGGATTTTTACGATGGCTTGCTACTGTCAGAGATGCTTGCTGACCTAGATCAAACTTATGACACCGCCGGCATCGATTCCGACCCCCGGCAATCACTCGCCAAGAAGAGGAACCTCCAACATGTCTACAAAGGCCTAGTTAAGTTGATCAACCTGGAATGTCCTGGCCTCAACCGCCAGGCCAGAATTGCCAACTTTCGCGCCACCGCCTCCAACCCCGATGCCGAGGGTATCTGCAAGGTATGCTCTCGTAGGACCTGTACCCGCATTGAACAACACACTCTGACATATGCCGCCCTTCAGATTCTGTCCCTACTATTTGCCGTTGCCATGCTTGGCAGCAACAATGAGCGATTCGTTACTCGCATCACGCGGGACATCACCGACAAGCCCGCGCTTTCCATCCTCCAAAAGATTACCGTGGAAATGAAGGCCGAGATAGAAGACGCCGAAGCCAACCTCGACACAGACCCCGACGCCGACGACGCCCGCCAGTTGGCCCGGGATCCCGACCTCGCGCTGGAGGAGGAGAATGCCTCTCTCATGTCCCAGCTCGACAGGAAGATGAAGCTCCTCGCTGACATGGAAACTCGGTTAGCTCACCTACAGGAGAGTTACGAGAGCCTGAAGGAGGAGGCCGCACGGCAAGCGAGAGAGCTTGAGGATTTCCACAACGCTCAAAGCGGCGCCGCCTCACAGGTCATCCAGGCACTCGAGGCCAAGATCCGGGAGCAGGACGAGCTCATCGCCAGCCATGAGGCCCAGGCCGAGGAGTTCCGCATCGCCCGTGAGCGGCTTGCCGGTGAGATTTCAAGCCTCTCCAGCAGGGCGAACAAGGCCGACGACCTCGAGGACGAGGTCAACGTGCTGCGCTATCGCAATGACGAGCTCAGCCGGAAGGCCAACGTGGTCGAACGCTACCGGCAGAAGCTCGAGGCCCAGGGCGACCTGCAAAAGGAGATCGACAACCTCATGTACGAGAGGGAACAGATGCAGCGCGACCTCCTCGACTACGAAAAAATCCTGAAGCGGAACGAGGCCCTGGAGGACACGAACAACAAGTATGCCTCAAAGCTCCAGGACTACGAGACCCAGTTCATCGAGATGGACACCACCAGAAAACGCGAGTACTCCGAGATGCTTCACCTCCGGGAACTCCTGAGGACCCTCGAGGCGCAGCGCAAGTCGGATGAGGAATTCATCAGCGAACTGCAGGACCAGATTAACAACGGAGGCGTCCATTCCATCGGCAGCAAGTCTTCCGAGTTCACCAACCCCGGCTTCAACCTCGAGCAGGAGCTGGAGAACGCCAAGGACGTCGCCCCTAACCTCAGCCTCGAAATCTCGCGCCTCAAGGCCGAGAACCAGATGCTACGCAGCACCGCAGGCTCCGGGCCTGAGGTCGCCCGCCTGCGACACGAACTGGAGGGCGAGCGTACTCAGCACAAGAGGCTGCAGGAGAAGTACCGCAACGTCTACGAGAAGCGGAACGCCGCCGACGCCCAGGTCTCGGCCCTGATGCAAGACCTGCCCCAGGAAAGGTTAGTTCAATGGGTCGAGCGCTTACACCCCAGCGGCCACGGCAAGTTGAGAATACTCACGCAGGAATACTTTAGCACCAAGGTGTTCAACGAACTCAAGTCGCAGCTCAAGAAGGCCGAGGAGGAGCTCAAGGCGGAGCGGGAATTGGCCAGGGACTTGCGAAACAAGATCCTCGATAGGGACCGCGAGATCCTGTCCGCTCGGACCGACCTCTCCGCCGTCGAGAAGGACAGCGCCGAGGCCCTGGAGGAGCTGAAGGCCACCGACAAGCTGATCTCCTCTTCGCTGCAGGAGGAACTCGAAGCACTCCGCCTCGAGTACAAGAACATGTCTAACGACGCCGACGAGGCGCAGAGAGCGTTGGTCAAAGCGCTCCTCGAGAAGGACAACCTTCGAAAGGAAATCGATTTGGCCAAGGATCAGAGCGTCAGCTCTGACGCTTTGAAGAGCAACGAGAAGATCAAGCAGCTACGTGCCCGGTTGCAAGAACGCAACGAGGTGAGTTCTTCTTCTACTACTACTACTGCTACTACTTCTTCTTCCTTGTCATTTCGTCGTCGTCGCCGTCGTAGTTGGACGGCCCGCGCTGCGCGCTACACTCGGGAGCACATTCTTCTGTCGTTGCCCTCTCACGGTTCCGAGACTGGCGACCTGGCCAGGCCCCCTTTGTTCCTCGAGGACGTCGCTGCTGCGTGGAACAAGCCTGCTCCTCCCGCAGCTGTTCTGCAAGACAGCTACCCCCAGGCTCGGCCCCCTTCCCCTCCCATCCCCGTCGCCTTTTCTAACTCCTCCCCCTACTCCACGTATCGCGCCCACGAATCCATTTCCTTGATTTCGCCGTCCCCTTCGCCGCCGGCTTCGCAGCCTCCCATTCCTCAGGCTCTTCTTCCCCCAACCCCGAAGAAACGCGAGTCGTGGCTCCCTTGGAAAGTCATTCGTCCTCGAAGTCGAGGGAAATGAGGTGGCAGGTGGACTTTGTTTCTTCTCTTGATGGAAGTTGACATGGAACATGTATCATCGCATCTTGTAAATGGACGATGGAAAGTACTGACATTTTGTTTTTCTTTTTCTTTACTAGCAACTGGAAAAGGCGGAACGCGACAGACATGATCTTATGAGGAAGCTCAAAGCTTCGCAGGATGGAAGCGCAGCGTTGGCGCAAAAGGTATGTTTCAATCAAATTTCCCTTGCAAATAAAATCATCTCTACTGTGCTACTCTCTTCGTGTTATTGTCGCATTGTGTTTGCAACGTGTGATTCTCTTGGTGGACTCCCACCCGGCTCGTGTTCAGGCGAGATCACTTTCGTCCTACAAAGACGACAGACACATGGTGATATGCCAGGCTTGCTGATCCTGTAAAACCCCACGTATATATAGGCCCAGAGCGACCAGATCATCAAGAACCTCCAGAGGGAAAACGCCCTTGTCACCACCGCCTGGTACGATCTCACCAGCCGGTTGCAAAGCAACCACGTCGTTCTACAAAGGCGTAACGATGTGCCTCGAAGCTGGTTGAACAAGCAGAGACAAATGGTCAACGGTATGGATGAATGATCTATCTCTCGTTCCGGATGGAGAATTCAACTGAAGAACTTACGCACTGACTTTGCATCTCGTCCGATAGCCACACCAAGGAAATGACGAATACATGCCACTACACTAACGTTCCAACGAAGCCAGGAGGATCATCTCACCCTGGACGTATTTATATCCCCTAATAGATTCATGATATATAGGTATGGCGCCCGCGCCCATTGCATAGCGTCACAAGAGGAAAGATGAAAGGAAGACGAGGGAAGAGGCATTTCGTCATGTCCTGCATCTGTGCGAGTCTCCATCAGCATCTACACTGGACTTCTTGTTTTTAAGCGATACCCCTCGCATCGAGTTTACTTCATTACGGCTAATCAAGAATTATTACCATTGCGACGTCTATAGCAGACAATAGCCAGTCGAGGAAGAGGCAGCAAAGATTCCAACGCAAACAGTGACGTCCCATCCAACCGCAAGCTTAGATTGAGATTTGCCTGAGACATGGCAAAGATAGATACTACATACAGGGCGTGATAAAGGGGTTTCTCTAATTGATACATTGAATCCGTCATCTCCAAGACATCAACAGCGGGTAACTCGTAGGTCAGGGACCCTAAGCGTTCGCTGACGTTGAAAATGCGGTTCCCAGTCGATTTTAGTAGAATCCCGTTCCAGCTCGAGCTTAGGAGCTGCACACGGGTTCTGTTTGCTTCCGTTGCCACAGCGACTTCCGCCCTCTTGATCTATTAAATCTAGGCATGACGACTGGGGCTAAAGAGTTGGGGAAAAAGAAAAAAAAAGGGTGGGCTCATGACGCATCCATGCCGGGGGTGTGGAGCAAGTCCGGGAATTTTTTTCGTTCGTGCATATAATTTTCGTTTAGCTGTCACCAGCCTTGCGCTGCTCGTGGAAGATGCTGAGCAGGCTCTTCCAGACTTGGCCAGGGGGCTGGGATGCGTCGATGCCCTTCCAGATACCGGACTTCTGGTAGTAGTTCACGACGGGGGTGGTCTGGGCGTGGTAGGTCGCGAGACGCTTCTTGAGGGCCTCGGGGTTGTCGTCGCTGCGCTGGACGAGCGGCTCGCCCGAGACGTCGTCCTTCATGTACTCCTTGGGAGGGTTGAAGGTGCTGTGGTACGTGCGGCCCGAGGCCGGGTGGATGAGGCGGCCAGTGATGCGGGCGACGAGGAGTGAGTCGTCGATCTGCAGCTCGACGGCGTGCTGGAGCGTCTGGTTGCGCTCCTGGAGCATCTTGTCGAGACCCTCGGCCTGGGGGACTGTCCTTGGGAAGCCGTCAAGAATGAATCTGAGTTGGGGAGCCGTGTTAGCGAGGAACAATTCGGCTGTTACACGACACAGGGGAAAAAGAAAAGCTTTGGAGGGAAGTGTGGAACGGAACAAATAAGGGAAAGACAAAAGAAGAAGAAAGCGAAAGAAAGAAAAAAGGAAAGAAAAAAGGAAAGAAAAAGAAAAAAAAAGCGTCAGACGTACCCTCCCTTGCACTCCTTGTTGTTGTCAAGCTCCTCCTTAATCATGCCAATGACGATATCATCACTGACGAGGCCGCCCTGGTCCATGATCTTCTTGGCCTCTCGGCCGAGCGGAGTCTTCTTCGCGACCTGCGACCGCAGCATATCACCGGTGGCCTAAACGAGAGAAGAACCAACGCATGTCAGTGAAGGTCCAACGGAGTTTCCAGTATCAACTATAGATCCCAACTGACGTACCAGGTGGCAGCAGGAGAAGAGCTCCTTGATCTTGGGTGCTTGTGTGCCCTTGCCTGCGCAAGTTAGCTACCTTGGAGCGATGACTGGGGGCGAAAGAAACGCAGTAGCATTTAGAGAAGCTCAACATACCAGCACCAGGAGGGCCGATGAGAATCATGCGGATTTCTTCGGCGGTCTTTCCTGATGTGCCGAAAGACTTTTGCTCCAGGTTCTTGATCCGCAGCTCGAGCGCCTCGAGCTTGCTGTTCAGTGCCTTGACTTCATCCTCGGCAATACCCATTTTTGGCGAAGCTTCAAGAGCAAGTTGGAAAAGCCAGATAAAGGGAAGCAAGAAGTAGGCAAAAGTCTTGGACCGCAGGAATTGAGTTGCGGGAGGCGGGTGAGAGACAAGGGGATATAGGAAAGGGCGTCGAGTTGGGTTGTCGTGGAGGATCGCGAAGAAGTCGACGGGAGAAGGAAAAATAATTGCGAAAGCCAGGTTTCTAGGACGAGGCCGAAGCTTAGTACGCGGGATGTACTTGGAAGGGATCCTGATCTGGCAGGATGTGGGTCAAGGTGCCATCATTTGATTCCTCAGGTACCGGGACGGGAGTACGACTACGAAGTAAGGTAATTATTACGGAGTACCTACGATTTCGGCTGTTCCTTGGTGCTCAACAGGGCAGGGGCCACTACTCCGGCGCTCCGTATTTCCGATGTCCGGAGCTCCGTTTCAGCGTACTGGATGGAAGGCTATTGGTGCTTTGTACACGTACCTTATGTTTTCGCTCGGTCGTCAGAACTTTCCAACTTTTTTTACCCACCTATTGGGGAAGTACCCTCTGCACCGAGGTTCGGGGCCATTCCAGCCCCACGGGATGAAGCGAACAGGCGGTCTTCCTTTGGTGGTGGCCATGGCCTTGTTGATTTCCCGTCCACTTATAATAAGTGTACATCGGGTATTCCCACGGCAAATCCGGCTGAACCCGATGGACACTTGGGAGGAGAACATGACTCCCGCCAACGGTCAAATGCTGAATCTTCTACTCTGTGAACACTGAATATAGTCAAACGGCATTGCAGATGTCAAATCCGTTGGCCGCCGTGGTTAGTAATGTCTGGTGCCTGGTGCGGCACGGAGGACGACTCCTTAGGTATTCGAAGGTTATGACTACGGTTTCCCCCACTCGACAACGACGAATATGATAAAAATAACAATAACAATGCATTTGTAACAAAACAATATCCAGATGGTTAAAGCAATTGCTAAACACGCAATTCTTGCAGTGTCTTTGTTGCTGATTTGCTTCGACGAGTTCGAGATGCGAGATGCGAACAAGAGAAAGGCATGTCACAGTGCGTCTGGACGCCCTAGCCACAGATTCATGTGCACCGCCATACCTCTCACGTGATATCGCGAGGCTCGAGCTTTAAGTGTACGAAGGGCTCTTGGCTGGACATCTGAGGCTAGACCCTTTCGGGAGCTCCTGCTCGCTCTGCACTCGCGCCAAAGGCAGCATCCAAGTTACGACACCCATCTCCATATCCCATCTTCAAACGAACCCTGCCGCTGTTCTGCCCGCCACCTTTTCCCCCTTCTTGTATCCCCGTGCATCTATTTCCGTGAAACCGCAGAGAAACATACTTCACTTAACGACTCACGGAAGACATTCCCACCATGCCTGCCACAACAGCAGAAACCCTATCTCTCGTCACCCGCAACGTCACCGTCGCCCCTCTCGTCCTCCTCTCAGTTGTCGACCACTACAACCGCACCGTCTTTAAGGGCTCCAAGCGCCGAGTGGTTGGCGTGCTACTAGGCCAGAACGATGGAACAAATGTGCGCGTATCCAACAGTTTCGCAGGTTAGTACGGGGCCGAGAACCTGTCGGGTTGAGCCGCCGGTCTCCTCAAAGGATACTGACAATGGCGTCATCAGTCCCGTTCGAGGAAGATGAGAAGGACCCATCGGTGTGGTTTATCGATCACAACTACGTCGAAAACATGAACGACATGTTCAAGAAGGTCAATGCGAAGGAGAAGCTGATCGGCTGGTACCACTCCGGACCGAAGCTACGGGCGTCAGATTTGGAAATCAACGATCTGTTCAAGCGATACACCCCCAACCCGCTGCTGGTCATTATCGACGTCCAGCCCAAGGAGGCTGGTGTGCCGACAGATGCTTATTTTGCCGTGGACGAAATCAAAGACGTGAGTAGTCACCTCTAATACTTTTTTTTTTTGTTGGAAGAATATACGTGCTTAACTTGCTTTTCTTCGCGTACAGGATGGTACAGCCACATCGAGGACGTTCGTACACACCCCTTCCATCATCGAAGCCGAAGAAGCTGAAGAAATCGGCGTGGAACACTTGCTCCGCGACATCCGCGACGTCGCCGTCGGTACCCTCTCCACCAGGATAACGAATCAACTCCAGTCGCTTCAAGGGTTACACCTCCGTCTGCGCGACATCGGCACTTATCTCCAGCGCGTGCTTGACGGAGAACTCCCCGTCAACCACGCGATTCTCGGCAATCTGCAGGACGTCTTCAATCTCCTACCCAACCTGACAACACTCAAGGGAAGCGCCGACACCTCCAAGCCTGCGGGCAGCGAGCTTGCGCATGCCATGAGTGTCAAGACCAACGACCAGCTTATGACCATCTACCTCAGCAGCCTGATCCGGGCCATCACTGCCTACCACGACCTGATTGAGAACAAGATCCAGAACCGGCAGCAACAGGAAGAGAACGAAGCGAAGAAGGAGGAACTTGCTAATGGCAGTAAGGATGAGAAGAAGGATGGTGCCTCTAGTACAGCGAATGGCGACGGCAAGGAGAGTTCTGACAAGGACAAGGAAGCCAAGGAGAAGAGGAAATAGAATGCCTCGGACACAGACTTTGGACGAGAGGAAAAGAAAAGGAGGCAAAAAGGAAAAAAAAACCCTGCCGAGAACGAGATGTGGCGTGGCCAGAGGGGGGGGGGGGATTGGCTGCGATTTTTCTCCCATAGAAGGCGGGTACACCTCTCCTACTGTCATGATATCATCATCATCCTTTGGCGTCGGGAAAAGGACATGAGGTTCGCTAGGCCGAGATGAACATTTTCTGCGCGGGCAAGCCTTCCTAAGCTGCACCGACCACACATGCCCTGTACAAGTGAATAGCATTGTTCTCTAACAAAGCAGTTGTCGGGTCATATGTTTCAAGCCCAGCGAAAAGTCCATCATGCCCTCATCCAGTTTAGAGTGCCCCTAGTTGCCGACTCTAGTCCGTGACCGAGAGCGTTATTATAATAAATCGACCCCCGGAACTCCTTTTAAAACGACGTCCCCTTCTTTACGTCGCCGCGACTAGCCCGGCCATCTCCTCCCTACCAGCCCGCCTCTCCACGGCATACCTCCCCATCACGTCCCCGCACCGCTCGGCGAGAAGACAGGCAAGCAAATGCTTACAACACGGGACATCGTCGGGGCGGCCACCCGGAGGGTCCAAGGCCATCCCGCCAAACGACCACTCCCCGTCAGTCCCGCCTTCAGTGGGCTGCCGGACCCCTGACCCTGCGACGTCAGACCACGTAGGCGGTAGGATTTCATCCGGAACGGGCGCGGAAGCGGAAGCGGAAGCGGAAGCGGGAAAGGCGTCGAAGGCAAAGTTGGCGCAGGAGCAGTTCCAGGCGTCGAGACGGACGAGGTATGGGGTCGTCACGGCGGGGTGAGGGTGGCGGTGCGCGTTTCGCCTGGGGTGGACTGAGGCTGCGGAGCGAACTAGGTAGAATGCCGCCTGCGGCTTTTCGGGTGAGCTTGGGGTTGGGTTGGCAGTCTTGATATCGGTAGGGGTTGTGTGGACGGCGGAGCTGGGTTCCTGGGGGATGATCCTGGTGACGAGGGAGTGGTCGAGGAGGTCCAGGGCCGGGAGGAGCAGGGTTGGGAAGAGGACGTGGAGGGTTGTGAGAAGAGCCCTGTGAGAAGGACGAAAGAGTTTTGGGAGGGATTGACTGGTGTGTTGATCTGTAGAAACCTCTTCTTCGGATACTGAGGAGGTTCCGATGGAGTTGATGAGGGATGTGAGGATGGTCCTAGGGGTAGGGAGTGTAGTCATGATGAGGGTATTAGACCCCTGGGAGCAGAGCCGTAGAATGTTATGCTTCCCATCCAATTATCAGCGTGTACCATAAATTATCCATATCATCAGAATGTTGTCGTTTTGGTCCGTGTACACAAGTCCGAAGGTCGAAGCAACATGAAGTCCCAGAGTTCTGAAAGTCGGAAAGCCACGCCGTGTTGGCTGTTTATGTACAGTGTAAACACGATCAAAATGAGACAGTGCGGTAGTTACACATATGACGCCGAACCAGCAGCCATTGTCCATGTCTATCCGAAGCACCCTCTCTGCCCGTATATCGTATATCCGCCCCGACTGAACCAGGTTGATAGATGGCTTTTCATTTTCCATGCAGTAGGTTATGTGAGGCTGGGTTAATGCTCTACTAAATCGTACATAGTACATAGGTGCGAGCTACGAGCTACGCACACATACACTCACTTCACACTCACACCCAGTCCTTGGGTGCCCTCAGTACATCTATCAGTTGTTGTTCCCGACTGTTGGGCTCCGGCTCATGCATGTACTTCCAAGTCGCCGTGAGCGGCAGACTCATCAAGATACTCTCAACCCTGGACCCCGGTGTGTTCAGGCCGAAGGCGGTACCCCGGTCGTGGACCAGGTTGAATTCGACGTACTTTCCACGCCGAATCTGCTGCCAGTCCTTCTCGGCCTCGGTGAAGGGCATGTCCTTCCTCCTCTCGATGATGGGCATGTAGGAAGGGAGGAAGGCCCTGAGGCAGTCCTGGACGAAGGCGAAGGAGCTCTCCCGGTCGTTCTCGGTGTAGTCGAGGTCGTCGAAGAAGATGCCGCCGACGCCGCGGCACTCGCCCCGGTGCTTGTTGTAAAAGTACTCGTCGCACCACTTCTTGAAGCGCGGGTAGTACGTCTTGTCGTGGGCGTCGCACACGTCCTTGATGGTCTTGTGGAAATGCACGGCGTCCTCCTCGAGCAGGTACGAAGGGGTCAGGTCGCAGCCGCCGCCGAACCACCAGGCATGCGGCGTGCCGTCCGGGTGCGACGTCTCGAAGTACCGGTAGTTGAGGTGCACGGTCGGGGCCATGGGGTTCTTGGGATGCAACACCATGCTCAGCCCGGTGGCGAAGAAGGGGAGCGAGTTGATGTTGTCGTCGAGGTGGAGGGTCTTGTGGTTGGCGCGCATCTTCGCGATCGCCGGCTTGGGGAGGCTGCCGTAGACCACGCTGACGCCGACGCCGGCCTTCTCGAAGACGTTGCCGTCTTGCAGGACGCAAGTGATCCCGCCGCCGCCCTCCTCCCGTTGCCACTCATCTCGGCGGAACTTGCCGCCGTCGAGCTTCTCGAGCGCCTGGACGATCTCCTGTTGCTGCTCCTTGATGAACTTCTCCATGCGCAGGCGCATCGGGCCCTCGGCGGTCACGCCTATTTGTTGCTTGGTTAGGTGATCGCGCTCGGCGAGTTTTGGGTTATCGCAGTACACAGGATCTGGGACAGCCTGTTCCAGCATCATGTCTCGTCAACGGAAACGCTCAAAAGAAGGAGGGGCAATGACAGCACTGGCTGGCAGTGGATGTGGATGCAGATGCGGATGTGGCTGTGGCTGTGGTAATGGCAATAGCAGTTCAAGTACCATTTTGTAGATCAGGGTCCCAGCGAGACCGAGGCTGACGGCGGTAATAAAGGCGTAATTGGGGGTATAAGAGGTCTTCTGGGCATTCAATTCAGGCTTTGTAGAACTAAAACGAGGTCGCGATGGCGGCGCATTCGAACGTAGACGAGGTCGGTGCTGGTAGGAACGAGCGACCCTCGGTTGGACAGAAAGCTGGGAAAACAGCTTCTGCCCGGATCTCCTGTACGCCATTCGGAAAGAAGAAAAAAAAAGATACGATATATAAGTACACCGGAAAATGGGATGTGGAGGAATCGAAAGGTTGCTGGACGACTCGATCAGATGATCGATGCCCACGCAAGAAACATAAGGCCACTTTTTTTTTTGCTGGGTGTTGTGGTGATGAGAAGACGAGGAGGAGATGGGTCTCGACTAAATCTGAGCCAGGGTAATTGAGATGGCGACAAATCAGAAGCTTGGGGTCGTCCCTGTTAGTGGGGGTGCAGCCGACGGGGACCACTGCAACTGTGAAGTGCGGATAGGTTAGGTATCGAGACAGAAAGGTACCTGGTTCTTGAAATAAGATGACGTGACTGCCGCAACTCCCCCTCTGAGGGGCGGTACTGCGAGAAGTGGTGAGAGCTCCAGCTTTAACCTGGAATACAAAAGATAAAACTCCAACTTTAACCAAGTATAAAAGCTATCTATAGTTGGTAAGCAATTTACTGAGTGCAGACATCCTTGTCAACCACAAAAAGACCAACCAGCACGTTTTCATGATGAAGTTCGATTATATAATCTATATATCTGCTGACACAAATCTCCACATAGTGCAAATCAGATGAAGGGCTACAAAGGGAGTACGGGGCCATATGAAATACCTAAGTGAGTATAGCATAAGGTAGGTACCTAAGAAGAACCGGAAACTGGAGGAGATATAATTCCGTATATAGTGCTCTGAGCACGGAGGCAGGACACTTGTATATTGAGGCGGGAAGACTGGAGGGAATTGCCTGGTGATCTCGCGTGACGCATACCGATGACCCTGGTTGTCAGCTGCTGGTCATCTGCCTCTCCTGGCCGTTTGATTCACCAGTGTATCTCCCCGAATAAAGGGAGTGTATGGATACCTGCGAGCACAGTGCAAAAATGCCCACCATCATACATACTCCGATACTCCGCATTCTGATAAGACTGTCATACCTTACCTTAGGTAAGGTAGCTTGGGATGGCACTTTGATAGGCGGGTACGGGAGTTAATTCCAAGGCAAGTGAAAATAAGTCATCAACCCCCCGCACTCGCTGGCTGCCTGGACATGGGGTCGGCCACCGCCTCCACCCACCCAACAAGGCGACAACCTTACCAAGCATCCCTCCCCTTCACGCACTCTCCCTAAGCTTCCCTCAAACCTTCCCCTCAACTTTCACTTCTACAAGCTTCGTCCCATCGCCTACCATCACCACGTCGCCGCAACACGATACTTAAACCTCGAACCTATCCCCCTGGTGTCTGCACCTTGCAACGTCGAGTCGTCGACTCTACCATCAACAAACTACTCCTCACGTCAAGCCAAGTCAACACCGCCATTATGCGATCCAAGTTCAAGGACGAGCATCCCTTCGAGAAGCGCAAGGCCGAAGCCGAACGCATCCGCCAGAAGTACTCAGACCGCATTCCTGTATGTCACGATAATAGTTTCGTCTGTCCTTTTTATATTCCTTCGTCCCTTTTGATCGTCGAATTATCCTAGCTGACTGAACCCCTTTTCTTCGAACTAGGTCATCTGCGAGAAAGTGGAAAAGAGCGACATCGCAACGATCGATAAGAAGAAGTACCTGGTCCCAGCCGACCTGACCGTCGGTCAGTTCGTCTACGTAATTCGCAAGCGCATCAAGCTCTCCCCGGAAAAGGCAATCTTCATCTTCGTCGATGAAGTCCTACCGCCGACGGCTGCCCTTATGAGCAGTATCTACGAGGAGCACAAGGACGAGGATGGGTAAGTCATACTCGACCATTATGGTGATAGGCGGCTGGCTCTCCTTGGGCGTAATCACGTGGTCTCGTCGTATTGGTCTCGTCGTATTCATTTTTGGTCATGAGAGCTAATTTGTGCTTGTGTCCCTAGCTTCCTCTACATCACCTACTCGGGCGAGAACACTTTTGGCAACTTTGAGACTGTTTGAAGTTCGTCACGAAGCTAATTACGCCCATAGTCTCTGGGACTGTTCTCGGCGTTCTGGGTTGCCCTTATGATTTATTGCTTAGAAATGGGTTACGGTTTCCATTCGGTTGAGGAACCTGTTTTTTTTTCTTTCTTTTTTTCTTTCTTTTCTTGACGGAGAGGTATAGGACCGGCTATGGTGGTGATGGGTTCGTTTGGGTCTGGTAGTGCACGGTCTGAGAACTGCAATGGCGGACTCGGCTCTTCGAATGCAGCCGAGTTTAGTTATTTGTCTCTTAACACGCTCTCTATCACCCCTTCGGTCCCGGCTTGTTGTGTCCCGGTGTCTTGGGCGAATTTGGCGACGGTTGTGTGTAAGTGACACGGGAGTAGTGTAAGTTGACGCCTCGATTATGTGGCTTGTCTTTTTGTTACCTTTCTAACGACCGACTCTGGGACTTGGGCCGACCGCAACGCCGCCATTGCGGTCATCAACACTAAAGGTACTGTTGGCCTGGCCTTTCCGAGACATGCTTTAAGAATCTTCTCACTCGTCGTCAAGATGAAAGCGTGGATCAAGGTACGCCTGCTGCCTGTATATTATAAGGGCCCTACCTAGAGTAGCGGGGAGCCCAGTCGGAACCATTATGTTCTTTCATCGTCGGGGGGACATTGGGGGCGAATCAAGTTCATTTCCATTCTTAGCGTTGAAGATCATGGCTTTATGCAGGTGTAATGGGATATCTTCTCGTCTTTCTCCTGTTCGAATTCACGTGTGTCCACGTCGACCGCCTACCTTAGGTACCTTACCTAGGTACACGAACGGACAAATACCTCAGGAGGAGTTCCCTCGGACTAAGAACCTGGACCTGGACCATGTACGCAGGCAGGTATATCTACCCCCCTGCAGTCGATGGTCCATATAAGGGTAATTGTCCATATACGAATACCTTACGCTAAGGTAGGTAGCACGACTTCTATTATTGTCCGCTGACAAAAGTGACAGCCACTCGGCGAATTTCCTCACACACGTGGGCAAGGAAGGAAGTCTCGACAACGAGTCTAGGACGTCCAACGAACACAACCTCAACCCCATCTTCTTCATCCATCTCTTACCACGAGAAAAAGGCGAACTGAACTAGCCCGGGGCAGAATGGAGAAGCTCTCCACTCGTGGGGATAATATAAAGTGAAATATGGATGGCTTCGTTTAGAAGAAAGCCCATGTTCGGCTCCCCTTGGGCAACCTTCCTCATCGCCGCACCGGTTCTGCTTTTCTTCGGACTCCTGGTACTTCTCGTCCTCCAGACAGAGCACACCATGTCCACTACTCTCTTTCCCAAGGTTCAGTCGCTTCTGGCGACCATCGCTGCCATTTCCGGGTTCGGATCTGCCGCTTCGGCACAGTCGGTCGACGTGAGCTGGTACCCTCCCGCTCAGTCGCAAATCAACCGCAACTTCACCCAGCTGCTGCACTCCGAGGGGACCTGGGGCTTTATTTATGACTCGTCCGAGACCCCCGACGGGGAGTATGGGACGTACAACTGGTGCAATATGCCCCATGTGAGGAAGACCGAGTACGTCAAGCCGTCACACGAGTACGAGTTGCAGTACGTTGAGCTGGTAAGCTACAGGTTCCCTAGGCCCCTATTGAGTGTTGTGATGTCTTCCCACATGTTCATTACATCACATGTTCGCCTTCTCACGCATATCGTATATTCCCCCTTGTCCAGATCCACCGCCATCACAAACGGACTCCGTACTCGTCCAACGCGTTTCCCGTCGAACCCTACCGGTGGGACTGCGACGAGCAAGGGCTCTTCTACTACGGCGAGAGTCTCGACGGCACCCAGCACTCGGCCCGTACTTATTGGAAGGTGTACATCTCGCCCGTCAACCCTTTCGTACCCTCGGGTTGGATCGGCACCTGCCAGTTCCCCCAGATCACCACCGAAGGGCTCGACGATTCGTACGTCCACGGTGCAGACCTCTTCCAAGTCTACCATGACCTCCTCGGCTTCCTCCCCGGCCGTGACGACGAGGATTGGCCGACCAAGGTCAAGTACCGCGTCACGAACAACCAGATCACCAGCCAAGTAGCCGGTCTCCTGATCAGGGGCATGTGGGGTGACGCTGCTGCCGACCGCATCGGACTCGCCATCCAAGCCTCCGCCGTCGACAGCCTCGAACCCAGGTACAGCTGCCCCGCCGGCTCCTCCCTCTTCAACCGCATCCGTTCCCGCGACAACCCCCGATGGGCCGCCCACCTCCGTGCCGCGGGGGACCTGTACACCGTCCTCGACGACCTCGCCGGCGTGCCAGCCGACAACGAGGGGTTCCACGCCTCCTTCGATCCGTACTACGACAACCTGTCGGCGCGCCAATGCCACGGCAAACCGCTGCCGTGCAAGCTCCTCGTCGAGGGGGACGGGGACGGGGACGGGGACCAGGACCAGGACCAGGACGAGGACCCAGGGCAGCAGCAGTGCATCACGCAAGACCTCGCCGACACGGTCTACCGCATCGGAAACTGGGAGTACTCCCACATCTACCGCGACAGCCCCGAAACCCTGGCCGCCAGCGCCGCCACCTACGGCGTCTGGCTTGCCGAGCTGGCCGCCCACCTGCGCGACGTCGTCGACGGCCGCCGCCACGACGACGACGACGACGACAACGGCAACGCCATCTACTACCACAACATCGCCCACGACGGGTCCGTCTCGCGCCTGCTCTCCTTCCTCCAGCTCGACACCATGGTCTGGCCCGGCATGGGCGCCGAGGTCGTCTTCGAGCTGTACCGGAAACGAACCGGCGATGCCGCGCCTTCTTCCTCTGTTTCTTCGTCGCCGGCTCCCACCTCGGGCTGCTGCGGCGGCAGCAGGCCTTCCGCCCGTACCACTCGGAGAGAAAACGAAAGCGAGAGCGGGTGGTACGTGCGCGTGCTGTTTGGCGGACAGCTCTTCAAGTCGTCCAGTCCGACACTGGGTCTCTTGGACATGATCCCTATCGAGACCCTCCTGGCCTACTTTGATGGTTTGGTCGGGGAAAACGCCAGTTTGGTCAAGGAAAACTGCGGCTTCAGGTAGAGGGACGAGAGTGAGAGGCCCATCACCATCCATCCGGTTTACACGAGATGTTTGGGAGAGAAGTTCCAGGTCGATTTACGAAGTTGGTAATCTCTATGTAGCAGTGGCATAATGGCGCCACTGGGTTTCGTATACAGACTATCGTAATGCCTGCTTGCCTGTCCTTGATAACCCTAACCCGTCATTCATATCATAAAATTTCGTCACCATCACCGGGAGGGGCTCAAACCGATGTCCTTCTCGAAAGCATCCCATCTGCCCTTGCGCATGGGATCCGATGCTCTTAGCTTGGCCAGCAAGGTAGCCAACTCACCCCTTTCCTCCGCGGTCGTCTCTCGGTCCTCGAGCCGGGCAATGGCCAAGATGTGATCTATGAGCGCTTCGAACGCAAGCTTGATGTCCTCGTCGTAGTCCTCGAGCAGGTCCTTGATGTACTCCACCTCGTGACGCAGTATGGAGACCTCATCGGCGGACGGTAGGTTGGGGGCGATGGCCAGGCGGCTCGATGCGGAGGTGATGTTGGAGACAAGGAACTGGTGATAATACCAGCAGGACTGGTCTTCGGGGCCGACATCTAGCGCCCGGCGAATAAGGCTGAATTCTATTGTTTTTGGTGTTGGCAATGGAACGGTCTTCGTCGGAGGGGGGGTTAAAGCCCGCCGCCGTTGATGCTCATGCTACAAACGTAGGGTTCATGCCCTGTTCTTGGGTCATAAGACGTACCGTCATCTAAAAATGCGCGTCGCTCCGCATCCCCGGCGCCGCGCTCGGTCAGTAGCTGGGGAATGAGACGGCCGCGGTAATGCCAGGCGGAGAAGTTGGACAGGCCGCTGCTGATCTTTTGCTGGGTGTAGGCGAACTCGGCCTCGGCCATGCTGGCACCCGCGAGGGCGGGGCTTTCGAGGTTGGAGACGACGTGGCGGCGGTAGCCCCAAGCGTGGAAGTTGCGTTGGTCTTTGTTAAGCATCATGCCGACGAGGCCGAGCTCCTCCTCCCAGATGCGGCGGGCGACGGGGGCCGGGAGGAGATTGATGGCTTGCTGGAGGAGCCAGAGACGGTAGTTCCAGATCCAGTAGCATTTGGGGTTGGCGCGGATTAAAGGGAAGGTAAACTGGAGCTCGGAGCGGAGGGTCTTGTCGGGGTCGGTGGCAGGGTCGGTGGCAGGATCGGTGGCAGGATCGATGGCTGGGTCAGGCCTCGTACCACTCGGCCCACTCGGAGGCGGACATTGGGACGCGGGGTCTGGACGGGTCACGGCCGAGGACGAGGGCGACGATGCGGCGGATGACGGTGATGGTGTGGTAGGAGCCCAAGAAGTCCCGGGCGGCGCCGATGGCGAGGGACCAGGCGAGTGTCTTGAGAAGGAGCCACAGGTTAGGCAGCGCCTGCGGACGTTCCATGCTGTGTAGTGCTCAGGGTTGCGGGAGAGGACTTCGGCGGTCAGGGCCAGGACGCTTGGGTCCGCGAATGCGGGGGACGGGTAGGGGGATGCGTTGAGGGCGAGGAGACGGGAGTCGAGGTCGCGGTATACGGCGATCTTTTGCTTGTCGGCTTCGCGCTGGGCTGGAGTGCGGATGCGGATGGTTCGAGCCACACCGTGCTACAACGGAAGGGGAGAAAGATGAGAGACTGGACAAGGCGGAGGGACTATGCAAAAGAAAGGGAAGCAGGGAGTAACTAATTGCTCACGCTACTGGCCATCTTAGACAAGAAGGAAGGGGGGAAAAGACGAGGGGGTGGCTTGGACGCGAGTCCGCCGGGGCGAGAGATTCGTTCCGGGCGTCGGGTCCAAGTATTTCGAAGGGGTTGATTTGTTGATTCGGAACTTGGGTTGTAGCGTTGGGACGTGAGCTCGGAAAGATGATCTCAAGAATGGCTTCCGATGAAACGGTGGAGGGGGACTAAGGTAGAGAGGTCGCACGTATCTGTATGGACGCGAGACAGGCGGGAGGTTGGCCTCGACGACGTCGACGATGGTACCGGTACAGGTACGTACAGAGTATATACAGTATGGATACTGCCCTGCACTGTCTGCAGATGTGTCCACCGGTCTTCTGACTGTTCAAAGCTAACGGATTTTGACGCCGCTGTCCTGGAGAGTGGCCCAAGCTCTGGTACCTCCTTTCCAGCTGGGGTACCTACAAATACTTCGTGCTGGTACCAGGTACGTACGACATACTTCGTGCATCAACGTCTTCCGTTGGCCTCAACACCAAGAAGATTTGGATATTTCTCGCGTACCGATAATTATCTAAGGTACCTACCTAAGGTAGACTGCTGCCGAGATACTCGAGTATTGGAGTCTACTGTTTCCTTCGCTTCAACACATAGTTCAACGCATTCAAATTCAAAGCACTTTCTCTCTTGCTCCGTTTCACACCACGCAAACACAAGGACAACCCAGGTGATGACAACCGTTCTCACGCTGCGGGCTCCAGAATTGCCCGTCTGCACTACCCTAGGTGCTTATAAGGTAACCCTTGGCTTGTTTGCCTTTCACTATCGGTCATGGCTAACCCAGATCTCCAGAGTGCTATCCCCCGAGAGGGGCCGTGTTTGACGTTTAAGTCGGCCATCTGTTGTAGAGATGGGTCCCTCTACCTACCTATGAATCCCCCCCTTTATCTACGGTAGCCGTTCCTCTTTTTGAACCCAAAAAGAAGGGAAGGAAGACTCGACGTCCTCTGTCTTTTCTTCACACCTGACATGTGACTCAGTAAGGTATTGGGAAGGCACTACCTGGGGAGCGAGGTGCGAGTCGATTGAGCAAGTCCCGGCCAGCTAGGAGGGAGTCGCTCCTTCCGCTAGCGACTCGCCCTCTCGTATTCTCTCCATCGTCATCTTCTTTTGCCTTCCAGGGTCTCTCTCCCTCTTCATATGCATCCGTCCCCGTTCCGTCATCTCTCTGCTCGCTTTATTTACGTTATCGTTTCCCGTCGAGTTCTTCATGTTAACTCTCCAGGCCAACTTGTTGGATGGTTCATATCGCTATCGCCATTCATTCCTTGGCGCCTCTGAGCCCTCGAGTTGATCCAGTCATTCTTTCACCGTAGAATCGGAATACCGAAGCCCTTGGAGGCCTTACTCTCATACTTATCAGATCACAGTTGAGGCCGTTCCAAGTTGTTGCATTCAAACCCGCCACGCCCACCAGCTCCCGTAACACACGCACACACACACACACACCTTGTTGCACTTCGACTTGCAGCACTAGCTGGGAGGCTAGAAGAGCCTCAAACGCGAGACTTGGACCGGGGGTCTGATATCTAGTTTGCAAAATGTCTCGTAGGCGCCGCGGCCGCCTCTTTTCGAGATTGTTTCGTCCCTCTGAAAGGCCCCCAGACAGTCCCGGCGATTCTGGCTACGACTCCCCCAGTCAGCTGTCCCCCGATAAAGATGACAACTTTCAGTCTGGACAGCGGAGCGTCACAAGCTCCCCGACTTTTCGCGGCGACTCTCCCTCTACCTCTACCTCTCCCTCTCCCTCTGCCGGCGACGGGGACTCGGATTCCGGCGAATCGGACTCTGGCGAAACTTCTCGGCCGCCAGTCTCTGCGACCACGCGGCCTTCTTTGCCGTCGTCGACGTCCACTCCCTTCATGCCATTTTCTTCCAGCCCTCGGACTCCGCTAGGCACTCCCAGGCCGAAGTCGAGTTCCGGCCTCCCACGACCTCGGCCTTCAAGCTCGTTGTCACTGCCGGATCGATTCATTCCCAACCGGGAGCTCAGTAGTCCTTCGTCCAACACGTTATCCAGCCCGTCGTCCGTCAGGCACCGCACCGCCACCCCCGTTTTATTCATGACACCATCTAAGAGACTCCTGCGACATCGCGGCACTGCCCCTGACCCCTTTGTCTTCCACTCAACGGCCGTTGTGCCGAAAGCCCATCACTACTACCCCGTTATCCCAAGAGGCGGTAGGCCTTCTCTGAGGAGATACGTCGACGATGGTTCCGGGGGCTTTCTTCGAAGCGGCACCAACGCGCCGTTTCTCCCTTGTCATTTCCCCAGCGCCGGTCAGAAGTTCTTCGAAAATGCTGATAAATATGAAAGGCGTCTCGCTACTGCTCTCGAAATCGACCCGGCTGCCAGGACTTTGAGCTTTGCCCACCAACAGCAAACGAAGACGGACTTGCTGGACACCTTGACCCAGGCTAAGACGAGATGGAATGGTACCGAATGGGTGAACCCTGGTCCTGATAATCGTACACGGCGAAGAAGACGCAGCCCGCTTTCCCAGCACCCTTTTCGAGTCCTCGACGCCCCCTTCATCCGGGACGACTACTACTCCTCGATCCTGGCGTACTCGGCTACGTCCCAGACGCTTTTTATCGCACTTTTCGACAGGGTGTATGCGTGGCCCGAGGGCGCCGAAGGAGATGTTAAACGAGTGTATACCGCACCCCTTGGTGCCTGGGTGTTTTCGGTTGCCGTTTCTTCGTATGGAGGCGGCAAATCCATCCTAGCAGTCGGCTGTTCGAACAACCAGGTTATACTCGCGTCCCCCGCAGAGACTCTTCCTCGCTTCGAGGTCCTAGTCCCGGCCCCTGTACATTGCGTTAGCTGGCGGCCGACATCAACGCTGCGGCGCTCTAAGCACCCCTCTGACCCTCCCAGACAGGTCAGAACTGAGGACTTGCTTGTCGGCACTAGCTACGGGATCATCTACTACTATGTGGTCGAATGGCCCCATGCTTGGGAAGTCGAGCGTGACAACTGGTCGGGTGCTGTCTCCATGGTGTCGCGGATTGTCATCCATACGGACAAGATCTGCGCCATTGTCTGGTCACCCGATGGCCAGCAGTTTGCCTCTGGCGCGAACGATAATCTGTGTTGTCTCTTCGAAGTAAGCAATGTACTGCCCGAAACGACGATGACGACGACGACGACGCAAAGGGCCGACGGCGACCGCTCATCCTCGTCGACGGTGCGGCGCCATCGAAGACGCTCTACTAGCCGAGTTGAGAGTTTGGAGGAGACGTCGCATGCGGCGGCTCTGAGGGATGAAAAAGGTCTCGACGGCGACGGTTTCGAAGACGAAGGTTTCGTAGACGCAAGCTTCGAGGACGAGGTTTTCGCAGCTCCAACGGCGAAAGAAACGGTAAAGCTCGTGTTGCCGGGCTCGGAGAAGCAGTGGTGGCCCCACGACGCTGCCATCAAGGCCATTGCCTTCTGTCCCTGGCAGGATGGTCTGGTCGCCACGGGAGGCGGCGCCGAAGACCGATGCATCTACTTCTTTCATACCCGATCCGGCGCCGCCCTGGCCACCATCGCCGTGGGAGCTCAGGTCACGGGGCTGGTCTGGTCTCGTACCCGGCGTGAAATCGCGGCGACCTTGGGTTTTACCAATCCGGAGCGCCATCCCTACCGCATCGCCGTCTTCAGCTGGCCCGAGTGCAGACTGGTCGGGGCGATCCGGCGCGAGGCTGACTATCGAATCTTGTGCGCCATCCATTTCCCCAGCCAAGGGCAAAAGGACGGGCCGTTGTCTGAGGATTGCATCGTCGTGGCTTCATCGACTCACCAAGTCGAGTTCTACAACTTGTGGGAGGCGGGCGGACGGAGGGCGGTAGGTGGCCAGGGCTGCTTGGGTGGAAGTGATATTCTCGAAAGCATAGAAGGCATCGAGAAAGAGGGAGACGTCATTCGTTAGCTAGCTCGCATGAAGTGGTTCAGAAGGTCGATAAGGCGTTTCGAGAGCGGTGTTTGCTCTTTTTGTATTCGAAAAGGGCTTACATCGTGGGCGCGAGAGCGGGTTTGCGTTTGAATTTGTGGCCACAACGAACGCTTGTACTAGAGAACGGTATCCTATCATACATGCATTAGACACCGACTCTCTCTGCCTTCCCCTCTTCTCCTTATTGTACTGTTTTGACCGTAGTGGCGCAATTGTAAAGACCGCCCCTGAAAAGGGGGGGTTTAATATTCTCGACATCTTTGCGAAAGACGTAGGTACATAAAAAGAAGTGCCATATTACCGCCCATTTCCCATTTGTAACGCCCGTCTTCGGTGAATAACTAGAGGGGAAATCGTGTAATGAAGTTATGCGGAGGAGAGCAACCGCCAACGTGTCCCGATTTTTATACATGCGTTGGAAATAACAGACCGGACGCCGTAGACAAGCTGTAGTGCGCGCGTGTTCCATGTGTGTGTATCCCAGGAATAAGAGCAGCCCATAGAAAGATGGTTGTAGAATGGCGACAAGTCTTTCAAAAAAAGGAGCACTTTGAGAGTCGTCATCACCGTCTGTCTCTTAACAGGACCACACCCCCAGCCCTCCCGTCATCCTCTTCTTTTTTTTTCTTTTCTTGATTTCTTCTTCCCCCGCACGTCTCACTTCAGAATGGCTATGAGGAGCACAAGTATGATAATGAGGGCAATAATGGTGGCCATCTGCTTGCTCTCGCCCGAAGCGCGGGCGATGCGGCCCAGCGAGCGGCGGGCGCGGTCCAGGCGGCCCTGATGGCGGTCGGTGGCGGCCTCGACGTCGTCGAGCATGGCGACGTGGGCGTCGAGCTCGTCGCCGATCTGCATGGAGAGCTCGCGCTGGCGGCCGATGCTCTCGCCGAGGCGGTCGAGGTGCTCGTCCTGGTCCTCGAGGATGCGCGCGTGGTAGGCGTGGACCTGCTGGTTGTCCATGGTGCCGGCGACGTCGCGGTAGCCCTCCCCGTCGGCGGAGGGGTCGTCGCGGTAGGGCCCGAAGAGGGCGGCGCGGTCCGGGTCGTCATCTGGCGGCGGGAGGGGGGAGGAGGATTTGGGGCCCGGGAGCGGGGAGTCGGAGAAGCGGACTACTTTTGTGGTGGATGGTGTTGGGGTTGGGGCGGAGGCGGGGGCGGAGGCGGGGGCGGAGGAAGAGGAGGAGCGGAGGTTGGCTTTGCGGGGTTGCGGTTTGGTGGATTGCGCGTGGGCGAAGTCGGGGGCGAGGGAGGCGTCGTTTGGATGGCGGAGGGTTTTGGTGGTTTGGGCGGAGGTGTCGCCTTGGAATTTGGAGCTGAGGTCGGCGAATTGCTTTTGGAGCGAGGGGAGGGCGTCGGCGATGGTTTGAGCGGCGCTAGAGGAACTGCGTTAGTGTCGAGAAAGAGTGGCCGAGTGGAGAAAGGTCGAAAGGAAGAGAAACAGGCATTAACAAGAAATGAAAAGAGGGAAAGCCGAACCTGTCGTCACCATTTTCAGTTAACCTCTTTTGCTCCTCCTGCAGTGCTTCGAGTCCCTCGCGGAATTGATCAAGGGAGCGACTTATGTGGCCATCCTGCGTGTCATTATCGAGGTTGAGGGACCGGGCACGTTCGCGCTCAAGGAGAGAGAGTTTGATGTGGTCGGCAAGAAGGAAGAGCTGGTTCGGTTTGGACATGGTGGACAGAGAGATGAAGACGACGGGGGGAGACGGAGACAACTGGCGGCAGTCAGGCTATAGTGCCGGTAGCCCCCTCTAGATGCCGGGGAAGATGAAGTTAAAGCGAGAGACAGAGACAGGGAAAAAAAGAGAAGAGAAAAAAAGAAAAAGGAAACGCAAGTTCTGGGTTTTCACAGACGACCGCGCTGAAGAGTGAGTGGTTGGGCAAAACGATGACGGAGTGTAGAATATGATGTCGTTGGTCCATTGGTGAGAGGTGAGACGACGGGCGACGTCTCAGTCGGCGGGTTGATGGGGGATTGATTACAGGTACCTGTACCCGTACCCAGCCCATCCATCCAGTTGGGACGAGCCAAAAGGTACGGTAACCCCACCTTCATAAGGGGAAAATGGAAAGAGGAATTACCAAGGTCCTGATTAAAGGCATAGAAAGTATAGGTACATTAAGGTAGTACGGAGTATCGAGACAAGTGTCACACCAATGTAGAAGAGCGAAGAGCAGGTTCCCTGAGGTGGTAAGGAAGGCACTTGGATATAGAATACAAAGTACTACAATGTAAAGAAAAGGCCGACTTGCATTAGTTATCTCTCCTGTGTTGAGACCTGATCCGTGTCTTTGCTTCCTCCCTAAGGTACCTATTCACGCGTGTGTGGCCTTAGTAAGTGCCTCTAATACGGCTACACTGACATGATCCCGTAGAACCCTCCCCCCTTATGCTGACAAAAAAAGCATGTACACAACCCTCATGAGTGTTGGGTTGCGACTTGAATCTTGACGATGAGCTAAAACCGCCTGGCAAGTATAAGTCCCGGCGAAAATATAAAAGGAATTAAAAAACGGCCTCGCCATGCACTTGTCCCCTTTTTTGTAAACCCCCTTCTGTCGTGCACCCCATAGTCCCCTGATTCCTAAATGCCTGAGCCACCAACTGCCAGTTCGCAAGTGTCGACCCTTGCAACATTGTGTTGTAGGTTCGTGGTTGTCATCTGCATCCTGCTGTAGATGTTTTACGCAAGATGGAGAATACGTTTGGCGTTTTCGTAAACCACCCAGGTGATGCTCAGAGCGGGTGCCACTTTGAGCAGGTTCGGGGCGAGACCCTTGTACATGCCCCGAACGCCCTCGTTCTTGATCGTCTTCCGCGCGACGTCCACAATACCGGTGTATGTGGCCGGGTGCATGGCCGTCCCCTGCGTCTGGAGACGAGTCCGGAACACGTTGAGCGGGTACACCACACAGGCTCCAAAGGCACCGCTGGTGGCGCCCATGATGCCGGTCACGATGTTGCCCGGTTGTATGTCTTCTTCGTGGACGCCTCTGCGCTTGGCCATGTATCCGCTGTACGACGCCTTGAGGAACTCGAACGTACCCATGTCGATGGCGCTGTAGGGAAACATGCCCAGGAGACCCATGGTAACGCCGCGGTAGGCCGCCCGTACGCCCCCGGTTTTCCACATGTTCTTGGCCGTGTCGATGACAAGCGCGTTACCCGTTAGCCCGCCCTCGACGGTAGATGTCTGTAGCCTGTTTGTCGGGAGTTAGCGAGCTGGATATGCGGAAAGCAGAAGGGACACAAAGTGAGAGTGAAGAGCGCAATGGGCTGTGGATGTGCCCTACCGAAACTTCAATGTATCGACCGGGTAAACACTGAATCTAGGAAGGGGGTCAGCGAACCAGTCGAATGCCAATTCATGCTGCGGACAATACGAACTGGGCGATCATGCCAGCAACACCGCCGGCAATATATCTAGAGTAACCGCTAAGCTCCTTGGGGTCACCGTGACCCTCCAATGTGGAAAGAGCACGCTTGGCTGCCTCATACGACCCGAACTACAAAAGAGACCGACAGTCAGGGCCCAAGTTCAGATATTTGTCTTCGTCTTCGGAATACGGAACGAACCTTGATAGCACTCTCAGGCATAATTTTGATGACGTTCAGACCGTTTCCTAACAATTGCATGTTAGCACGCTCCTAGAACCCAAGGGTGGAACGTTTGTGGTAAGGTGGCACGGTACTCACCCGCAAACAGACTCCGAATACCACCGGCGCGCCAGAGTTCTCTGAAGCCATCGCCAATTGGCTTGCACGCGTTGTACAGCGCCAGCAGAGGGCGGCCCTTCTTTAGCGCAGCGACAGCCGTATCGGCTCTCGGAGTCGTATTGACGAGGAGATAGACCTTTAGGCGGTCCAGGGGTGCTGTGGCAGTGCGCGAGAGACCGCCGGCCGCGGCCCCCGCAATAAAATAGCCTGGTTCCGGGAGGTAATCCGTCAGCCAGCTTTTCTTGGTGCGGCCCCGCGAGCCTTGCTCCTCTCCTATCAATGCTGTGCTGCTGCTGCTTGTGTCCGATGAATTGGCCGCGCTGTCCCGCTCGAGGGCGTCGCACACAGGTCCTGCCAACTCTTGCTCGTCCAGGATACACTGTATGGCAGCTAGGTCCCTGAGATCCATCTTGTCCGGTTGGCTGGCATCGGGTGCTGTGAACTCTCGGAACTGGTTCGCCGCGCGCATGTCTCGGTCGGAAATAAGGGAGTGTTCGTAGCTCGGCGGCGGCGGGATCGGTGCGTTTGAAGACGACGGAGATGACGGAGATGACGAAGACGACAGCAACGGCGGAGAGACGTGCGCAGAAGAATTCGGAATGTAGTGCAGAGAAGCGATCCGCAAGAGAGATCCAAAAAAGGTGTCTAGGAAGAAGGCGGTCGTACCTGAGCCTCGAACTACCTCCTCTGATACCATCGACTCGCCCTCTGCCGTGAGGGTGACTATCGACGAATAGTACTTAAGTATGTCTTGTAAAGGAACATCGCCATTATATACCGGCATGAACAAGAGGAAGTCCCTGTAAATCGCAACCCAGGCATGTGGTTAGCACTTTCAAAATTCCATCAGAATTCCACCTAGCATCTGGAAACACAAGAGGAATAGCAGTGGGGAGCGGGTAGGTCGGTAAGACGCAGGGCAGAGCACGATGTCAAACGCGTGCAAGCAGCCGGCGGCTTGGACAGGCAAAGCTCGAAGCTTCCACAAATAGACAGGAAAGAGGTCACCTACCGCCATTCTGTGAAGGTGATATATCCGTCGTTGTTCAGATCGATCTCGCTGAAGAAAGCGTCCAGCTTCCGGGCCGGTATTGCCATGCCGGCCTTCTTAAAGGCAGCCCGCATCTCCTCCTTATCGAGCTTGCCATTCCCGTCATGGTCGATCGCGCTGAATAATTGGAAAAGTTCTTTCTCGGTGTGCTCGACGAAGACCCGAAACTCTATGAGATACGACAAATAGCGTCAGTCAGTGGACGCAGTGCGGCTCGAGTTCGCAAAATTCGGAGGACTGAGAGACAAAAGCAGCGCCACAGAGATATACGCACCCTTATAGTCGATCTTGCCATCCGAGTTGGTATCTACCATGGCCATAATCTGACGTAGCATCACGTCGGCATTTTTCATGGCTGTAGCGCAGAAGAATTAGCATTCCGGGGTCAGGTCGACAGAGCCAAGGTCAGAGAGAGGAGACCGGAAAGTCAAAGGGAAAGACGAAAACAAAGGAAATACTGACGGTGGTCAATCTTCTTGAGCCCCGTCTTCAGGCCCTTGAAGTCCAAGTAGCCGGAACCCTGGGTGTCGAGCCGTCTCCAGAGATCCTCGACCCTCTTGTCCCTCTGGTTCTGCGACTCCCCCAGCTTGGCCTCCAGGCCAGCTACGAGTGTTGTTACCCCCATTGTGGCGGCGGCATCAGACGACGATGATCGGCTGGTCGCAAGTCGGGTTTCGGCCGAGAATGCATGGGGTAAAAAGAGCGTATGGATGGGTGTAGGGGGCAGGTCACGACGATATCGAGAAAGACATGCTTGACGTTCGTCTGGGTGACCGAGAAAGCGATTGGAATTGGTCGGATGGACGGGGTAGAGGACGCGCTGTGTCCGTGGACTCGCGAGGCATGTGTCTCCCTTCGTCTATCCGTCTGGTCTTTTTTTTTTGTTTTGTTTTTGGTTTGTTGTTGCTTTAATAGATCGTCCGGCTTCGTTGGTTTCTGCTTTCTGCTTTCTGCCCTGATAGCGTCTTTCGGGTATCGGCAGATCGTTTTGGTCCGGACTTTCTTCGTATAATAGGTAGTTTCGGTACGTCCTGCATTAGGTAATGCATTCCACTCCATTGGTAACACCGAGGTACGTACCTCCACATTGTTACATCATCGGCGTAATACGAACCACGGAGTGGGTACTTCCGTAATTGAGTCTAACCTGGTACACTGTACGGAGTACATAGGTACCTAGCCGGACGGGCGCCTTACCCGCATAAGGCACAGTGCTGCAGGTGTTTTAGTGGGGGAAGCTCATAAGGGTCGCAGAATAATTTAGTAAGGACACGTCTTGGCAGTTCTCAAGGTACCTGCTCAGCAATTATTACTCGCTCCATGTCCAGCCACCTCCCTAAACATGAAGTTCTTGTGAACCCCCAGAGCCAGCATGCACGGGTGACTCGAGCATTTCCCCTAAGTCAATCACTCCGTTGCAGTACTGATAGGTGATTGCCAACATGGGCGGGCTAATTCTGCTGCTCGTGCTGAGCGTAAGTCCCTCGCGCTAGGCATATCGTGACTTTGAATTCGCTAACATTGGATGGGTAACAGGCGGTGATGGCCATTGCGTGAGTGACAGGAACTTTGCATTTCGGTGCAGTGCGGAGAAAGACGTGAAAGCTAACAAGGAGACCGGCAGCTCGTTTCTGGCGGGATCACTTCCGCTCGCCATCACGCTCTCCTCGTCCCAACTCCGTTTAATATCTGCGTTGGGCGTGGGAATCCTAGTGGGGACGTCAATGATTGTCATTATCCCCGAGGGTATTGAGGCCGTGGTATCGTCTGGTCTCGGTGGACATTCGCATGCTCGTGCGACGAGGAGTCTCAGCGTGCTCCAAAATGCCGGCCTGGAACGGGGCGGAAAGAACCACGTGCGAGCTGAAATGGATGCTGGGGGCAAGAGCACTGTGTTACGCCGCGCTGAAGGACCCGACCTGACTGCCTATCTCCGATCCCTGGGCTTGTCGGTGGGGAGTGGTGTCCGATCAGTAGAACGGAAAGCGTTGGATAGTCGCGACCCCGGCGACCATGACCATGACCATGACCATGACCACGATCACGACCACGACCACGACCATGACCACGATCACGACCACGACCACGACCACGACCACGACCACGACCACGACCACGACCACGACCACGACCACGATCATGGAATGGCAGCCGTAGGTCAGAAGCATGGCGAGGAGGATACGCATATGGAGCTACCCACATTTTACATTGGCCTGTCAATGGTTCTTGGATTCATCCTCATGTTCCTCATCGACAGAATACCCCAGCATGCGACGGATCGGCTGAGGACAGGGCCGCATATGCGACATGTTAGCCTTGACAACCTGCGACCCGGTTCTGCGCTGGAAGGCGAAGACGAGCACTTCCTCGGGTCTCCGGTATCCTCTCCAAAGCAATCACGGGGCTTCGGGACAACGGTGGGATTGGTGATCCATGCGGCGGCAGATGGGATTGCGATGGGCGCGGGCGCGACTTCGTCCGACACGCAGCTCGGTCTGATCATTTTCGTTGCCATCATGCTTCACAAGGCTCCTGCTGCTTTCGGCTTATCCGCCCTTCTTCTCAAGCAAGGTTTGTCCAAACGGGCGGCACGGGCTCACTTGTTGGTGTTTAGCCTGGCGGCTCCTTTCGGCGCCCTGTCTACGTGGGTCATCATCGCCTTCCTCGGCGGGGGCCAGTTTGAGGGAGCATCTGGCAAGTGGTGGACCGGCATGCTTCTACTCTTTTCCGCGGGAACTTTTCTGTAAGTCAAGATCTCGGCTCCCACGGCCCGGATTGCTGCGACTGTGCTCGATGCTGACAGAGATAGGTATGTCGCCATGCACGCCATGCAAGAGGAAGGAGGGCCCAAACATGACCACAATGGGTTCTCCCACGGGCATTCCGACTCGAGCGCCAACGTCATGCACCGGCCTCAAGTACGCGACACGTTGGTTACCGTCGCCGGGATGCTTTTGCCTCTGCTGACTCAATTTGGCCATCATCACTGAAGACGCTCCAGTTCGGGGGTGCATGGGAGGGCCAGCGGGTGAGCCCAGCGGAGATGAGATACCACGGCGCAATGACACCGAGATGTAGTTTCAAAAAATCAAAGAAAATCTGCCTCTGAAACCACAGCCCGAAATATCTGGCCCCTTCGGGGTATGACAGATCCTCATGAACGAAAGGGCGAAACAAGGTTATCTGCCTCTTTTCTTTGGCCGGTGACCATCGTTGTCATCTCGGCCTTGCCGATGCAGGCCAGCGAAGGAGACCTCCAAGAAATGGATTGTGACACCCACTCGGGCCACATGATGATGTTGCAAGCTAGAGGCGTAAGCGTACTCCACAGGTACGAGGTTGTCGAAAGTTAGGTATGGACATATCGAGGTCTATACCTGAGGCCTCGCTGTTGAAATTAATATTGTCCCAAAAAGGGAGGTCCTATATCCTGCCTTAGTGTAGATACATATTTTTGCCTGGAGTAGTTGTATCTCGGATTTAAAAACGTCCTTCAAATATGTCGAGGGGTAACATCAGACTGTCGCTGTTACTAATCGATACTCGAACGAAGGGATGCATCGTGTGAGTGTATTGAACCCCCTTCTATCCCTGATTCCTTGATACCTCTCATTGCTAGCGAGAGCACTAGGTACAGATCTGCATTTGTAAGTCCTTTGCATCTGCAACCCAGAAAGAAGAAAGAATTTAGTTGCTGCCAAGCTTGGACACGTGTTCCGCGTCGAGCTGGAAGAAGCCCAGGCCATGGCATGGATTGGTGTCCGACAAGTGTTTCCAAATGGCGAGGTGCTTGTCTCCGATGGCGTCGGGTGGAGACGACACAGTGACACCATCTTGTAACGGAGTATTATGTACGAAGGAGTATCCGTACTTCGTACATGACAAGACTGGTCCCGGGCAAGACATTGGGGGAGGCATGGCGGTCTCTGACGAAATCAGAGAATGTGTCTGTCTTTAGCGATAAGCGTTCCCCGTGCCGCAACCGCGGGCAGGCGCGTTAGTCAGAATACCAAGATATCTATTGGCCATTTATTAGGATCTATCAACAGTAGCTATCCGTACTTTTCCAATAATACAATAATACGACGACCGCGGGCCACTCTCCACCGTCAAGTCCTTTAACAACCCAATTACCTACCTAGGCATTTCTAACTGTCGCTATGCCCCAGGAATACGGCCGACAATACACAGGGACTGCCGCGGGACCGTATCGAGAACACTATTCCGATACGAGCAAGTATAAGGTAAGGTATACTTCACCCACGGGGATCTCACCACGAAAAGAGAAGAAAAAAATCATACTTCCGGACCGCCACGAACACAATAAGCCGAGGGTATTGTCAATTGGGAACAGGCTGATTGGTATCCCCGAACACTGTAGAATATCGCAAGTTGCTGTAGGGGGTTAACCTTGGTATGACTGGCGCATCGGAGAATGGCCCGGCAATATATCACAAAGCCTTATGGGGACGATGGTGGGCGTTTCCATTTTGTCTGGGCGACGATGTAAGGACGCTCGACCCATGCCTACCTACGTGGTCGTAAGAACTGCCGGCCTTATGGATGACGTTGAAAGGGGATATTACTTCGTATTGTCCGGACAGGTCTCAAATCGATTTCGTACATCCATATAACGGTTACACTGCTCAAAGCAAAGAAGAACAGCCAGCAGACTACAGGAGCTACTCCGTACGTACCGTACCTTAATATAGGTAAGTCTTTCCTGGAACGAGCTTAGCAGGTTGCCCTACGGGCAACGCCGCTAAGCTCGCCCCCCCCCCCTAACGGGGGGGGGGCTTATCACATAACGTGCCCCATAACAACCAAATAACCGAAAATAACCGAAAATAACCGTAAAACGCCTGCCTTCTTTTATTTTACTATTATTTACTATTTTCCACGCTATAACGACGGTCTTTAGTAACTGTTTTATTATCGCGATAAAGTATTCTTCTATTTCCGATACTACGATTACTCTATTTACGGAATAAAGATCGTAATTAATTAACCGTTATAGCGCCACTAAGTAATAGTTTTTTTCTATCTATTTAAATATCCCTCCCTCCCTTCCGGTTTAAGTAGTTATAGCCTCGCCGTTATATAAGTTACGGGTATAAATATACGCCTTAACCCTATAGAAAGCGACGATACTAACCGTAATTCGTAGTATACCGCCCGCCCTATCCGACTCCTTTATCGATTCGCAGGAATCCCGGTCCTTATCGCCCGATAACTCGACCGCCGCCTCCCGCCCTGCCTCGCCCGCCGCCTCCGCCGCCGCCTTTATCGCTACCTCGCCTACTGCCTCGCCCGCCCGCACGCTTACCCGCCCGCCTATACGTAATACGCCGGCCTCCTCCTCTAGCACGCGCGTTTAGTAAATAATACCTATAAAGGACGGCCGCACGATTAACCGTAGTAAGGTTCTCGACCTTATATATAATAGCGGCTATAAAGCTACCGGGGCCCTTAATACTATACGCGTTATTCGGGTAGGTTACTAACTTACCTGCTATCTTATTATATACTAACCGATATTATTAATATAAGCTAAACGGGACCTCTTATTACGGGAGGATAAAGACCTTAACCTTAGTCGCCTGGCTAATTAAGAGGCTATTATAATAATAATCGTCGGCGACCTCTAGATAGACTATAAGCACTATAGTAAGAAAGACGGTCCCTTCGCCCGTTACTATATATTCTCGGGAGTCGCTAGCGGTAGCTATAATAAGTACTATTTTAATTCGGAAGGCCCTAAATATTTGCACCGCTCCCCCCCCCCCCGGCCGATAATAATACCACCGCTACCGCTACCGCTACCGCTACTCCCGCTTCTTCTAAGGGGAAAAAGCGTGTAAATAAGACCGTAGGTAAGCTAATAATAACCGTAACGAATACCGACCTATACTAATTAATTAATCTATAATACTATAAGAACCGTAACGCCTTCTAAGAAGGTAAAGACCTTAACTACGGCTACCGCTCCCGCCCCCCCCCCTCTCCCCCCGACTATTATAACTATCGCCGGTGTTTTGGGTATAAATACGGCCACCGCTACGCCTATTACGCCTATACCCGCCACGCCCGCGCCTGCTACGCCCGCGGCCCTCGCCCCGCCCGTAATAACCTTCGGTAACGTCGAAGTATTAGCCGTGATACTCCTTACCGGTATAATAACGGCGTAGAAGAAGCAGTTAATCTAGTACTATAAGAATATAATCGCTACCCTAAAGAATAGTATCCCGGCGGAGAACTAAGACGGGCTTTTTTTTTTTTGCTTTACTATTTTATAAAGGGTTTACGGTTATTTTATTTTTATATTTCCGGTACGGCGGGAATAGGTAGTTTACTTCGTTGCTTCGTCTACCTTTAATATAGGCTATATAATAAAGAAACCCGACCGCGTTATCGATCGCCAGTTACTATAGTAGACTACTATAACCGTAGAAGTAACCGTTAAAAAGAATCTATTAAGACCTTTAGGTATACGATATTAGATATACTCCGGCTAACCTACGGCTAAGTCTACCTACCGCCCTAATCGTTATCGGTCTATAATAAAATAAATAGATTCCTAACGTCCGTAACCCTTAATATCGTAATGTAAAACTAACTGTGAGTAAAGGCGTACTACCGGAAATCCACGCTACCCGTACTAAATGATTACCCTTACGACTTATTAATCGTTATCGCGAAATAAAGCCGTAACGGGAATTAACGGCGCCGGATAATATACGGGTAATCCTCCTTATTAGAATCTAAATAGATACGGGGGATAAATACCACCTCACTAGCGTGTATTCCGGATAGCACCTTAACCTCTAGTGTATTACGCGCTATCCGTAAAATAACTATACGCGTGCTATTATATAATCCCTGCCGCGGGCTAAGGTTCCGTATAAGTATAACGGGCGCGCCAACCTTTAGCTTAAGCCTCGCGGGCGGGATAGAGGCGAACTCTAACTATATTAAAAACTCCGGTGCTAGTTTATATCGCACGTCAAATAGGCACTTGAATAATCAACTTAGTAGAGCAGAAATCTCGTGTGTGTGTATTATGTCAAGTTATATCTGGGAGAGTCTCTTATACCCTTAATTTAGGTGGTAAAGACTCCGTTATGGGTACTATATTATTTGGATCCTATCTGGTCTTTTCCGGTATCCACCCGTATTATATCCTAATACCCGAAGTCCCTGATATCCGGAGCCCTTAGTCATAGAGTGGATCCCCCCTGGATCCCCTATAGGCTATATCGTAGTCCTGCCCATACAACACACCCCCTTAGTTAAGGTGGGTCTTCCCAGGTCAACTGACTAATTAGAGGCTTCGGTTTAAACCAAATGCTCTTAACTTTTCCATCGTAAAATTAACAGTTAGGAGAAAACGCCTCCGTAAAAGGGATCTAAATCCGCCCTATTTAACCGTTTAATTCAATTCTATCTTAATTAGTTCCTCGATCCTGATTAGCCGGATCTGCTTAATCGGATCTATATCCATCGGATCTGCTACGCCCTCAGGGGCCTTCGTCGTTACTACGGCCGTGGCTTTAGCACGTTTAATCTCTTCGTATAGTCGTTTAGACTACTCGATACGGTCCTTTTAATCCGTTAAATTAAGCTATTACTATAGTCTTTTGATTCCTGCCTCCGGTAGTGCCTTCGTTAAACCGTCCGCGATTATCTCCTTCGTGTTAACGTACGTGACCTTGAAAAGGCCCTGCTATACTAACTAACGCGCCTATTAGTTATAAATATCGACGTGCCGTAGCCTTATTCGCAGGCGTTATGCCTTCTTATTATTAAGGTTAATAGTCTATTAATTATCGTAGTATAGCTATAGCTAGTATTAGTCTAGCCGAAGCTCTAAATCCCTTAATATCCGGCTAACGAATACGTCTCCTTAGCTACCTCGGTAAGAGCGAGTAGTTCCGACTCTATTAACGATATTATAACCGTCGGTTATTTACCCGCCTTCTAGTTAACGGTGCCGCCGAAAAGCTTTATCGTATATTCTTTCGAGCTTTTACGATCTAAATTATCCTTAAAGGACGCGTCGCTTACTATTAGGAAGAGTCTATCCCCACCGAATTCTAAGTAGTAGTATCTTATATAGTATAGGAATAGTAGCACTTATTAAGCCCTTTTAAGGTGGTTAGAGGAGGGGTTAATATTATATTAGGAAAGCTTTAAGTAGGCGAACGCGATATTGGGTCTTATTACGATAGCGGCGTATAGGATAGAACCGATTATTCCCTAATACTAACGGACCTCGGGAATCGACGCGCGGGTGCCGTCTCGGGGTATTACCGGCTCTATAGATAATAGGACCTTTAGTGGTTTTCGG